TCAAAAGCTGTACCTCAATAGATAAGAGGTCAAAGAATATGAACAAACAGTACTCAGAAGAAAAATTGCAAACTGTTGACAACCATATGAAAGAATGTTCCTAATCCCTAATTACAAGAAAAATGCACATCAAACAACGCTTACCCTGTAAATTGGCAAAGACAACAAAAGACAGGAATTATCAACGTTAGGGGGTTTGTGGGAAGATAGGCACTTTGGTGCACTGTTTGTAGAGCTGTACTGCCACTTTGAAAAGCACCAGCAAAGAAGGAGAAACAAAGTAGATGTCCATCAATTTGAGAATGGCAAGACATATTGTAATAGGTGAATGTAATGGCATATTACTGTGCTGTAAGAAATTACTAATATGATGCTTTGCACATGGCACATAGCAGGCACTTAATAAATGTTTATTGACTGACTGATGAATATAGAAAACCATGGAAAGATCTCTATGAATTGATGAAGAGTAAAACAGAACCAAGAAAATAACATATTCAGTGACTACAATAATGCAAATGGAAAGACCACCACAAAAATCAAGTGGATATTACAAAATTATAAAGAATAAGCACTGCTCAAAAAATGAAATATGAGAAGACATCCTCCCCATCCCTTTGCAACATGCCACATCTGTGATACTTTCAGACTTTTTCAATGTATTGATTAATTTTGCTGATTTTTTTCTCATTTTTTCTTTTTTGTGGCAGGTGGTTTTTAAAAATGTTATTTGTTATATAGGATGACTCTTGAGGAAAGAAAGAGAAAGGACACTGGGGAAATTTTTGGTGAGTAAAAAAAAGGACATCAATAAAAGCGTATTTAAAAAAACTTTTAACTGTTGAAAATCACTAATACTAAGAGAAGTAAAAATTAAAATAATAAAATAGCTTAGGGGAACCACCTTTCACCCATCAAGCTGGCAAACAGTAAAAGATGGCAAAATTCAGTGTTGGCAAGTATTGTGGGAAATAGGAATGCCAGCTCCCTGTTTGTAAATCTCTGCAGTGACTCAATCATTTTAGAAAACAGTGTGGAATTATGCAATAAAGGAGTAACATCAGCATCATGATATAGCTACTAAAAAAAAAAAAAGCTAACATGACCCAAGGCTGCATTAAAAGATGCAGAACTTCCAGAAAGAAGGAGGCAATCATTCCACTGTGGCCTGCCCTAATCTCATCCCAGTGGACACTGATCAGCTGGACAAGTTCCACAGGAAGCCAACTTCCAGAGGAAGTTCTGCTGGTGAAGGATCTTAAGTTCATGCCACATGAGGACTAGCTGAAGAAAATGGGAACATTTAAGACTGAAGAAGAGATAACTTAGGGGAGATACAGCTGCTGTCTTCAAGCATCTGAAATAATGCCATGTGGAGGAAGGACCAGGCTTCACATGACTCTCCTGACTCCAGGTATTTTCCCTGGTTGTCCCCCATGTCTGGAATGCTCTTCCTCTTCATCTCTGCCTTCTGGCTTCCTTGGCTTCTTTCAAGTCCTAGATAAAATTCTACCTTCTACAGAAAGACCTTCCTGATGATCCACCTTAATTCTAAATCCTCCTCTCTGCAGATTATTTCCAGCTCATCCCATACATAGCTTGTCTGTATATAATTGTTTTCATTTTGACTCTCACATTAGATTGTAAACTCCTTGAGAACAGGGTCTGTTTTTTCACCTTTCTTCTATCCCCAGTATTTACTTAGCACAGTACTTAGCACATTGTTGGAGCTTAACAAATGTTTATTGACTGACTGACTGGAGAAGGTAGGCCTAAGCTCAATGGATAGAAGCCACTCAGAGGCAGATGTCCCATGGAACTAAGTATAATGGGTGGTTGGTGAGCATGTATAACAGTTCAGCTGATACAACCCCCATGTGGAGGAGGCTACGGAGTCTGCTTCGTGAGAATGCATGATGACATGTAACGGAGGGACCCCAGCCCCCAATCTGGAGTCTTTGCTGACATTCTGTAACTGATTCCCATGGACTGCTGATTGGCTGTGCAGCCAGAATGGGAGTACATTCAAAGGGCACTAACTAGACAGAGTGAGGAGGTCCTCATGCTGGCCTGGCTATGTTCAAGTGAAGAGGCAAGGACTAAGCCCTCCACGGAGAAGGGCCATGTGGCCAATAAGCACACTGCCCTGCTTGCTTTTCTTTCTTTTGTGTCTATATTTTCCTGCTTTCAGGCTAAAGGGACTGGAGATGGCTATTACTTTGTGACCTTGAAGGTGAGGAAAGTAAATAAACCACTAGAAGTTGGGGAGCTAAAGTCTATACTGGGATTTTCCAAAGCCAGACAGAGAGAAGTAAAGTATTAAGCAACCTACTTTGACTCAGCCTGAGTCCCAGTTGAGATATAGTGTACTCATCCAGTGGCTATCCCTCATTTGGAAGTGAACTTGGGGATCAAATTCTATGTAAAAACTGAATTAAGACTAGGACCCCTTTCCCCAGAGACAGAGGAGGCATAAAAGAGTGTGCCCTCAGAGATTGGGAGGAAATGCTTATAACTTCTTTTCTGGCTATATCTTAGCAATAAACATCCTTTTATAAAAGCTAGTTGGGGGGCAGCTAGGTGGCACAGTGAGTGGATTAGAGCATCGGCCGTGGATTCAGGAGCACCTGAGTTTAAATCCGGCCTCAGACACATAACACTTACTAGCTGTGTGACCCTGGGCAAGTCACTTAACCCCATTGCCTGGCCAAAAAAAAAAAAAGCTAGTTGGCACAAATTGGTAAAAATAGAACTGGACAATAGTCACTGGTGGTTAACAGTGAGAAAAACGCACTAGAATGGGAGTGTGAGCTCATAGCATTAGGAAAAGATACCCCTAACCCCTCAGGGGTACCCCTAGATGTAGCAAACCGCACCCTGGAAGAGTAAGTTCATTGTTCCACCACTTAAGGTGGGGAAAGACTTCTGAACAATTACAGCCAATGAGAAATAAAACATGCGACGAGAAGAAACAGGAAGAGAAGGAATGGGTTGCTCCAATCCTAAGCTAGAGGGACACTTGTAACAGGCATTCTTGGTCTGGTACAGATTGGACTAGATGGACACTGGGGTCCCTTATTCTGAGAGTCTCGCTGCTGATATCACTGCTAAGCTACCTCAGATCTGATGTTCCTAATCTGCTGTGGCCTCTGAAAGCAGATACCTGTGAATTTTTAGTAACATACGAATGGAGCGTCTTATTAAAGTGTATGCTCTTCGTGCAGGGACCTTGTGGTAGCTCTTTTGGCTACCAGAGGCCCTTTTTTTAGAGGGGGGGTTCATATCTGAATTATTGTGGAAACACAGAATTTCAAAGTTAGAGAAGACTTTAAATCTCATTCATCTCCCATCTCCAGGCCTTTGCACTCCGTGCTTGGAATGTATTCCTTTCTCACCTTCCTAGCTCAGCTCAAGTGCTATCTCTTACTGGAAGCCTCTTCCGATCATGCCAGTTGCTAGTGCCCTCTCCCCAGAAGTCATTTGTTATCTGTTTTGTATTTACTTACATGTTCACATTTTGTCTTCCCCATGGACTGTAAACTCTTTGAGGGCAGGAACTTTTTCTTTTTCTGTCTTTTTTGTATCCCCAGTGCCTAACAGATTGCCTATCACAAAGCAGGTGTTTAATAGAGGATTGTTGTTGCTGCTGTTATGGTCTAACCTCTTCATTTTACAGATGAGAAAATTAAAACCTACTGTGATTCATTAATTTCCCAGTGTCAAACAGATAATTGGTGGCACAATCAGACCTAAAACCCATACTCCCAACATGCCAACTCTGTCTTTTTTTCTTCTATAATCATGAAAGTCATGAAGTTTCAAAACTGGAATGGAACACAGATATTATCTGGTGCAAGGGTGGGGAACCTGCAGCATGGAGGCCACATGTGGCCTTCTAGATCCTTGGGTGTGTGTGGCCTTTTGACTGAGTCCAGGTTTTACAGAACAAATCTTTTTATTAAGGAGATTTGTTTGACGAAGTTTGGATTTAGTCAAAGGGCTGGACTTGAGGACCCAGAAGGCCACAAGTGGCCTTGAGGCTGCAGGTTATCCATCCTTCATCTAGTCCAACAAATACCTGAAGAATTCCCTCTACAAACCATTAACCTTGGGTCATCTAGTTTCGCTTGAAGACCCCCAGCAATAAGGAACTCCCTACCTCACTCACTATTGTGCCATGTTATATTCGCAGCTGTGTTTCAGATAGTTCTGGGCTCATTCAGATATCCAGATTATAATTTTCCACGCTTTCCTGTTTTTGTCCATCACAGTAAGAGCTGGCATTCATATTGCACTTCAAGGTTTGTGAAAGCACTTTAGTTGTTTTCATTTGATCCTCACAACAATCTTGTGATACAGTCTCTATCTTGTATTATTGATAAAAAAAATTAATAATATTAATTCAACTATTATTATCCCCACTTTACAGATACAGAAAATGATTTCTCAAAAACATTAGCTACAAGTTCCATCTGCTCTCTATTCCTCCGTGGTGCCTCTCTGGAAGGCACCAAAGTCTTTTAAAGTGAAACGTCCGTATCCCTTTTCCTGCCATTCTTGCTCACAGATGAGGCTCTGAAATTCCTGGGAAAATTTCACTGTAACAAGGTCATGGGTGTACATGCAACCAAAATCAACCATAGTCACAAAGCAGTGAAATTCTCACTCCAGACACTGATATCACACAACCAATGGAGAAGTAAAATATATACAGTCAAACGATGAATCAATCAATCACTTGGACTATACATTCCCAAAACAAACAAACAACACCCCCCCCCCACACACACACACAAACTACAAAACAAAGAATCCAACTGAGTTGGGGACCAAGTTGCCTGAATCAACTGTTTATTCTGCCACCTTGTGGAAGACAAAGTTTAAGAAAGTCAGATCCACAGAGACACTTGACTTCCCTTTGTGTTTGTAAGAATGAATCTACAGCCATCACTGTTTGGGCAGAACAAGCTAACTGGGAAGCTGAGTAACTGGGTGTTTCACAAGATGGATCATATGCCCTTATCCACTGGATGTTCTATTTATAAAAAGAAGAACTTTTTTTGCCATCTATCTAGACCCCCCCCAAAAAAAAATAATAACACCTCCCTCTCAGGCAGGAAACAGCATTTCCTACTTAGGAGTATACTGTCTCTACATAATTTATTTTCACAGTTCACTTGGCCAGAAGAACAGAAGTTCCCCTCACAGGAACTCCACGGGTAAGTCACCTTTCAGCTCTTCTACTTATTAATTACCAATGCTGCTCAGATAAACCAAGTGAAAATCGGAGGGAATAATACAGAATAACTCACGGTGAGGGGAATGTGCTTGACAATATGCCAAGATGCTGGCAAGATTATGCTTTTAAAAGAAAAATAAGAATCATCAAGATAGGGATAATAGAGAATTTGGGAACCATTCCAGCCTGTGATTGCATTAGAGTCTGAGGAAAATTGTGATGAATGATAAATGCTGTAGTACTCTGTGCTAACTGGGAAAAATAAAATCGGTCAAATGACAAATTTCAAATTTAATCTCTAGTCAGAGAGAAGAGACTTTGCTGAAACTTTGTTGAGATTCTCTTGTGTGAGGGGAATTTAAACGGACTTTCCCAATTCCTGCAGCTCTGTCTCAGTAAATGGGTCCTGTTTCTCCAAAGGAAAGGAAACCATAACATAGTCAAAACTGACAGCCAGTTACCCACAAGCTTCAGTCTTATTGATAGATCCTCTGTCAAATGTAGGGTAGTGTCAACTGCAAATGGGAGGTGGTGTGTTCTACCAAAAAGCGCAATGGCTCTGGAACCAGGGGACCTGGGTCCAAATCCTGCTCTGGATACTTACTCCTGGGTTGGCTTTGGGCAAGCCATTTAGCCCTCCTGGTCCTCAGTTTCCTCACCTGTAGAATAAGAAGGCTGGACAAAGTAGCCTCTAGGGTCCCTTCCAGCCCTATCTATGACCCTAGGAACCTATGTCAATAGAAAGAGCAACGGCTCTTAAAAGATCTGGATTGAAATCCCACCTCAGTTACTTACTACTTGTGTCACCTTGGACAAATCATCCAATTTTTCTGAGACTCAGTCTCCTTCCCTGTAAAATAAAGGGTTTGGGTGAGATGGCCCTGATGATATTTCCCGCTCCAGAATCTCCTATGATCCAAATCCCTCCTCTGACAACCTTGGGGAAATCATTTAATCTCCATGAGCCTTTTTCATCCTCCTCTGTAGGAAGAGGAAGTTGAACTCTATGGCTTCTGAAGTTCTTTCTAGATCCATGACTCTAATTCTGTGACTCACAATTCTGTGAAGAGCGATGCCTCATTCTGCATGGTACATGTTCCTTTCAGTAGCCTCATCTGGATAAAGAAAAGGGTCTGTATTCCTCAGTAGGCACTGGAGAGAGTCTAGGAATATGTTACTCCCTAGATTGTGTGTGGGCTGAGGTCAGGCTTCTGGTTAAAGAGGATGTGAAATATCTATGAGAAACCTAAGAAGTGTGTTGACTATGTATGGCCTGCAGTACACTTTTCACTTCACCATTATATTCATGAGGGACAATCCCTAAATATGGTTGAACAAAGCAGAAAAGAATGAGAGACCATTAAAATTGGTAAATTTGGGAGAACTTGAGTCATTCCCTTGAAGAAAAGGGTTGGGATATGTGGGTGCCATGTCCTAGATTACCTAAACTGACTTTATTTATTAAGAAAACTCAATGAAAGACTATGCATCTCTCTCCTTCATTTAAATTGTAGAGACCCCAAGCCAACCCAAGTTGAGACTCCAGTCCTCCTAGTTACAACATGCTACTGAAATGAATGTTCACCTAAGATGACATGTATAGGGGAAGTGGGGGGTGGTGGGGTGGAGCGTCTCTCTCAACCTGAAACTGTTGAAGTTTCACTCCCAATCACTGTGGAAACCCAGTATATTTCTACTGGTGGAATATGGTTCTCATCCCCATTCCCAATAGAGCAGAATTCTTAGCTTTGTGAAAATGATTGGCAAACCCTCACCAAATCTTGAAATGTTAGAAACTGGAAAAGAGACTAGGAGTCAATTAGTCTAATTCCTTCATTTTGAAGATCAGGAAACTGAGGCTTAGAAAAGTGAAACAACTTAGCCATGGCCTTCATGGCTAGCAAGTGGTGGGATATGAGTCCTTGGGTCTATTCCCTGTAAATACTCAATGTTGCCACTCATTCATTCAGCATATAGTTATTAAGCACATAACAATGAGGAGCTGGGTATACAAAAAGAGTCCCTTCCCTCATGAACCTGACATTCCATTTGAGGGAAGCAATATATACAGAGCTATGTAAATACCTACATGTAAAACATACACAAAGAAAAGTTTATGTGTGGATATGTGTCTGTGTATATAACTTAACTGTAATTTGTGTATTTAGGCTACTTTGTATTTAAGGGGACACATGAAGTGAACTCTATGCTTTTAAAAGGAACATCTCTTCTTTTATTCATAGGACAAAGCAAGATGGACAGTGAGACAACCACACCATTCTACTACCCAGATTTTGAAGAACCCTGCCAGAAACTTGATGTGAAGCTCATAGCATCACAGCTCCTCCCCCCGCTCTACTCCCTGGTGTTCATTTTTGGCTTTGTGGGCAATGCTCTAGTTTTTCTGGTCTTGATAAGATGTAAAAAGCTGAAAAGCATGACTGACATCTATCTGCTCAATCTGGCCATCTCTGATTTACTTTTCATTATCACTCTCCCATTTTGGGCTCACTACGCTGCAGACCAGTGGATCTTTGGAGATGGCCTTTGCAAGGCACTGACGGGATTCTATCACATGGGTTTCTTTGGAGGCGTCTTCTTCATCATCCTCCTGACCATCGATCGGTACCTGGCCATTGTCCATGCCGTGTTTGCTCTGAAAGCTAGGACTGTCACCTTTGGCATTTTGACAAGTGTCATCACCTGGGTGGTGGCGGGCTTAGCTTCCCTCCCAGCAACCATTTTCACCAAATCTCAAAAGGAAGGCATGCAACACACCTGCAGCCCTCATTACCCATTAGATCAATTTTCTACCTGGAAGAACTTCCAAGCTTTAAAGATGAATATTTTGGGGTTAGTGTTACCCCTCCTTATTATGATCATCTGCTACTCGGGAATCATAAAAACATTGCTGAGGTGTCGGAACGAGAAGAAGAAACATAAGGCAGTGAGGTTAATCTTTGTGATTATGATCGTTTACTTTCTCTTCTGGGCCCCCTATAACATCGTGGTTTTCTTGAGCACATTCCAAGTTTTCTTTGGTCTGAACAACTGTGATAGCTCCAAGAGGCTGGACCGAGCCATGCAAATAACAGAGACATTTGGAATGACTCACTGCTGTATCAATCCAGTGATTTATGCCTTTGTTGGGGAAAAGTTTAGAAGATACCTCTCTGCTTTCTTCCGCAAATACATTGTCCGGCGTTTCTGCAAACACTGTCCCATTTTCCATGGGGAGACATTTGACCGAGTAAGCTCAACATATACCCGGTCTACTGGGGAGCAGGACATTTCTACTGGTCTGTAAAGCAGATTTATTAGTGTGTGTGTGTGTGTGTGTGTGTATGTGGTTTTTTTTAAGTTAATGGAATAATTTGTATAAAGGTATTAAAATAAGTCCTCTTGGTCAGATTCTTTTAAAAACAGTTTATAGCCATGCTGATTGAAATGACTCATTCACTCATTTCTACAATCTTTTATTAAGCAGCCATTGTATGCTTTGTACTAGACATTTTCAAATCCATAAAATCAAATTCCCAACAAAGCTCAATGAAACTTGTCGGTGGAATGTAATCTCTGAGTTTTGTGTTGTGTCACCTAAAAATCAAACTATCAAAAATATTGACTATCTCTTCTGCCTTTAACAGCATGAAGGATATAAAGAATTATGAGACATAGTCCCCTACCCTCAAGGGTTTTACTATCTAGTTGAGAAAACATGACATAAACAGTCAAGAAACAACAAAAATAAATAACTTCTGTATTACTATATATAAGAGAAAGAATAAGGCAGGTAGAACATAATTGATTGCCCAAAGAAGGATCTAGACTGGGGGTTCTAGATTATTTTTTACATCATTGATCTCTTTGGCCATATCTACTGAAGCTCAAAGACTCCTCATAATAGCTTTTAAATGCATAGAATAAAGTACATGGTATTACAAAAGAAATTAATTATATAAAAATAATGTTATCAAAATGTTTAAAAATAAGTTCTTGGACTCCTAAATCTATCGATGGACCCCTTGGGGATTGACAGAACCTAGATTAAGAACCCTAATCCAGGCCTTGAATACTAGAGAAGACTAAGATTTGAGGACTAATTGGAGGGATTTAGGGAAGGGTTCACAGAGAATGGATTCAAGCTTTGCCTTAAAAGAGAATTGGACAGGTGGAAAGACGGGTATTTTAAATAGGAAAAAGTATCTGAACAAAAAGTGTAAAAAAGTATATGAAAGAGATGTGTTGGAGAGTAGCAAGGGCAGTTTGGCTGAAGGGCAAACAGATACGATCCTATTAAGCTATCACCCTCCTCTAAATGCCCATCAGTTCTGATCTCACCTGTGTTGCTCTTGTGTTTCCATTATGCCACCTCCAAGCATCTTGATTCTCTCATACCTTTTCTTGTTCCCCTAAAACCACTGCTCACTTAACTGTTTCTTTTGCTTTCCATCTATACTAACCTTCTAGCTCAACCTAAACCACTCTGTGGTAGAAGCAGGCCACAAAGATCATAGGAATGAATCCTAAAACATTCCAAAGAGGAATACTTCAGTATAGACAGAAGAAAAAAAGCTCAAAGAAGAGTCAAGGAAAAAAGATAGGCATGAGCTTCAGAGCAAATGAGTCCAGAGCTGGAAAGGATCCTAGAAATCCATCTCACACTATGCAAGAGGGAAAAACTGTGAGCCAAGGAAATGAAACAACTTGTCCCAAATCATGTGACTCTTTAGAGACAGAAACAGGATTCAGAGTTAGACCTTTTGATCCCGAATTTACAGCTTATTCTACTATTGCAGGCTGTGATGAAAAGGAACAAAGAAGAAGGAATTGTCAGCATATTGTCTCATCAAATAAAACTTGTTGGGTTTTCTATGGTGATTTAAAATGAAACATCACTCTCAACAGATTCAGGAGAGTTGTCTTATGACTTGTCTTATGACAACATTTACTTCCATTGGAGACTGCCAATAGGAGGACTGAGGATTCAGAATTTATAATCAAATAATAGATATAATCTATAATTAGAATGAAGTGGAGGTGATGTCGGGAAGAAAAGTTCAAGTTAGAAAGAGAATAAGTACTGAGAACAGAAGACAGATCCATGAAAGGGAAAGAAAGGGAAAAAAGAGAGAGAGAGGGAGAGAGAGAGAGAGAGAGAGAGAGAGAGAGAGAGAGAGAGAGAGAGAGAGAGAGAATGAAAGAGAGAGAGAGAGAAAGAAAGAAAGAAAGAAAGAAAGAAAGAAAGAAAGAAAGAAAGAAAGAAAGAAAGAAAGAAAGAAAGAAAGAAGGAGAAAGAAAAAGAAAGAAGGAAGATGCAGCTATGGAAATACAGAGCAGCTGTTAAGGGAATGAGAAAAAGAGAGAAGTCTGTGAAATAATTTTAGACTGTCTTTGGTCTCAAGGTTCTTCTTTCTGGTTTTCCTTGCGCCTATGATCTGGTTTCTTTCAAGACCATATGAACTAATGTTCACATATTTAAAATAAACATTCTACCCTCAATTGCACTGTGGTTTGAAAATGGATTTGCTCCATAATTGCAATATAAAAACATGATTGTCTTTTCAAAAATATTCTTAGGTGGAAATAAATACAACTGATAGGGAAAAATGGTGACCCAAGGCTTTTATTTTCCTATGATGTCAAATATGTCAAATAAGTAAGTGAGAGGGAGCCCTGGCCCACACATTTGACTAATAAAGTCCATGTTTCACTGCTCTCCAAGTGCAGTTGACTACTCTAACATTGATACGCTTCTATGGATGGATGTTCATGAAAAACCCTGAGAGCAGTTACTGTGCTTTCACCTCCTGTCAAGGTTTCTTTTGCCTATGCTCTCAGTGCCACCCTGAGCGTATTTGACTGGTTTTCCTGCTTGCTGACAGTTCTTGGGGTAACATAGTCTGTGATCTATAGTAGCAAGCAGCTCAGAGCACTAGTTTTCAATTCTTTTCTTCTAACTTGTCTGTAGTAAATATACAGTTATAAGCATTAAGCAAAAGGCTCTACCATGACATATATGGGCCACTATTAAGGGTACTGACCTGTCCTTTAAGAAACATTCTTCAAGGGACGTATGATCTGTACAAATTTTCTGGGCAAGTTTTTAATGTGCGATTATATTAGGCAACTATGGTATAAAACAATAAGATATTTAGAAGGATTCACTACCTTAAACAAAAGTACCTTTAAACATACATACAAATTTTCTGGTTTTCCTTGCTATAGAAAACAATAATCCAGAATTAATTGCAGCCACCAGCTAGGTAGCATACTGTATAAAGCAATGGGCCTGGAAAGAAGAAGACCTGAATTCAAATCCAGCCTCCAACACTTACTAGCTATGTGACCCTATGCAAGTCACTTTACCTCTAACTGCCTTGCTTTCAAGACCACATGAGCTAATGTTCACATATTTAAAATAAACATTTTATCCTCAACTGTACTGTGGTTTGAAAGTGGATTTGCTCCATAATTGCATTATAAAAACATGACTGTCTTTTCAAAAATATTCTTAGGTGGAAATAAATACAATTGATAGGGAAAAAATGGTGACCCAAGCCATAATATCTATAAAACAATGAGCACAGTGTCTGCCATATGGTAGGTGCTTAGTAAAGCCTTCAATGAAATCCACAGCCACTCAAAAGAAATGGATTTAGTAATCCACACAGGAAAACCCAACTGGATGAAGAATCTGCACTGCCCAGGTTACAGCGTGCAGTTGTATGGGCAAGCCACGGAGCTGGTCCATCAATCAGCACTTTGGAGCTGCCCTCGGTGGCCCGCAGTGACCCATTGGGGCCGCACGGGGGCGCAGCCCGCAGCCTGGAGGTCGTAGAAAGAGGAGGAGTCGCTGCTGGAGGGGCCTCTGCGGGAGGAGGCGCTGCCAAAGCCGCCGCCGCCGCCGCCGCTTCCTCCGCGCGTCTGGGTCCGCAGGGCTGCCCGCCTCGGCTCGGCTATCCGGGCCCCCGTTCCGAGCCGGCAGGGGCCTGAAGGTTCCGGGCCGGGCACGCAGATCTGGATGGGCGGGAGCCCCGGGGCCGCTCTCAGAGGTCTGGGCTGCGTCCGTGACAGCGCACGGTTCTTCTGGAGGCCGACGAAGCTGCGGAGTGCTGTCGGAGCACGGAGCGCTGTCGGACGTTCACCTGAGAGCGGCTGCTGGGCTTGTCTTGTCGATCGCGATGAAAGTCGTTTAAATGCCAAACTTTGGATTATCTTCGTGGGGAAGTTCGGATTCCTAAAGATGAGCCGCAGGAGAAGGCTGACGGCTTTAGCATCCCTTATCCTTACGTTTATCTGACCACTTGGCCAATGAAATGGACACATATGATTTACGGTCAAATATAGCACTTAAAAAGGCTTTGACACACTTGTGATTCTCATGAGGTAGCCTGGAACAAAGCTACTGTTTGGGTTCTACATATCTCAGCACATGTGGTGCAAGCTGGGCGAGCAGAATTATTGGGGGGGGGTGTCTGTGTGTGTGTGTGTGTGTGTGTGTGTGTGTGTGTGTGTGTGTGTCCACCCGTGTTTAAACAGCTAGGAGGAAGAATTCGAAGCATTTACAAGGGAGAGGCTGGAAATAATGTTCAAATAATTGGGCACAATGTCCCAAATAATTGGGAGCCGTCATCCAGTAGCAGAACTGAAGATGATTATGAATGCATTTGATACTTGGGAGGGTGAAGGTGCTAGCTACCGGCCTGTTCCACAGGAATCGATAGAATGCTGGACTCTTGACCTTTACAGGGAAATCTTCCTCACTTGGCTCCAATTAGAAAAAGGTGCTTCCTAGCCTTGAGTGAAGAGGAAGAGGGTGGTGTGAATTGTAAAGCAGGACCTAAACGCTTTAGATTCTGGGGTCCTTCCACAAGCACACATATCAAAGTCATGAATTCTGCTTCAGTAAAGGGGCTCACATCTAATACTTCAAAACCCTCTTCCCAGATGACAATTAAGCAGCCCGATAGTGACGGCCATTTAGTTGGATGCCATACAGTGTCAAAAACCATTCCTGACCCTGGCATTTCAATGTCTGTGAAGTCACCCTGTGGAACTGGAAGTGCAGAAAATGGTGAAACACACATCCCCAGAGAAGGCTTCCCCCACTGAAGTGATCAAACTGGAGTGGCCTCCTTTGTGTATACCTTCTCACCTGTCCTCTCCAGCTCTCCAGAAATGAATAAAACAAACCACTCCATAGCTACTCTAATAATGGATAATTTATATCATTTTGCTTGCCTTCTCAGTAGATGAGGAAGGAGTGAGAAGAAGGGAGAGAATTTGGAACTCAAATTTTAAAAAGAAAAGAATGTTAAAAATAAATCAGCCATGGATTTCACAGTTGATCATCATTACAACATTTCTGTAACACCTAATTGTGCACAATGATCTCTCAGTTCTCACATCACTTTACATCAGTTTATATAGATCTTGCCATGTTTTGTTTTGTTTTTTTCTGAAACCACTCTGCTGGTCATTTCTTATATCACAATAGTATTCCATCACAACCATATGTCACAACTTGTTCAGCCATTCTCCAATTGAAGAGCATCCCCTTAATTTCTTTGCCACTACAAAAAAAACCTACTATAATTTGTACATACAGACCCTTTTCCTCTGATCTCTTTGAGATACAGACCTAGTAATGGTATTGTTGAATCAAAAAGTAGGTACAGTTTTATAGCCTGGCAAAGTTCCAAATTGTTCTGCAGAATAATTGGACCAGTTTACAATTCCACCAGTACTTTATTAGTCTGCCTATTGTCCCCTCATCCCCTTCAGCTTTTGTCATTTCTGATAGGTATGAGGCAGCACTTTCAAGTTGTTTTAATTTGTATTTCTCTAAACAATAGTGATTTAGAGCACTTTTCATATGACTAGAGATAGTTTTGATTTCTTTTTCTGGAAACTGCTTGTTCATATCTTTTGATCATTTATCTATTGAAGAATGGAGCTTATTTTTATACATTTGACTCCGTTTCCTATATAGTTGAGAAATGAGGCCTTTATCAGAGACACCGGCTGTATAAAATTTTTGTTACTTCATTGTCTATGGTATCTTTTAGCAAAGTGCAGTTTCCCTGATCACTTCTTTTAATTAGTCCTTTTTTTGCTTTTATTTTGTCTGAAGTCATGATTGTTTCCCCTGCCTTTTTACTTCAGTTGAAGCTTAATAGATTCTGCTCCAGCCCTGACTCAAAATTTTAAAAAGTAAATGTTAAAAATGTTTTACATGTAATTGGAAAAAAATAAAATATTTGAAAAAAAATATGCTCATACCATCTGCTTCACCCAATAGTCATTAAGAAATGCTATGTAATAGCAAAAACATGTGCTGGCACAAACTTGCTTAATAAATGCTTGTTGAAAATCACCCTCTCATTCACCGGCTATGACTCATAGAATCACAGAATCTTAACAGTGGTAGGGACCCTAAAAGTCATCTAGTTCAACCTGCCTCCGGATGCAGGAATCCATTTTATAGTATTTCTGAAATGTGGTCATCCTGTCACTGCTTAAATACTGCCAACAAAAGGGGACTCACTACTTCACAAGACAGCCCATTCAATCCTTGGACATACAGCTCACTTCTTCACAAGGCAGCCCATTTTAACAACCCTCACTGTTGAAAAGATATTTCTTCTATTGAACTGAACTCTGCCTTCTTATATCTTCTACCTACTCCTCCTAGTTCTTTCCTCTACAGCAGAGAAATCTACCTTCTTTCCTATTCTAGCTTTTCAAATATTTGAAGACAGCTTTTATGCCTTCCCTTCGATCTCTTTTCTCAACTGAAGATCACAAATCTTTCGATTGTACCTCATAAGATGCTTTCCATGCCCTCCCAAGCCTCCATGCCTGACTCTGGGGTCATTCCAATTTGCCAATATTTCTCTTCAAATGTAATACCCAGAGCTGGGGGATAGGACACCGAGAGAAATTTAGGTGACATCAAGACAAAAGATATCAATAAACATTTCTTTTTTTAAAATAATACAGTATTCTGAATTGTATAAAATGTTCCAGATATGCCTGGTGAGCACAGAATGCAGTGAGACTGTTCCTTCCATTCTTCCAGACACGCTCCCTGTATTCAGACAGGAAGCTGACATCAGCCTTGACAATAATTTTTGTGACTGCCTGCTTTGCACTGATTTCAGTTTCACTCTGAGTTTCCATTTCTCTCATTAAGAAAACAGACACACTTGCCACGTGACTGCCAAGAACAGCGTGTGAGTGTTGGGCTGGTGACCGGGGATGCCTGCAGAGCTGGAGCCACTGAGCCTGGGGCTGGATTTCATCATCATTCTGATATACCGAAGCGGAATTTCCTAGGACGCAGTATATAAAGGAAGGGTCCCGGGGTGGTGAGTAATCGCTTTGCTGATGGAGTCGGATTGGCTACAACTCTGTCGTCCCTGGGCAGAAATGGTTCAACCATGAAGAAAGAAACTGCCTGACCTAAGTCAGCCATCAGCAGGTGGGGAAGGGGGCTGCGTGGGTCATTAGGGCCGTTGAAATCGTTCTCTGAGGTGCAGCTGTTCTCTCTTAGTACACTGGGAAGGTGGCTGACGGAGGGAGGTGGAAAGTATTGTGAGTTTCTATCCCTACCACTCAGAATATCTTGGGAAATGAGGCTGTGCTTAATACCCACACCAGAGTAGGGGGGTATTAATTTATCGAAGGTAAAGATATATAAATTTAGTTACCACCTTGGCTGCACATCTGATTTGGTTTTTTAAGAGTTATTCATATCTTTTGTTTTTACATCACCTTTATTTTATAGTGGGAAAAGTACTCCTTCTGGAGTCAAAGGACCTGGGTTCAAATCCTGATCTTGACCCTGACTACCTGTCACCCTGGGCGAGTCCACTTAACTTCCCTGTTTCTCGATTTCCTCATCTGTAAAATGAAGGGGTTGTGTTAGCTGACCTCTGAAGTTCCCTCCAGTCCAAAATCTCTGATGCTATTTCTGAATATATCCTTCCTGCTTCCTTTACTCAGAAAGCTATGCCTTGTAACTGAGAATCAAAAAGAAAGAGCGGGTGGGGAAGCAGCTCAGGAAAACGACCATTGATTGCTTCTGAGAGCTTATGCGTTGTTTCACACTCACAGCTCTTGCTTCTACAAAAAGAGAGGGTGATGTATTTTCTCATTGTTTCTTCTGGGCCAAGCTTGGTCAGTATAATTACACAGCATTAAGTTACCTTCTTAGTCCTTTTTAATTTTTTTTTTACATTGTATTCTTTGTTCTCCCTATTCAAGTCATGTCAACAATTATTATTAAGCTCCTACTATGTGCCAGGCACTGAGCTAAGCACTGGGAATATAAAGAAAAGTCTAAATAAACTCAGCCCTCAGGAAGAGGACAATCTAATATTGGGGAGGGGCAACATGCAAGCAACGAGGGACAAACCAGATATATATAAGATAAAATGGAGATCATCTCAGAGGGGAGGCATTAGAATTAAGGCAGACCAGGAAAAAGCTCTTGCAGAAGGGGTGACTGTAGCTAAGACTTAAAGGAAGCTAGGATAGCCAAAAGAGAGAGGTGAGGAAAGCGGATGTTCTATTTTACTATGTTATTGTCATTGTATAAATTACAATATTATTGTTATATAAATTGTTCTCCTGGTTCTGCTCACTTGGTTTTGCATCAGTTATACAGGTCTTTCCACAATTCTCTGAAACCATCCCTATTCATCACTCCTTATTGCACAACAGTGGTCTGTCACATTCACATGCCATTATTTGCACAGTTACTCACCAGTTGGTGGGTAATCTCTCAGATTTCAGTTCTTTACCACCACACAAAGAGCTGCAGCAAATATTTTTGTACATAGGGGTACTTTTCCTTTTTCTCAGATCTCTTTGCAGTATGGACTCCTCTCCCCACCCAGTGGTATCACTGGAGCATAGATTCATATTGCTTTTCAAAATGACTGGACCAGTTCACAGCCCCACCAACAGTGCATTAATGTACCTGTTTTCCTACAGCTCCTGAAGCATGTGTCTTTTTTCCTTTGACAATTTTGCCAAGTTCTTTTAATTTGTATTCCTCTCATTATTAGTGATTTGAGGCACTTTTCCATAAAGCTATTGATAGCTTGGATTTCTTCCTCTGAAAAGTACTTGTTCATATCCTTTGACCATCTCAAACGTATAAAGTTTTCATTAGTTTTCCTCTATACCTGAGAAATGAGGACTTTATCAGAGAAACTTGCCACAAAAACTTTCCTCCCAATTACCTGGTTCTCTTATAATTTTAGTTGCATTGGCTTTCCAATAGAAGACTTTATATTTGATTCTAGAACTAACAGGGAGCCATGGAGTTTTCTTTGAGTAGAGAGGTGACATGGTCAGACCTGTACTTTACGTAGATCATTTTGATAGATGAGTAGAAGATGGCCCAAAGAGGAGAGAGACTTGATGTAGGGAAACCAACTAAAAGGCTATTGCAATGGTCTAGTCATGAGGTGATAAGAGCTCGTACACAGGTGATAGCAGTATCAAAGGAGAGAATGGGGAGGGTAGGAGAGATGTTGTATAGGCACAATCAACAGGTCTTGGCAACAGATTGGCTATGGGGAAGAGGTGAGAGAGAAAGTAGGGAGTCAAAGATGACACCCTAGGTTGCAAGCTGAGTGACTAGAAGGATGATGGAACCTGTGACAATAATAAGGAAGTTAGGAGAGGGAAGAGTTGTGGGGGAGAAGATAATGAGTTCCATTTTGGACATGTTGAATTTAAGATGCCTACAGGACAACCAGTTAGATGTCTAATAGGCAGCTAAAGATGTGAAATTAAGGCTCTACAGAGGGGTAAGAGATGGATAAATAGTTCTGAAATAGAGCATCTGATTTACTTCAGTTCATCTAATTCTTCCCTGGCTGCCAAGGCAATTGATCTGAAACTCTGCTTTATCCCTCTTTAGGCATACTGGAGTGTGTCTAAGATGGCATTTCTACCAGAAACAGAAACATCTCAGCTCTTCCCCTGCCACTGTGTAGATACTGGTACTATAACTGTCCATAACATTCTGTCTCCTATCTTTGTACTTCTGCATAGTCCCCACATCTGGAATGCCCTTTCTCCTAACCTCCACCTCTTAGAATCCCTAGCTTCCTTCACTTCCTACAGGAAGCCTACCCAGATCCTCAGTTGCTGGTATACTTTCCTCCAAAATTATTTTATCTATTATCTATTCTGTATTTTCTTATCTGTGTACACGCATGCCCCCAACTTCTAACAGAAGGCCTCAAGGGCAGGCCCTGTTTTGCTTTTGCCTCTGAATTCCTAGTTCCAGGGCCAGTGTTGGCACTGGGTGTTCGATACATGCTTGGTGGATTCACAGCCCTCCGGGTAAAAACGTGTGACTTGTCAGCTGTGAATGCTTGGGTGGGGGTCAATAGCCAAAGAAGACTATTCTTGGACCTGTGGTTGGCCTCCAGTGTCACAAGCCACAGCAACTCCATCTCTGCCTAAATCAATCATAATACCACTAACCACCCTTTTAAAGGTCAGTCTCAGCTAATGTGAAATAACATTCGTGACGTTTAAAACTCAACCTTGAACTTGTATGGCTTGAGTAGCTTTTGTGATAGAAAAATTATCAGGGGCTGCTTTCAAGTGGAAAATTCCTCAGATTAAAAAGGGAGAATCCTCTCTGAGGAGCTTTTAGCAAGTTTAGGAGGTGTCTCTTGGCCATTTGAGGGTACCTCCGGGACAAGAAAGATGCAGTTATTGCCATGCCGGGACTCTTACCAAGAAGAATGATCTTCAATAGTCTATATAGAGCAGTGAGGTGGCACAGTGGATAGAGCACCAGCCCTGACATCAGGACGACCTGAGTTCAAATCCGACCTCAAACCAAACACTTGACACTTACTACCTGTGTGACCCTGGGCAAGTCACTTAACCCCAACTGCCTAAAATAGTCTATATAAATGGCCTCTGCCAACTGAATAGTCATCTACAGCTAGGAGGAGGTATTCCTTGGGTTCAAAAACTCAACTTCACAAAAGCACAGCTGAGGAAATAGGGCTAGTTATTGAGAAAAAGATCTTGGTGATTTAGCTAACCACATGCTCAATAAGTCAGAAATAGCATCTGGCAATCCAAAAAGCTATTATGATCTTTGGCTGCATTAATAGAGGGAGGCAGAAGTGGGAAGGATTTGGGGAAATGGCAACATTTTTTAAAAAGCATCAGCAAGGTTGTATAGAGCACCAAGCCTGGAGTCAGGAAGACTCCTCTTCTTGAGTTCAACTGTGGCCTCCAACATTTACTATCTGTGTGACCCTGGGCAAGTTAGTTAACCCTGTCTGCCTCAGTTTCCTCATCTGTAAAATGAATTGGAGAAACAGAAGGCAAACTACTCCAATATCCTTGCCAAGAAAATCCCAAATGGGGTCACAGAGAGTCAGACACAACTGAAACAACTCAACAACCACAACCACCACAAACTTGAAAAGTTGTGATGGGGACTAAGGATGAGACAGTGTACACTGAAGGGACCTCAGAGGTCATCTAGTCCAACTACTTTATTTTTTGGATGAGTGAAGTCCAGGGAAGTTATGTGAATAGCCAAGTTCATGCTGGCAATGACTGACAAACACAGGATTCAAAGCCAGGAGGCATTTTTCTTTTGTACCACACTGCCTCTGTTTGGTCCCAAAGTACTTACGTCAAAACAATGGATAGAAGTTGCAGAGAGGCAGATACTAGGCTTTATGTAAGCAAAATGCCCTAATGACAAAAGCAATGGGTGACCTTGGGAGGAAGCAGGTTCCCCATCACTAGAGGTCTTCAAAAACCAAACAAATGGACCACCTACCACTTTTTAGGGATTCTTGGAGAGGAAAAGTTGGATATGGGTTAGTTTCAGTGTCCTTTGATGTCCCTTCTGAGTCCGTGTCTGTGCTGATAGAAGTATTTTGAAAGAACTTATAGTCATAGGACCACTTAAAAGAGACCTGGTGCCCTCATTCATAGTCTTTATGAACAAACATTTGACTCACTACGTAGACAAAAGGAAGAGGTGGCAGTCCCTCGACAAGAAAGACAACAGAGTCACACCAGGCATGACAGAAGGCCCCAAGGTAACGCAGCTAGGGTCTGCTGGAATCAGGCTCCTAAAGGGAGCAGCACTGAATTTGACATGGGCTGTGTTGTGTGATGTGACTGATGCTTTAGTTTGCCCTACCACTGACCCAGGAGCAGGACTATAGAGGGCAGCCTTTAGGAAGGCAGGGAAATTCTAATCAAGGCGTTACCTCTGTCTCTGAAAATATGGTCAGACCTGAAAAACCAAGAGAGTTACTCCCGTCTCCCAGGCTCTGACTGATCAGTCAAGCATTTACTGTGTGCCAGGCATTCTGCTAAATACATAAACAAAAAGCAGAGAGAGACCACTGCCTCAAGAAGCTCACACTTGAATGGGGAGACAACATATGTGAATCAGAACATACATGATATATACAGAGAAGATAGAAGATAACCTTGGAAGGTCATCTTAGCAGCTGATTATACTAATAGCTGGGGGGACCAGCACAGGCCTTCTGAAGGAGAGAGAGCTTGAGTTTTAAAGAAAGGTAGGGATTCTAAGAGTCAGATTGGGAGGGAGAGGATTCCAGGCATGAAGAATAGGCATTGGAAAGACAAGGAGATGGGAGATAGGGTGCCATGTTTGAGGAACTGCAAACAGGCCATTATGGCTAGATCACAGGGTGTGAGGAAACAAGTAAAATGTCATAAGATTGCAAAGGTGGGAAGGTGGATTGTCTTCCTCACATGACAGATGAAGACACTGAGGTTCAGAGACTTGCCCAAGGTCACACACTAAATGGCAAAGCTGATACTCAGCTCCAGTTCTGACTTTCAGTCCAATCTTCTCTCCATTAGGCTACACTGCCTTCAGTTATACTCCAATTATTATGGTGCCCTGCCTTGCCACCGTGGCCCCTGAAAGCTTCCGATATAGAGCAGGCTGCCCCTATGGTTTGACGGCAAGATTTTTAAATTTTTGGTCAGAGCAGGTATTGAAGACAATATGAATTACGGATGAGAAGCTATTCATGACAAATGCAAGATCTTTGAGGGTAAAGATCAGCTTTTCTTCGGTCATCTTTTTTTGTTTGTTTATATTCATGATTTCCTTGGTTTACAGAATTCCCTCCACCCCAGCAGATCAACAATTGTTCTGTGTAACTAACGGTCTTCAGATCCAAAGCACGAAAGGGTTAAGTGGCTTGCCCAGAACCACACATCAAGGACGCCTGAACCAGGTTTTCCTGACCCCAGCGCCAGTTCTCTACCCACCATACCACAGTGTTATCTAACGTGTAACAACCATTTTAAAACTAGTCATGCCGAAGCATAGCGTTCAGATTCATTTAACAAGTATTTGAGCACCTGCTGAGAGGTATTTGAAGGTAACTAAGAATATGGTTCCTTATCTTCAAGGAGTTTTCCATCTATTATTAGTAGAGTTTAATAAGTATGTTATTAAATTAAGTTCAACAAACATTTACTAAGTACTTACTAGGTGTAAGACTCATTTTCGGTACTAGGAGACAAAGACTAATTGAAAAATAATCTCTGCTCTCAAGGAGGCAGGGATACAAGATGCAGACAGGTATGTAAATGAAAGTTAATCTCAGGAAGGACAGAGTAGTAAAAAGAAGGGACCAAGAAAGGCTTTCTGTAGGAAGCAGCACCACCTGAGTTGAGCCTTAAGGGAAGCATGTGGGGGTAGTTTTTGGAAAGGCAAGAAGGGAGGGGATGTAATGATGAGTTATAGTAATGGCAGGTAGAACCAATTTGGCTGTCTTTACCGCACGTTCGAAGAGGAGTAGAATGTAGTCACATCATAGGAATAGCTGATGTATATGAATTCAATCATGTGTATTCAGCAAAAGAAAATAAATAGTACAGGTGCTTTGGCTGCTCTGCCACTCAGTGTGTGAATGACCAAGAGCAGGAGATGGGAGGCCTGCATGTTCCTTTCCCTTAGTCATAGTTCTCTTCATTATATTCACAGTCTGTTCATTCTGCGTAGGTTGACAGAGCTAATAAGCTAATGAAAAGGAGACCCTAAATTTGCCTTCCTGGAATTCCTGGTCAACCAGGATGCCCCTCAAGTGTTTCCTTTGGCACCTTTGTTTCTCCTCTTGTTGTTGTGATGGTGGTGGTGGTGGTTGCTGGTTGCTGGTGTTTAACTCTTCATGACCCCATTTGGGGTTTTCTTGGCAGAGATATTGGAGTACTTTGCCATTTCCTTCTCTAACTCATTTTATTAATGAGGAAACTGGGCAAACAGGATTAAGTGACTTGCCCAAGCTCACAGCTAGTAAGTGTTTGAAGCCATATTTGAACTCAGGAAGATGAGTCTTCTGACTCCAGGCCTGGCACTCCATCCACTGTACCATTCAGCTGTTCCCGTATCCCCTCTTTCCTGATGGTAAAGCAGGAAGAAGAAACAGTTGGGGCTGTGATCACCCTCTATTATAATCTCACTTCACTTCAAAGTCCCTTCAAGAGTATTTTCTTCCTACCATCTAAACCTTCAACAGCTTTTTTTTTTTTTAATATGAGCAAAAGCCCTGGCTTCTGCCTGTTTCTTAATCAATAGCTTATCTGGGTGTGGTGAAGAATGAACTTTATATTCGATTGTTTCCACAGCAGATCAACACTTCAGTTGAGTCTGCTCTCTGACTTAGACTGCCTTATAGAGTCCCTTATGCCCTTCCCAGGTACATATAACTGTTGAAAGAGCTATATTGTATTTTACCTAGGATTTATCAGCTTTTCGAGATTAATTTTGATTATACACAATTTTTACCTTATACACTGACTTCAGAACCTAATTCCCCACACTGCACTGTGAAATGTCTGGAAAGGTGGACTGGAGGCAGACTCTGGGTGATAGGTATAATGCCAAGAAAGTTCAGAGGAGAGGGCGACCGTTTCTGGCTTGAAGGCACAGTGGGGCAGGGAGATCTGAAAAGGTTTTAAGGAACAGGAAGCATTTGGAGAAGGACTTAGAGGATGGGTAGGATTTCAAGGGTAGAGATGGAAAGGAGGTTATTCCGGGATAAGGAATGGAATGATGTAAGACTCATTTTAAAACAGAAGCGAACCATCAGAAGCTACAAACTATTCTGCAGAGTAGCCACTTCATATGCTTATCTTGGGTAGCCAGGAGAGTTGGCAAGCGGGAAAACCAGAGGTAGGTTTGGGGGAGGGGAGGAAAAGAAAGAAAAACAACAACTTCCTTTATTTTCACAGAAGCTTCTGAAGTCCAGATGACTTACTTGGAGAAGCCTTCAGTTTACTTATTTCAGGAAGTTACAAAGGCTGACCCATGGGTAAGAACTAAGAGAGAGACGAACTTCTTCCTGTTCTTCGGGGCTCAGAACTAGAGCTATAAATGACAGAAGTCTCATTATTTAGCAAATGTATTGTTCCTTTACATGGCTCTTTTGGCGACTGGTCAGAAAACAACTGAATTTCACATAGGAAGATCTTTCTGGTAAGCCATCTTCTTTTAACTAACTGCTGAGTAGCCAATATATGTTATGTTTGCTTCTACAAACTCTTGCTTACGCATGTTTTCTTAGAACTAAGATAACAAGCCTTGTATGAGAAACTTTCAATTGGTGAATAAAACACACTTTTTAAAAGATTACTACATACTACCTATATTTCTCTCTTAAAGGTGTACATTAAGGTGAATTGTGTTAGGCAAGTTATGATGCTTGGTTCTTTAGCATTTTTTACTGGAATGTCTTCTATTATTTGCTAATTATTTCATGAGTACACGTTTTGTTCTACTCCTCCCCTTTCTTTTCCCCACTCCCACTCCCCAAATGGTTGTGAGCTCCTTAGAGGGTATTTGATATACTTTTCAGTTCTCCCATAGCACTATGTGCACAGAGCTGAATACTTGTTTAGCTAAATAGCTAAATATTTGTTTAACTGAATTCATTGCTTTGGTAAAGTATGGACAAATTCTGAGAAATTTTTATTCCATACATGAATGAAAATGATGTATGGAAGAGCTAAATACTCTGGTTAACATTATATGGTGGGGAAGTAGGCAGTAGAAGTATTATCACCCTCATTTTTGCAGATGAGGTAATTCAAGCTTTGAGCCCTACCTAAATGCCAGTTGTTAGTATGTACAGTAAATGGAAGAGTACTGTTCTTAAAAAGAGACTTAGAATGTTTAAGTGACTTGCCTAGGGTCACAGATCCAGTAAACGCTGGAGATAGGAGGCCAACCCAGGGCTTCTAACTTTAAGGCCAATGTTTTTTCCACTACGAAACACCAACTCTGTAAAGGGGAAGCATACTTATGTTTACTATTCCTGCTTTGTTTTTTTTCTTTTATTTAGAGTAAGAGAAAAAAGATCCTTCACAAGACAGCCCAAGATGGATAATGCCACTTCGACAACCTACTATGATGTTTTAATAGAAGATGACTTCAGTGCTGATGTGATAGACCAGTGCCAGAAACATGATGACAAAGTCTTCGCAGCACAATTTCTGCCCCCGATTTATTCCTTGGTATTTATATTTGGCCTGGTAGGCAATGCCCTCCTTGTGCTAGTCCTGGTCAAATATAAAGGACTCAAAGAGGTGGTGGACCTCTTTTTCCTAAACACAGTCATTTCTAATTTCCTTTTCTTGGTCACCTTCCCTTTCTGGATTCATGCTGCAATACACAGCCGGAACCTCGGAGATACAATGTGTAAAATGATTTCTGGGTTCTACTCAGTCGGCTACTATGGATACACATGTTTCCTGGTACTGTTGATAATACATAGGTACCTGGCAATTGTCCATGTGGGAAGATTTCACTTGGCTGCTAAGAAGACCACCTATAGCATCATTACAAGCATGTGGGGACTAGCCATTCTAGCCTCTTTACCAGAATTGGTGCTTTCCCAAGTTCAAACGGAAGGCAGAGATGACATCTGCCACTTTGTTCAACCTCATTATCCTCTAGGGGATGAGAAGTTCTGGAAGCATTTTCTGACTTTAAAGATGAACATTTTGGGACTTCTCATCCCACTGTTTGTTGCTATCTTTTGCTATGGGAGAATTAAAAAAACATCAAGATATAAGGAGAAAAAGTATGGACTTTTTAGACTTATTTTTGTCATGACCCTTGTTTTTATGGGGTTGTGGACACCTTACAACCTAGTTCTTTTCCTTATGACTTTTCAAGAGCACTTGAACCTAAGCGATTGTGAGAGCAGCTATCACCTGGACACAGCTGTCCAGGTAACCAGAATTATTGGCAATACTCACTGCTGCATTAATCCTGTGGTCTATGGGCTTCTGGATGAGACAGTTCGCAGACGCCTCTATTGCCTTTTCCATCTCCAAAATAACACTGAAGGTCATTTGAGGGAGGGCCCAGAACAGCAATCACCAACAACAAAAGGACCATTGTACCATTCCACTAAATTTTAAATATATTCAGTGTAGGCTAAATAAATACAATTCCCTTGATTTCATGTATTACTTGGCTTTGGGTAATTATTTTGTGTAAATCTATCTCTATTATGTACTTAAACATATATGTACAAGGGTATGCATGTGTACACATATATGCATGCACATACATGTATAGGAGCAAATATGTATAGTATATATCATATCTAACTAATTAATCATAAGTCCCTTGAAGATGGGGTGAGCTGGGGTACAGGCTCCGACCCTATTTATCTTCCCATAAATCCTCTCAAGGGGCTCCACCCAATGGACAGGGACTTTCTCTATTCCTCATACCGCATGAATACCAATGGAACAAATGAAATGCCCATTGGCTATCTTTTGCTCTTACCCCGTGTCCACCTTTTTCAGTTATACATTTCTATCCTCTTTTTTCTTCTCACTTCTCTGGTGCGGTTATCAGTTGATGATGTGTTGCTGGGGCAAGTAGGTGGCACAGTGGATAGAGTGCTAGGCCTGGAGTCAGGAAGACTCCCCTTCCAGAGTTGAAATCTGGCCTCAGACACATACTAGCTGTGTGAGCCTGGGCAAGTCACTTAACCCTGTTTGCCTCAGTTTCCTCATGTTCAAAATGAGCTGGAGAAGGAAACGGCAAACCACTCCAGTATCGCTGCCAAGAAAACCCCAAAAGGGGTCACAAAGAGTTGGTTATGACGGATAAACAACTGAATACATTTATTGCTGCCAATCCACACCCTCTCTGAGCTGCTCCACTGCCTTATGAGTGACTCAAAACTCATTCAAGGACCAAGTGTGACATAGTGGAAAGAGTGGTAGACTTGGAGTGAGGAAGAGCTAGGTTCAAATCCTTCCTCTGACAATTGCTGGCCGTGTAATCCCCAGCAAATCAATTAACTTCTTTCAGTTCTGTCAAATGCAAAACAGAGATAACCACGTGCTAACCTGCCTTGGAAACCTTAAACTGCTACATAAATGTTAGTTATCTTTCTACATAGCATTGCCAGAAGAATTTTCTTGTTAAAAGGATAGGCCTTTGTTTTAGCATGACATTAGGGGTCATTAAAAAGTACTGTGTAATTTCCATGTTACCTAGCTTGCTCTCCTTTCTAATTCTGGACCAGCTCACTATCCATCTGCGATCTCTCTCAGTGCAACTCAACTAGCACTGATGAAGTGACTGTCATGTACCAAGCACTGTGCTAGGCACTGCACAAGGACAAAAGGCAAACATTTCATGCTCTCAAAAATTTAAATTCTACTGCGGGTCGGGGAAGAGAGGGCAACAGAGGACACAAATGTGCTAAAAATCAAATATAAGATACATGCAATTTCCAGGATACTGAATAGACCCTTAGGGCATTACCTTAAGAGTAGCCATGATACTGTGAATTTGATTATCAGCGCCGGATGGTCAAGGAAGCAGTCCTTGAAGCTGGACGGTTATAGAGGAGTGAGGTATGTTTGAAATGCTCACATTGCAATTCTCACCCAGGTCAGTTCTTCCCCAAATGAAACACTGATTGGTTAAAATTGTCACAGAGATGGAAAAAGGACATGTGGGTTGGTAGTTACTAGCATCCTCTTCATTGCATGTATTTAACAATAAGGCATGTGACTTTTTTGCTAGTACCTTGAGATTCGATCCCTTAGTGCACTCAAAATTGGGCCACCCCTATGATAGACTTCCTCTGTGCAGAGTCATTTACATTTAGTTTAGCCAAGCTTCTCTTCCCATCTTTGTTTCTTATTGCTATTCCTACAATAATTCCTTATATAATATACTCGAGACTGAAGTGTTGAAGCCCAAAGATGGTGGTTTTACTGGAATTTGTGATGAAAAGACATTGTATGAAAAGTTTTACAGATGTTTTCCATTTTTCATCTTCTTTTTGTCCTCCAAGTTTCATCTTAAAAATCCTTCAGGATGGCTTTGGTGATTTGGTGTTTCACCAGTCTTGTGGGTTTGTTTTTCCCTTTTCTTTCTCTCCACTGCTTCCTGCTGCTTGATGGGGTGATACTGCTCATAAAGGAAGAACTTACAAAAGCCTTTAAACCAATGTTGCCTTGGACGTCATCTCTCTCTGTTTGATGATTAAACCAAGCGATTGTGGTGCCTAAGATGTTTTCTCTAGTCTCCATTTTCTGGCAGTTGATTTACAAAGGTTTAAACTTTCTTAAGAATAGTATTAGTCAATATCTGTTCTTTTATATATTACCCATTTTTTTCCATCAAGAGCTTGTTCAAAATGCCTTTTGAAGTTGACTGAATTGTTAGCCATATCTTCTTCTCTTTTATTTTGTCTTCCATTTTGATATTGATTTTTATCTTTGCTCTAACAAATTAGTGGTCTGACTATATACAGATCGCTGGTTAAAAAAATACCTCTGACACCCATGACAAGTTACTTCCTACCTGTTAAAATTTCATTTTTATGATGTTTCTTGGTCTCTAGTATTTGCAGATTCCCTTCTTGAAAAAAAGTGTTCATGACATATGTGTGTGAGGCTTCTGAATATTCTATAAGCTTTTGACTTCTCTCATGTCTTACTCCTTACCCATGTTTTCAACTTATTTTTTTACAGCTGAGTCATCAAGCCTTATTAAATAATAATAATTCACATGTGTATTTCTCTTTTAGATTTATAAAGCAGTTTCATTCATTATGTCATTTGACCATCACACAAGTTCTGTGAGATAGGTAGTACAAATAAATATTATCTCTGTCGACAAATAAGGAAACTGGACTCTATGCAAATGCCTGCATACATAGATTCATGTGTATGTATATGTATGTGTATGTATGTATGTATATGCATGCAGCTCACATCTCTTTCCTGAGCTCTAGTCCTCTTATCACCTACTGCCTGCTAGACATTTCTACCTGGGTGTCCCATGAGGTTCTCAAACTCAAAATGTCAAAAGCAAAATGCATTGCCTTTTCCCCAAAACCCTGCCCCCAAACCTCTGAATTTTTATCTTTCTGTTGAGGGCACAACCAACCTTCTAGTCACTGAGAGTCATACCTGACTTCTCACTCTATTGCATATCCATACCCAATCCACACCCAGTTAACCAAGTCTTATCAATTCTACCTCCACATCATAACTTTCAGTAGTACCATTCTCCTCTTTCCCAAAGCAACCACCTTCCTCACCTCTTTCCCCAGGTAATAGCATTCTAAATGGCCTCCAGTCTATCCTTTCTCCAATCCTTTCCTCACCCGGCTACCGAGAGATATCCCTAAAGCACAGATCTAACTATTCCTCTGTTCACAAAGTCTCTAGGGATCCTATTGCTTCTGGAATAAATGCCAAACTCTTCTGCTTGACATTTAAAGCCCTTAACAACCTAGCTCCAACCTATCTGTCTAGGCTAACGTCAAATTACTTCCACCCCTCTATTTTCCAGCCAAACTTGCCCCCACCCTCACATCCCACTTCCTGCCTCTCTGGTCCTTCACATAATTAGAAAGGGTCAGAGCTAAGAATTGAACCTAGGTCACGAGATGGCTTCGGCTAATGATGCTGAGAGCCGTCCGCTGAAGAGGAACTCACCCCCCTGCCAAAGCTTCCCACGCCATTTCTGGACAGCTCTAACAGTTAGGAAGTTTTAGAGGAAAACTTCATCAATCTTAGCTCTGCCCCCAGCAAATCAAGCAGGAGACTCTAACTGAAGGAACACAAAACAGTACTTGTATGTCAGGAAGAGAAACACTAATGCCAGAATCCAAAACATGATGGGGAAAGGGCGGTGGTGTTTTTGTTGCTGTGTCGTTCAGTCCTGTGACCTCATTTGGGGTTTTCTTGGCAGAGATACTGCAATGGTCTTCCATTTCCTTCTCCAGCTCATTTTACAGATGAGGAAACTGAGGCAGACAAGGTGAAGTGACTTGCCCAGGGTCATACCACTAGGTAAGTGTCGGAGGCCAGATCTGAACTCAGGAAGATGAGTCTTCCTGACTCCAGGCCCATCACTCTAACTACTTTGACACCTGATCTAGAACTTGAAATTTTAAGAAACTTAAAACTTTTACATTTTTATCACACACACACACACACACACATACACACACACACACAATCTATATATTTCTATCTGTCTATCTACGTATCCTGAAAGGGGGACAGGAACAAAGATGTGGTGTGACAAAAATGTAAAAGTTTCAAGTTTTGTAATAGCTTTGAGTTTCCAATTTTATGTAAAATCTGTACATTTTAATGGAGCAGTAAATATTCCTTTGAGAAAAGCAACACGTTAGATTGTTTTCTCTAAGAACTGAGATAGATATGTATTGTGTATATGTATATATTGTCGGCTTCCTTGTGCTTCTGTTAAGAACAATGACAAAAGAACAAGTAAACATGACATTCCTGGATGATGTTTTATAATTTTTGTCCTGAAGGTAATTAAGAACAAGACTGAAAAGGCAGGACAAAGTATTGAATATCCCTTAGGTTCAATTGAATATACCCAGATGGATTTTATAAAAACATGTGTAAGGACTCGTGCCAACTTCAGTGGGTTTGCAGCCTGTCTGGGCCCTCCAGGCCAGGTGGCCTCCCTTCATCCTGGGGACTGTCCTGCGGCCTCCACCCTGTGGAAGAGGGCCGGGCCCCTGGGCCACACGCTGTCCCAGGCCCATGCCTCTGCCTCTGGCACCGGACATCCAGCATTGAACCCTGTGTAAAGAGAGGCTCGCCTCCCAGCTTGAGCCGGCTTGGCCCAGAAGACCCCTTGTGGGGGAGGGGCCTACCAGGCGTGGAGAACCTGCAGCCTCCGGCCCACATGTGGCCCTCTAGGTCCTCAAGTGAGGCCCTTTAGCTGAATCCCCACATCTCACAGACCAAATCCTCTTTAACCTCTTTAGTTCTCTTCAACTTTTAAAGTGTGGCTCTGGAAAATAAATGTGTTCTGTGAAGTTTGGGGATTCAGTCAATTCTCCACCCACCCTGATAATTCCTGCTTATTGGGCCCTGAGTGACTTTTCATGGGGTGGGGGGAGGGGGGGTTCGAGGGGGGAAGGCCAGATTTGGTTGGAGTCAAGAAGGCTTCAGAAATTCAAGACACAGATAAAACAGAAGGAAACACAATGCCACGAAGACATCTTGTTTTGGGCAGTCAGGCTGTCAAATGTTGGTAGAAGGGGCATCTTTCCAAAAAGAAATTACAAGTGGGAACTTTCAAAAAAGGAAAAAAGAAATATTTCAGAGAATCTGCGCTCGTTTTAGCTTAAAGTCAAAGGTATCAAAATAAAATATGAACTTTTCTCAATGAAAGAATCTTCACTACTTTTTTGACTGTGGGGGAAGACTTCGAGAGCCAGGGGGTACGTCACTTCCACCCTGGTTGGCGGGAAACTCCGGCCTGAGGGCTTGGAGCTCCAGGCGCGCTTCGCCCCTCCCCCACGGGCGCTCTCGCCTCACGCCCAGGGCGCGAGCTCGGGGTTACCTCAGGTCGCGTGCTCAGCTTGACCTCGGAGCCTCGTTTTGGAGTCCCGCGCAGCCGCAGTCTCCTCGTAGCCGCGCTCAGTCCTCTCAGTCGCCTCAGGACGTCGAAGAAGCAGGTTGGCCAGTGACGGTGCGGGACGAGGGCGGCATTGAGGCGGCAGTTGTGTGGCTGCCCTGGGCCCCGGGGGGGCTGCGGGGCAGGTGGGCGGGCGCTGCTTTTGGCAGAGGGGCCCGGCGGGGAGAGGGCAGGAGCTGGGTTCGAAAGGTGCTTCCCCCGAACTTGGCCGTGAGGCCCGAGTCCGGGCAGGGCTGCCTCAGCAGCCTGGATTATATGGCGGGTCCCGAGGCCACGTGGATGCCTTTCGTTCTAGGGCCTGGGGTTCTAGGGCTGGGGGCGTTCGAGGTCTGCCTGGCCGAGTGACCCAGGGCAAGCCCTTTCGTGAGGATCCCACGAGAACATGGTGGAAGAGCGCTGAGCACCCAGGGCCGCCATGTTCCTTCCCTCCCTGAGGGCGTGGCAGATGGGGCGGGGCCTGGGGGTGGAAGCCCCTCCCACCTGGGAAAGTGGGACTGGTGACTCCGCCCACCTCCGAGGGAGGTTGTGAGGACCCATTGTCAAACGCGAGGCCCATAGTAGGCACCATAGAAATGTTAGCTGTTAACAGTCTCCTTAGCTGCTCTAACTATTATTCTTATTCCTTCTAAGGTCAAGGAAAGTCAGGGAGCTTCAGTGACCTGCCCACGGGCAAGTGCCGGCAAAGGAGAGGTTTGAACTTTTATCAATTAGTGGTCTTTCCTTGCTTCTAACTGTACAATTTTGATCTTTCTGTTGCTGTGGTACATCACGGATGTAGGTATTTAAATCATCTTAAGCGGTGAAAGATAAGTCTGACACAGTAGATGGAAGTGGCATTGGAACCAGGGAGACCTGAGTTCAGGTCCTGCCCCTGACACATAACTGGAGATGTGACCCTGGACAAGTCACTGAACTTCTCTAGACAACTCTCTAAGGCCGAGGTGCAGAGAAAGTGCCAACCTGTGTACTTTATCTGACAGTTCCCTTTACCGGTGAAATTGCAGGTCCATTCTTGTCGCTGTCTTGAGTAATACATTTTAAAATGATTGTGGCCGCTTTTTTTTTTAGGTCAGAAAATGTCTGGAAAAGACAGAGATCCGTGTGTAAAGTTTCTGAAGGCTCAGAGAAACTCTGAACTTTTTTTTGCAGCTTTTGGGGTAAGAGCAGTTGGCCATTTGTATTGCCTGAAGTTGTGAATTCATTTTCCTTTAAGTTTTGGTGACTTTGATTTATCAAGCTATTTACAGTCTAATAAAATTGGATTTGTAACTAAAATGTTGTATTTCCACAATTACACTGTATATTCACATTGTGTATTGCTTGTAATGAAGTGTGACTTGTATTTTCATTTCTTTTAGAGGTATTTGATGTGCGGCCCTCGAAAGAACAAGGCACTCACTGCTAGAACTTCGTTATTTTTTGACGTTTGATATAGTCCACTAGAATAGCACTTTGTACTTTTAGAAAAATGATTCTTGAACAGAGCTTTTGATTCATTGTTAAAAACCAGATTCATTATGTGCAGGGTAACTTTTTGGTTCCTTTTCTCTTATCTAATTATTTAGCTTATGGATGTGAATAATTAAAAATATATTTTCATTTACTTTTTGCTACAGTCTATGAGGGAATATCTGTCCGAAGAATATCTTCAAACTCTTACAGAAGAAGAGGCATTGAATATAAAAGAGAATGACAAATCACTTTATATCTGTGACCCATTTAGTGGCATTGGCTTTGATCATCTCCAAAAGGTTTGTCAGCTATTTTGTATTTTACTCAGGATTTTCTGGTCCTAGTTCCAATAGCTGTTATTTCTAGGTTTAAGAAAATGCAAATTATAAATGGAGGTAGGCTACAAGGTGATAAATTTTCCAGCCACTACAACTCTCAAAGACTGCCTCCTAACTATAGTGATATGTATTGATGGAGGGAGTAATCAAACTGATGTAACTACATATTTTTGGAAAACAGGTATGAATACTGGTAAATACTACAGCTTGAAGTTAAGAGGGTATGTAAAGGGAAAAGTCATCTTTTTTTCTTGCTTAAATGGTGTCAATTTTGTCTTTTCTGTAGATTGGCTGTAGAATTGTTAGCCCACAAGTAATTATATTTTGCATACAGCATCACCGATGCATCCCAAAATCGGAGTACCCAGTTTACAATATGATTATGGCAGATATAATTATTTCTTGTACAAGCCTCCACAAAGAAACAAAGGTAAGATGGTTTAGTAGAATTTTAACATAACACATACTTCTTCTGTGGAATTTTTTTGTTGGTTAAACTATACTTCAAAATGTTTTGAATTTTGTTTTACATGCTACAAAGTAAAGGGCTGAGTTTAGCAATATGATAGGCAAAACATTGATCTCCAAATTGAATTGTACCCTGAACAACTTGTCCTAACCCATGGCATTTCATAATAATGTTCATGTAGTATAACCGAACCTCCATATGAAACCTAAGTGTAACCTCACAGTCCAATCACAGGACTGTAATTTTACACTCCATATCATCTGCCTCTGGTACACACCTTACAAAATTCCTTCAGATCATAGGTGCCTACAATTGCTCCAGCCACTAGACAAAAGTGACTACCAGCTCTGCCCCAGATCCAGTGTTTCTCCTTTTATAATATTGTCCTGATGATACTAAGTGCTTACTTTGAGTAGCTATGCCTAAAATCAAAATGTAGAGATAGGATTTTTTTTCTTATTTTATGTTTTTTATTTTAGACTTAATTACTAAAATTTAAGTACACAATAAAGAAAAGAAAAAGAAACTTACTATAAACTTAAATGTTGAAACCTAAATACAGAAAAGAGAAATACATAAATACATAAAAGAAAAAGCATGTAGTGTGCACAGCAGAACATGAGAGGATTCAAAATATATAGCAATAAATTTCCATTTCAGGAAAGCCTATGTAGTAAATGTTACGCATTGTATTGAAGTGTCCATATTGAAAAGTGTCCATCTTTGCTTCCTTGTAAGTTTTCTTTTGTTCTCTGCTGTGCACTTTTTACTTTGTTCTTTTTTCCCCCCTTCCTCTCCCTCTATTACTTAACATACTCCCCCTCCAAGGATCCCTCCCATATCCTTCCATTCCCTTTAATACTCTTCTATAACCCTCTTAACCCTTACCCTCTCCTCTAGAGATTCCTCCCCTATCCTCTCCCCTTCCCTATCTCCTTAGCATTTTATTTCTTTCTGAATTTAGAAGACTTTTATACTCTCTAGAGAGAGAAAGAGAGAGAGAGAGTGTTACCTCTTGAACCCATTCCTAATGAAAATAGGTTTCCAGAACTAACAACTCTCCTCCCCTATCTAATTTCTCTGTTTTGGGTCTTTCTCTCGCACCTCATTTGTATGAAATTATTACTGTTTTACCTCTTCCTAAACAGTTTGACCTTCTGAAGTCATATCATACTTGGGTCTACCCCAGTCTTTCTTCCAAACTACCCAATTACTAATAACAATCTTAGACATGTTTTACATTTTACATACATAAAAAGTAAACAGTCTGTCCTTGTTGAGTCCCTCATAATTAGTCTTTGATGTATACCTTATATTTCTCCTGGCTCTTGTATATCAAATCTTCTGTGAAGTTCAGGTTTCTTTTTAACAAAGTCCTGAAAGTTTGACAATTCATTAAATGTCTTTTTTTTTCATTTAGGATTATGCTTAGCAGAGACAGGATTTTTAAATCAAAACAGTGATTTAGTGAAATATGCTTTTTAGTGCCTTTGAAGAGACCCATTGACTATTAGAAGATTTCCATTTTTCTTTACAAATCATTTGTCTTAAAAATCCATTTTAACATAATTTGGTGTTTGGATACATATTATTTTGTTGTAGGCTTGGAATAATGGATACTAGAGAAAAATGACATTGATTAATATATTTCCTGTCTCTTGGCACTCTAGAAAGAAATTCATAAATATGTACAAATGATGGGTGGACGATTCTGCAGAGATTTGAATATGTCAGTCACTCACGTTATTGCTGGGCAAGTCGGCAGCCAAAAATATTTAGTGGCTGCAAGCCTAGGGAAACCTATTATGCTCCCTACTTGGATAAAAGAGCTTTGGAAGAAGTCACAAGAGAAGTAAGTTGTTTATTGGTCTTCAGAAATGATGCATGAGGTCTTTTAGGTCTAATCCTCAGGGTCCCCTGAAGAAAGCTTTATGTTTTCTCTCCTTAGTCATTCAGTGACCTAAACAGCTTCAACACCATTCTCTTTCCCAAATTCAGAAGAGTAAAAGTTTCTTGGGGACAAAATGATGATAAATGCCCATGGTAGGCAGTGTGATGTGGAGAGAGTCTTGAGTTTGGGATCAGAGCACCTCTGTTAATTGGAAAGTGTCTGAGTGTTGGGCTAGTCAGTTCACCTCTCTGGGACTCCCATTTCCTCATCTGTAAAATGAAGAGGTTGTATTAGATAACCTCTGAGGTCCCTGCCACCTCCCCATGTAGTGTGCTATAAATTAGTCTATCTCTAGAATTGCCGACATGTATATAAAGTTCAGAGGGAAGGTGACTTTGTATATGTTGCAGTTCTTTCTTGAGTTGTTAAGATTGTAAACATAAAACATGAGAAGAGAAAATGATGGGAAAAGCACACACTGGTTCTAGCATAAGTGCAATATTTACTAACCCAATTTTGGAGCAAATATTTTTGTTTAATTTTTATAGTACAGTAAATGTTTTTCTCCTACTGTTTTTTTTTTAAATTTTTCAGCTGTATGGCACGATGTAAAGATATAAATATGGAACATTTCAAGTGCCCTTTGTTTCTTGGCTATACGATTTGTGTGAGTGGCTTATGTGCCCTGGAAAGAAGGGCAATCCAGCACCTCACAACTGAACATGGAGGTCACTATATGGGACATCTGCAAATGAATGAATGCACACACCTCATTGTTCAAGAACCAAAAGGTAAAAATGATTCCCCAAAAAGTAAACCACATCCATAAATAACTGTTGCTATTGATACCTATTAATGTTTTAGTTTTACTTCCCTTGGTAAAATAGCATGTGTGAGTGAGCACAGCCAAGATTACAGTGTAGCAAGAAGTACAGATAGCTTCACCCTTCCTACCCACCCCCCCAAAAAACAAAACAGACCTAGAAAATGTACTAGATCAAATCTGGATGGAAAAATAGAAGAAAATGCCATAGCACACCCAAGTCATTATAGGGATACAAACAGAGTAGTGTATGGACAATAAGGACAGAGACTGGCTAAAAGGATGCCATATAGAGCCTTGCAGCCTTCAGGGACTGTGGCCAAGGGCGAGGGGAGGACCCAGAATCACCAGGGCACCGTTACCTCCTACAGTGCTTAGGAGCAGATGCCAACTGGCAGCCCTGTCCCTCACTGCACCAGTTCCTAGTCACAGATTCAGGTCAGACTGATGAGGGTACCTGTACCTGTGGGTGGCAGTCCAGGGTAAGGATTGGTCCTGGACCCTGAGCTACAGCTCATACCCCAGAAGCAGATCAGTATCTTAGTTCCAGCTTCTTAATCTAGTGTGAATCCTGCTGAGGAATGACAAAAGCAGGTATGCCAAAGGGAAGCTTATAACTGTTGCTGTGAACCAGCTGGGCTTTCCATCTGGCTGATAGTGCCTGAACCCAGCAGCAGTTTATTCTTGCTTAGACCCAGACTCAGGTTAGGAATGTGTAGAGCTCAGACCAAGGAAGCAGTGATGTAACTTTGTCTTGGATTATACCACTTTGGAAGCACCAAAAGCTTTGCAGGTACCTGGAATAACAATAATGACAGCACCAATTTGATGAAACCTGGCATTTATATAGTACCTACTATGTGTCAGACACTATACTAAGCACTTTACAAATATTAATCCATTTGATCCTTACAGCAACCCTAGAAGGTAAGTGCTGTTATCCACCCCTGTTTTATAGGTGAGGAAATTGAGGCAAACATTTTTTAAGTGACTTCCCTAAAGTCAAATAGCTGCTAAGTGTCTAGAACCAGATTTGAACTCATCTTACTGACTCCAGGCCTAGTGCTCAATGCAGTGAACAAGAAAGCAGCAGTCAGATCAGCCTAGACCTTCCCATCAGAGGTTCCCAGAGCCTGGCCCTAACATCAAGTCCAAAGTCAGGAAGTAGACTGGAAGAATGAGCAAACAAAAAAAGAATCCCCCTATGATGCCATGAATGCTCCAGTCAGTCTGAAAAGAAGAGAACGATTCCAAAATGTCTACAAGCAAAACCTCAAAGTAAAATTCAGCTTAGGTACAAGTTCAACTAAAATTCCAAGAAGAGTTGAAGCAAGAGTTTAAAAGGAGTTTTAAAAAAAAGTTTTAATAAAATGATAGCACTAGATGAAAAAATGGAAAAGAAATGAGAGTTATAAAAGAAATTATTGGAAAGGGAGTACAGCTTAGAGATATAACACCTTGCCCAAGCAACAAACTCTCTAAAAATTAGAATGGGCCAAAAAGAAGCCACTGACTCCATGAGACAACAAGAAATAGTAAAACAAAATCAAAAGTCTGAGAAAATAAGAGAAGATGTGAAGTATTACATAAGAAAAACAAATAAATAACCTGGGAAACAGATCACTGAGAAAAAAGTTTAGGGATTACTAGAATACCTGAAAGCAATGACCAAAAATGGAGCAAAGAAAACTCCCAGGACCTCTTAGAACCATGTAGTAAAGTGGAAATAGGAGGAACCCATTTGTCACCTTCTGAAAGAAACCCCAAAATGAAAATTCCCAGGAACATTAGAACCAAAAGCCAGAGGTTCCAGGTCAAAGAAAAGTTACTGTGAGCAATGAGAAGGAAAAAGTTAAGTATGAAGGAGCCACAGTTGGGATCACAGAAGAATTAGTACCATTACTATGAAGGAATGGAAAACTTGGAATATTATATTCTAAAAGGCAAAGGATCTAGGTCTACAGCCAAGAGTTATTTATCCTAGAGATGAGGGGGTATTTGGGAGCAAAGAGGGAGAGATTAAGCATTAATCCACTGTGCAGAGTGCTTTTATGAATGTTACTTCATTTGATCCTCACAATAACCCTGTGAGGCAGGTGATATTTTTATCCTCAACTTATAGTTGAAGAAACTGAGGCAAACAAGTAATTTTTCCCAGGGTCACATAGCTAGGAGGTTTTTGAGGTCAAATTTGAACTCAGATATTCCTGACTCTTAAGTCCAGCACTCTGTCCACCAGATGCAGCTCCACTCTACACCTCCACAGAAAAGGACCTGTAATTAAATGGAAGACTGTGAAGTATTCCTAATAAAAGACCAAAGTTGTATAGAAACTCCGAAGTTCAAACATAGGAATTAAAAGAAACAAAAAATTACAAAGGGGATGGTTTCAGAGAAAGTTAGGAAGACTTGTAAGAGCTGATGCAGAGTGCAGTGACCAGGGGCAGCTAGGTGGCGCAGTGGGTAGAGCACTGGCCCTGCAGTCAGGAAGACCTAAGTTCAAATCCGGCCTCAGACACATGACACTTACTAGCTGTGTGACTCTGGGCAAGTCACTTAACCCCAGTTGCCTCACTAAGGAAAAGAAAAAGTGCAGTGAACAGAACCAGGAAGTTGATTCATACAAAAGACAATAGTATTGTAAAGACAAATAGCTGTCAGACACATGACACTTACTAGCTGTGTGACTCTGGGCAAGTCACTTAACCCCAGTTGCCTCACTAAGGAAAAGAAAAAGTGCAGTGAACAGAACCAGGAAGATGATTCATACAAAAGACAATAGTATTGTAAAGACAAATAGCTGTCAAAAACTTAAAAACAATTGATCATAATCACCAACCAAGATTCCAAAGCACTGATGATGAAGTATGCTACCCACATCTTGATAGAAAGAGGACTCAGTGCAGAATGAGACATATGTGTGTGTGTGGTTTTTAATTTTACATGTGGCCAAGGAATGTCTATAATTTTTCTTACTTCACTATGCATGTTTGTAGTGGGTTTTGTTTTTGTTAGTTCTCAGTTTCGGAGGAGGAAAAGGTTAGAGGGCAGATTTTTACTGATTGAAAAAGTGATAATAATTATAAAGGACATGAGGAGGGGTCCTATGCCTTTCGGTTACCATAGGAACAGCTCAAAAACATATATAATTTTACTTGAATGTTGTCATGCCACATGTTAAGTTAAAAGCCATTAGAGGTATACTTTTAATATTTCATTAAATCTTATGTTTCTCTGTTGTTGTTTACTGTTTTTCATACAAGTACCAACTACTTGGAAAAAGAAGGGTTGGAGAGTAAAAAAAAAATTTTAAGAGAGCTACAGTAATAATTAGGTTGCTATATGTACTACACAGGCAAATAGAAGAAACGTTTTAATTATGTTGAATGGTTTTCTGTTATTCCTGGAAATTGGTTGACTAAATGGGGTAATTAATCCTTGTTCTGCTTTAAGAGTCAATCCAGTCACTGAATGATTGGGTAGGCTACTTGTTTTGTGTGCATGGGTACTTCCCAAGAATGATGAGCCAGGGACCAGAGGAAGTTCATGGAGGATATGGTACTGATAGCAAAGAATCTGAAAAAAATGTGATGAGATACTTTTAGCTCTCTAATATTTTACTAAGAGAATAATAGGTTCTCACTTTCTTGTCAGTGTTAATAAAGCTTTTTCCTCATTGTGGCAGTCCTACCAGGTAGATAGTATAAGTATTCTTATCCAAGTTTTAGAGATGAGGAAATTGAGGTATAGAAAAGTTAAATGACTTGCCTGGGGTCAGCACCAAGAGTGAGGGTCACAGATCCTGAATCCACACCCCATGTCTTATGACTCTGAGTTCATGCTCTTTTCTTTCCCTGTGCTACTTCTCACTAAGATAAAGACCTGTATGTGAAATTCCAGTAAATGTTTTCTGAGTTCTTCAGTATCTGTACAAATGGACTTGAGAAAGGGACTTTCTGCTGTGCTTCCTTTTTATTATCTTTGCTTGTGTTTGCTGAGCAGCCTTGGTGGAAGAGAGGTGCTCATTCAGGACCACATATCATTGTAAATCATAACTATAAATCGTTGTAAAGCTAAGTCTGAAATGAGTACAATATAAAGATTGTAATTCGATGATTATTTAGTTTGCTAATGGTGTATAGGACATTTAAGAACTCCTGGTTTTCAGTGATATCAGACACAGAATTCTGATTTGTTCACTTCTTTCACCTGATCCTGTTTTCCTCTGCAGCCATGATAACAAATGCAACATATTAAGATACTTGGAGAAAAGAACAATGATGTGTAGAATTGATTGCAGTTTGAATCAGCTTAATGTTAGAATAGTTTTGCTTTTTAAAATACTGAGGTTTATTACATTTGTGCTTTGACATACATATATACATTTTTTCATATGTATAAATGTACACATGCATACATTATAATGTTTTAACATTGAGATATGTCTGTGTGTGCTTGTTGACTGGGGTTAGCTAGGTGGTGCGGTGGATGGAGTGCTGGACCTGAATCTGGAAGGCTCATCTCCCTAAGTTCAAATCTGGCCTCACACAATTACTAGCTGTGTCACCCTGGGCAAGTTACTTCACCCTGTTTACCTTAGTTTTCTCACCTGTAAAAGTGATCAAGAGAAGGAAATGGCAAATCACCACAATATCTTTGCCAAGAAAACCCTAAATGGAGTCACAAGTCAGACATGACTGAACAACAACAACAACATCCTTATTGAGAAAGATGTTATTGATGAGCATGAATTGATAATCTGTGAAATTATGAAATGGAGGCAGACATGCCTGGTTCTTTGGGTACTCACCAAGAAAAGCATCGGTAGTGGGAAAGTGGGTGGCAATCATGCTTTAATTAGACATAGAGGGTACAGAGACAAGTGGTGAAAGGAATAAAAGAGGTAAAAAGCATGGAAACGGGGGACAGAATCTTAAAGTAAATCAGGTAACATAGGGAAGCAGACCGGGAGAGGGAGAGGAAGAGTATTTCTCAAGTAACCATGGATTAGAGTTGGAAACAGTCAGCAGCATGGATCTGATAGAGATAGAAGAGTATTCAGGGGGCAGGAGTTTGAGGTCTCATTTTTATATGTTTGGGGAGGGGGGATAGACTAACTTATCTGTGCTACCTTGAAATTAATTCATTAACATATCCAGTGTTGTGTATACTTTCAAATTTACTATATTGACTATAATAGAAGTGAGGATGTTGGTCAGGAAGTCCAAAAAAAGATACACTTTTAATGCAGAGCACTATAACTTATCGTCACTGTAGTGGAGTGTGTTCTAGTACTGTGATTTAATTCAGATTTTTTCACCTCATTTTGAGAATTTAAATAATTTTGTAAAAGAATTCATAAAATTATAATTTTTTTCTTTTTACACATGGTAGGTCAGAAATATGAATATGCCAAAAGATGGAATATACACTGTGTGAGAGTTCAGTGGTTTTATCACAGTATTAAAAAGGGCTTTTGTCAAGATGAAGCTATGTACAAGACAGAGCCTGTATTAGAAACAAAGAGTGAGCCATGTATTTCAACTGCTCTGGGCCAGAACAATGAAGCTAGTGGTAAGTCTCTCATTATAATTGTTGTCATTTTTTAGTCTTCATTAGTTTACAGCAATGAGAGTTGCTTTATTAATGGGGGCACTAGATTTTTTATTATAAAATTGGATATATCATTATGCTTTTTTTACTTATAGATTGTACAATAGAAAAATGTTTTATCAGAATTGTTCAGGATTTTATTTCATTTTATATAATACATGGAAGCTATATTTATTAACATATTTAGTTCTGTTTATCTCATGTTTTGTCTTTTAGTAAAAATGCTGAAACTTATCTTTGAAATATCAAAAATTATATTCAATTGAAAAATAAAGTTCATCAAGGGAAAACAGTCATAGAGTACCTGGCTTATTTATCATCATTTTTAATTCTTGTCTTCATTACATTTTGATATGTAGGTTATACTCTTTCAGGTGTCTGTCACATTTCTAACATCCATTCAGGTTACATTAATGAATCTACACATAATTCAGTTATGAACAGCAACCTGGGATCTCTTCTTGAGAATCTACAAAATCTGGATATCAGCGCATTTCAAGCACCTGTGAATTTACTAGACGGCTGTCGGGTACGTCTATAAATTAGTGAACTCTATAATGATTTTCAGTACTCTTTAGCATTGTAATTATGGCCTTCTGTAGTCAGAGTTCTGCTTATCTTCAAACTTCATCTTCTACTACTCTCTTACATGAAACTTCCCTTTCAGCCAATCTGATCTGCTTACTGTTACTCCGATTACACTTTTTGTATCTTCTTGTCTCCACATATTTGTTCATTCTGTCCCCACTACTGAGAATGTTCTATTTCTCCAACTCTTTTCTTCTTAACCAAAATCTGCCTATATTTATGTAAGGCCTACCTGGATTCTGAACTCCTTCATGAAATCTTTTCTGTCTTTCTAGTCCATTTTGATTACCCTTCTCTGAAACTTTCTCTATCACTCATTTGGCTTTCTTATTTCGTTGTTTAACTCTTACCTTATTTCCAGTTTTCTTTTAGCCTTGTTTCTCCAAATGTACTCCGAGTTCTTTAAGAAAAGAGGGTATGTTATGCTGTATTTTATCTCCTTTAATGCCTAGCATTGCTATTGTGTGTAGTTTTGAACATAAGAGGAGAACCATAAATATGAACTGATTCATATTTTCAGGGTCGTTCAGTGAAATAAAAAGGCCATATGTAATTATTTCCATTTTATCATGAGCACAAGATTGAAATTATAAATAAGGTACTTAAATTTATTCAAGTACACAGTCAGGGCTCTGTTATACTGTATTAATAGAGAATGTAGAATTTAATGTAATGCTACATTTACTTATTCTTGTCCCTTAAATCCAGCAGATGTGTGTCTCTTGCCTTAATTGTTAAAAGAAAATTTACACTTTCAGTAATCAAGATGATTTACTATGGGACAGAGAGGTGATAGAAATTCTTGTTTAAAGGACTTGTCAAAGCATACCACTGTCTTTTAATTAGTCACTTCATAAGGGTTTGTGAAGGACCTATTATGTGCCAGATCAAGGGTGGGAAACCTGCAGTCTCGAGGCCACATGTGGCCTTCTAGGTCCTTGGGTGCTACCTTTTGGCTGAGTCCAAGTTTTACAGAACAAATCTTTTTATTAAGGGGATTTGTTCCATGAAGTTTGGATTCAGTCAAAGGGCCACACTTGAGGACCTAGAAGGCCACAGGTTCCCTATCCCTGTGACAGATACTCTGATAATATTATTTACTGATGTTCTAAATTGTATAGAACAGACAGTTGTAGAACAGGACAACATTGAACAAGCATTTATTAAACAGTTGCTACATGCAGGGTACTGGGTTAGGTCCTGGAGATACAAATTAAAAACAAAACAGTCTCTGACCTCAGGAAGCTTATTGGAGGCAAATAACATGTATGCAAATTTAAATTTTAAAAAAAGTAATTTTTGGTGAGGCAAAAAGGCCACTAACAGGTAGGCATGTCAGGAAATCTTCTGAAGGATCATGAGCTGAAGCTTGAGGGAAGGAAGGTAAGGATTCTAATAGATGGAGGTTAAGAAGGGGAGGATATGCATAAAAGAGAAGGGAATGTGATGTTTGATGAGTGGAGGTAGTAATTATAATCAGGAAAATTTAGTTTGGGACCATGTTGTAAACATTGTTAAATACCAGATGGGAGTTTATGTTTTGTTCTAGAGGTATTAGGGAACCATTGATGCTTCTTGAGGAGTGGAGTGAAAAAGATCGAAAAGAGCAAAAAAGAGGAATATCAGTTTGTTGGCTATGTGTATATTGTTTTGGAGAGGGCAAGGCCTTAGAGGACAGGAGACCAATTAGGTGGTGGAAGTAGTCAAGGCAGTCTTTGATAAAAGGACCTAGACTAGGATTGTGGTCATACCAGTCTAGACAGAACGACAAATAAATGAAATGTTGTACTGGCAGAATTGACAAGATGTGGCAACTAATGGATATGGAAGTGAGGGAGAATAGAGAGTCAAAGATAACTCCAAAGGGGCCTTCAACAGAAAAAGGGGGCTAGTAAGAGGGACAGAGAATTAATTTCATTGTGAATATGTTGAATATATAAAAGGTCTCAGTAGTGTGGGGCAGACAACAGGTGTGAGAAAGAAGAAATCACCATTGACTAGTGTTTCTGGGAAAGGGCTCAAATAGGAGTTGGGACTTCAGCTGAATCTTAGAAGATGGACAGGATGAGCTTAATGAGTAGAGAGAAGTGGGGTGAACATTGCATGCAAAGGATGTGACCGACAGTGAGGAGGAAGGAATGGGCATGGCATGGGCTGGGGAACATTTCTTTTTTTGCTACAAAAGATAGAATTTTAAAGACCTAGTGAAACTAAATTAGCAAGAACATCAGGTTCTCAAAGAGAACCAGAGAGTTCAACAAATAGCTTTGGTTTAAGAGGCAGCTTAACATAGTGGAAGGGATAGTCAGAAGACCTGAGTGAATAATGGATCTGACTCTTAACAACTTTGTCATTCTGCACAAGATACTTAACCTTCTCTTTCTTCAACTATGAAGTGAGGATACTAGGCATTGTGCAAACTTTCCTCACAGAGTTACTATAAGGAAAATGCTTTGTATACCTTAAAGCTTTATATAAATGTAAGCTATTTTCATGTCATACTGTGGCTCAAACTAGGAGTATTTTACGTTGTGATTGCATTGGGGGTTTTTTGTCTTTTTTTATTAATTTATTTTGATTTTTCAACAATCACTTCCATAAGCTTTTGAGTTTTAAATTTTTCTCCCCCTCCCTCCCCATGTCCCTCCCTAAGATGGCACGCAATCTGATATAGACTATACTTATATATTCCCATTAAATATATTTTCACATTGGTCATGTTGTAAGGAAGAATTAGAACCAATAGGAGGAACCACAAGAAAGAGGAAACAAAACAAAACAGAAGAAAAAAATAGTAAGCTTCGATCTGTATTCAGATGCCGTAGTTCTTTCCTTGGATGTGGATAGCATTTTCCATCATGAAAACTTTGGAGATATCTTAGATCCTTGCCTTGCTGAGGATTGCATTGGTTTTTCCAGTTCAAAAGCAAGGATGTGGTCATAATGTGAGACATATTTGGTAGGTTGTTGGCAAGTTATATAACGAATTTACAATCTACTTTAATCTAAAGCAAGTATTTTTCTGTTTTTTCTTTGCAGATATACCTTTATGGGTTTCGTGACAGAAAGTTAGATCAAGATAAACTAAGAAGACTTATTAATTGTAGTGGTGGAATTTGCTTTAATCAGCTCAATGATGATGTGACCCATGTTATTGTTGGAGATTATGATGATGAGTTAAAACAGTTTTGGACTAAATCAACACACAGGTTCTAACCATTTTTACTTTAAAGTGGTTTCCATAGTAGTGATTTTTCTTGTCTTAAAAATTATAAAAGTGACTATGAAGCAGAGCCTTTACTAAGTGGAAACTCTGTAAAAGAGGCACGTAAGCAAAGAATGGTCCTCATACCTCAAACTAATATGTCATGACTGTATTACTCTTTTCATAGGCCTCGTATAATGGAAGCAAAATGGTTGCTGGAGTGTTTTAATAAAGGTTATCTGCTTTCTGAGGAGGAATATAGCCAATTGAATTGCCAGCCAGTCGAGATACCTATATCAGAACAACCAGGAATGAAAAGGAATAACAGTTTTTCCGAGATAGAATTTGCAGATGCTGAAAAGCATCAGCAAGCTGATGAAGACTTACTCTCTCAGAATGACAATGAGGACATGATAGTAGGTAAGAACTATTTAAATCAGATTTATTTTCTTGAGAACTGACTTTTTCTTATAACTGTCTCCAAAGTTATGTTTTGATACTATTAGCTTTTACTTTCATTTAGCTTATTTGTCTTTAAAATATTCCTGTGAGATAGAGGCAGATGTTTTTATCTTCTCCTTTGCACTAACTTGGACACTAAGAGTTTTTTTTTTTAAAGTTACCTGCTTGATAGCTAAGCTGCAACTAAAATCCAAATCTCATTCCCACTTCCATCAGTATTCTATCCAGTAAATTTTGCTTTCATCTCAGTATATTTTAGTGTAAGAGTAAACCTTTAGGTGGTATAGGTTATTGTTTTGGTTTCTAAACTGAAAGATGCTTTTATATTGGGTTTTTTTAAACAACTTTTGAAGACTTAAGAACTCTGGTCACTGCATTAAGCAGCCATTATTGCACAGTTTCTAATTCTGACTACAGTTGCTTCTTGAAAGTTCTGGCAATAAACAGCCCTGTTGGCGAACTCACCATCCCTCTGAATCCCCAACTAATCAACAAGTATTTTTTAAAATTACTTTTTTTTCTCTCTCCTACCTCCTCCCAGTTAAACAAAAACCTTGTAACAAATACCTATATATAGTCAAGCAATACAAACTTTTGCATTCAACAAGAATTTTTAAAGCATCTGGTATGTGTCGAGTGCTAGGGTTAAAAAGACAAAAGCTAAACAAGACCCACTGTCCAGAAGCTTAGATTCTGAAGGAAGAGGAAGACACTGTGCACATGTATAGGTGTATACAAAGCAGATAAAAAAATAACCGTGTGGGAAAACAGTTATGGTCTCATGTAGAAGGTGTCATTTAGCCTAAGTCTTTTAGGAAACTGGATAGCTGGTACATAGCTGTGGAGGTGGAGCATTATATGTGAGAAACACAAGAAGGCTAGTTTGGCTGGATCATAGAGTACATGGGGGGAAGGAGTGAATCATAAGACTGGAGGAGGGAGAATGAGGCCAGCTTGGAAAGAGCTTTAAATGCCAAACAGAAGTTTGATAGCTGATCCAAGAGGTGATAGGAAGTCACTGGAATTTATTGAGTAGGATGGTGACATGGTCTGATCTGTGCTGCCAAAGTCAAAAAAAGAAGCCATGGTTTTTTTGGCATGCAGCCATGTAGAGCATAAATTTGAGCCAAGAGAGACTTTAGGAAAAAAAAAAAGCTCATTTTCCTGGGCCCTGTCTCCCTATATCTTTTGTTTTGTCTCTCCTGACTGAAATATAAGTTCCTTGAAAGCAGGGACTGTCTGACTTTTGTATTTGCCTCCCCATCATTTAGCACAGTACTTAAAATAAGCATGTAATATGTGGTTCTGCATTCATTCAGGTGGTGGCTATGAGTAGAGAGAAGGGGGTGGATACAAGGAGATGTGGTAGAAGTGGAAATGACAAGATTTGGCTTGATTAGATATGTGGAATTGTGGGTGGATCCAGTTGAGGATGACTCCAGGCTTGCAAACCTGGATGATTGAAGGGCAGTGATACCCTCAACAGAAACAGGAAAGCTGGGAAGAAGGGGTGGGTTTGGGGAAAGTGATGAGTTCTGGGTTGGACACATTGAATTGGAGATGCCTCAAGGACATCCACTTTGAGAGATGTCCATTGGGCAAATTAGTTGGGACAAGGGGGTCAAGCTAGAGACTGGGTTAAAGATGCATTATAATTGATAAATGTTTAAGTACCATGTCTGTCACAGAAGTGTGCTAAATCCTGTTAAGGATATGAAAGAAGAATGGTGTCTGTTTGAAGAGCTTGCAGGCTGACTAGAATCTCTTAAAAATATTTTTCTTCCTACAGTAACGGATATTGTGATTTAATTAGGAATTTGATGCTTTTGTTCTTCATTGTTGCTAAGTGCAATTGGGAGAATATATCCTTATTTTATAAGATATGTAAGTCTGTGGTCATTTACCTCATTGGTCCAGTTAACCATTTTTTCAGCTTAACCTTACTAAAGAGTGACGTTTTTGGGAATCCTTGACACTGTTACTTGCATCAATTACTATGTCTAGAGATTGCAGCCTCATTGTGAAACAAGGAGGAATTTCAACAGTACTGTGGTTTATTTTGTTTGTGGTTCAGACCTGTGGTCATTAGTGTAGAGAGCTCCTATTGAGGAAACTTCCTCCACCAACTGTTCTTACTAAAGTTAATTCACTTGTGCAGGGTCACACATCCAGTAAGATTCAGAGGTGGGACTGGAACCCAGCTCCTCTTGATTCCAAGGCTGGTTCTTTCTCTACCATGCCATGTTGAAAGAATGGATAATTTCAGGTTTTTTTTCTACCTCTTATGTTTATGAAGCCATCACCCTGTTAAATTCTTTACATAAAGATATGCACTGCAATAGTGATGTACTTGTAATCTCCTTAAGTAGGCAGTGCAGAGTATATCCCATGCATATGAATTGCTATCCATGTTTTCCTATAAATCTTCTACAGTAAATCTCCCTAATTTTTTCAAGACTTTTATCTAGATTTTTTAATATCTCATGCCAATATGACAAATTGCCAAAGATAGCTAAGGATGAGAATTGTCAGTGTTGGAATTGAATGCTATAAAATTATAATGACCAAACAAGTTTAGCCCTAAAGGAGAGATATGAAAAAATAGTTTCCACTGCTTCTTTACACAATTGGAGGAGCCATCAGAATACAGTATTTGATGGCAGATCTTTTTGGTTTATTAATTAATTTTATAGAACTTTTTCTTCCTTCTTTTTTATTCTGTATTATAATAGAGGATGGCCCTCTGGGAAGGGGTTTAAAGGAATACAGTGGGGAATGTTAAGTACTGTATAAAAAAAAAAGCTGTTAATAAACATTTGTGGTTTTTTAAAAAATTCTATAGGATTCATTTTATGTTTTGGGCTGACCATCTGTTATCCCTCCTTTTCCAGTCATGTATTTCTCAGATGATATCTTATGTGAAAGTCATTGCTAATATCATTTCTCTATTGCCCTTTGAATCACTTGTGATTTTGAATCTTAAAGGGGCTATAATATTGCATAATTTGTAACCATATGGAAATTACTAGGAGACTATTAGTGTTAGAAACATTGGTTTTTGTGTTGGGAAATATCTTGGAATTGTTGAAACAAGTGTTAGGTTATCATATGTATACTCTAGTCTTATTCTTCCTTCTGTTTGATTCTGAGCCCAGCTCACTGTCCATTTTCGGCATCTGTCCAAGAACTGCATACTAATAGACCATATCCAAGTGTGTACCATAGTCTGAACAATAAACATTCTTTATCCATTTTTTTTTCTTGTGTAGACTGTTGATCTCTTTTGACTATTCATGGATCTTACTGACAAAGCCCAAAAAGCAATTATGGTACAGCAAAAAAGAACACTGTATTTGGAATCAGAGAACTTGAGTTCAAGTCACAGCCCTGCTGCTTTCTATTAGTGTGATTTTAGGCAAGTCACACAACCTCTGGGCCTCAGTTTTTTCCTTTAGAAAGGTGGTTGAACTAGATGTTTTCTAAGGACCATCCAACTCTAAATATCATTATTTGTAGTATTCAACTATATGATGTGTTCAGCATATTATAAGCAGACAGGAACATCTAGATAACCTTACCATTTATAAAGAGTTCCTATTGTGTTTGGACTCCATTTCATCTTCTCTGTTGCCATTTTGGAAAGTAATACTACTGTGATTTTTTTCCCATTTGTTCAACATCTTCCCTTCTTTAGGATATCTTGAAAATTAGTCCCTTGGTTCCTTCAAAATCACGTCACCTTCATAATAGGTTTCTTTTCTGTGTGCTTGATTTGATCCAGATCCTTCTGTCTTCTTCCTCATATACATACATATGTTTGCAGAGGGAAGGGGAACCGTGATCTTTGAGTCCAAATGTTGTGTGGTTCCACTCTTACTGATAATTGACAAATATACCGTTTAAAAGTATTTCCTTTTCCTTTCTGAGAGTGCATAGTATTTAGTACCTGATGCAAAATCACTTTTAAAATGATAAGGATACCTAATGGTCTAGATTTGAAATTTCATAATTTTCAACTAACTGTGGTTTAGGGACTATTGAAAATCTTTTTGGTACTATCACTCCTTAGTGACTATTACTGGCATTCACCATATATATGAAAGTGAGTGAAAAGAATAATTTTAGGACTAGAGTTTCCCTCCAAACCATGCACATGTGAAGATTGTACTTTGTTTTGTAATTTCAACAACAAATTATCTGTGCTGAGAAATTTAACATAGTTGGAATGTGAATTTGCTTTCATTGAGAAATATTTTTCCCTTCTTTTCAGATGATGATGAGATGTCTGGAGCTGAGGTCTTTAATGATCCCTCTCATATTACTGTACAAATGGAAAATCAGTCTTCCTTTGGCTACAACTTACTGCCTGAGACTCCTACAATTATTGAAGGTTTATTTAGCCAGAAGAATTTCCTTGTTGTAGGTTTTAGTGAAGAAGATGAATCTTTCATTGCCAATGCTATTAAAGAAAATGCTGGAAAAATATTGCCCCTCCAAAGTAGAATGCTTGCCAACTATGTCGTGGTTCCTTTGCTGGGGGTGTGAAGTGGAGTCAGCTGTAGGAGAAGTTGTTACAAATACTTGGCTGGTAAGAGAAAACTGGTGTATCTTCAAGTAACATTGTTAGAAATAAACAGGGATGAGAATTGTGATGGAAGGATAGCTATGAATTAGCTGGTGGTGGTGATTTATCATTGCCTATAAAGTTCTGCTTTAGATAGAGTTTGACCTGCATGCTATTGAGATATTAGAATTCAGAAAGAAAGCAGATGTTGGAATTGGGAAGTAAATGGTTGCAATCTATGGGCCCATATGATTCCTGGCATAACAATAATAAGTGGCATTAGGCTGTCCTGTATTTGCATAGTTGCTTGCTCGTAGATTTTTCCCTAAAACTTGCTCCATGTTATTTTTCCAGCTTTCAATTAAATTGGAAAGAAGAGAAGGAAAAGATTAGCTTAATGCACCCCAAGGGGGAATTTAATTTTAAAGAAAAGCTCAGTGACCAAAATCATGGTAAAATCATGGTTAATCTGATGGATTTTAATAGTCTCATCTAATGAATTAACTTCAGTCACTTTATTCCATAAGATTGGAGGGAACTTTTTGTGAGAACTGTGACTTCAGTGCTGTAGGAAACTTGTGATGACAAAACTCCTACTATTGCAGATTAACATGCAGATTAACAATTTCGAGAGTTACTTGAGACACTGAGAAGTCAGGTGACTTGCCCAAGGTGTCCCCCCAGGCAGTATGTGTCAGGGGCAAGACTTGAACTGAAGTCTTCCTGATTCTAAAACTTGCTCTGTATCTATTATTACATTTTACTGCTTAATGAAAAATATATTCCTTATTCTGTTTCTTTCATAGAAGAAAAGGGAAACGGGTACAGAGAGTAAAAATATATTGAGAATAAATTTAAATTTCAGATTTTTACTAATGTACAACTAATGCTTCTCATTTAAACAAAAGCTCTTGTAACTGTACTGGCATTAATCTTGATAACCTTATTCCTGTTTTTGTTTTCTCTCTTGCAAGATTACTTGTATTGAACAACAAAACATTTTTGATCCAGAGTCAAATCCACTTTTCATGCCAGTACCAGTATTGGAAGGAAGTGGTACTCCTCTAGAAAACTGTGTCCTTTCCTTCAGCCAATTTATTGGAGCAGAGAAAGATTCCTTGGTATACTTAGCAAGCCTGCTTGGAGCAAGGTATGTATTCGAATTAGCATATAGACTTGGTGTGCTCTTTTGTTATATCTCTTTGGAAAAACACGCAAAATAGAATTCAACTTTGTATATTTGTACTATTTATGTCTCTGTAATAATGGTTTAAAGGGTCTACTACTTGAGAAGGCCATACATGCTGTTAATGTACTTCTTATAGCATGAATCAGTGAAAGGAAAGAGAGAATATCAATGAAATATTTCCATCCCTTATCCTTATAATAGAGATTATGGAACTTCCAGGTCCACAATCATTTATATCCATTGCTCATATACAATGTCAAATAAACTTGAGTCTTTGCTCACCTCCAACATAACACATGACCAATGCTTGATGGATATTTCCACCTGAATATCTTCTGACATATCAAAATTGACATATCCAAAACTGAACTTAGCATTTCTCTCCCTAAACCCACACCAGCTCTGAAACTTCCCTCTTTCTGGTGAGGGCACTACTCTTTTCACAAAAATCAAGATTTGAAATTATGAAGACAACTTGACTCCCCTCTCTTCCACCATAATCAGTTATTTGCTGAACTGCCAAGTTTTTCATCCAAACAACTATTGCATCTAAACCCAGAAATCTTACCATTTGCCTTGCTGCTCTACTCTGTCTTTTCACCTGTGTGGGATGCTCCTCAAATTAAAAAACACACCTAGAGGTATCTAGGTAGGAACAGAAAGTTGAAAGTTAATTATTATTTCAAATCTCAAGATTTGAGTGTCCCTCCACCAGTATGCTCTGATGAGGGTAGACAAAGACAGAAACAAAAAAGCCAAGTTTAACAAGTTTACCTAACGGTAAAGCCCCCTCCCACCAACTGTCCACTACTTGGCTCACAATCTCAATATGAAACTCTACCATAGAAACAAATAACAACAAACAATATGCATATCTTAGTTACAAATAACAAAGAAATAATATACATATCCATATTTAGCCCCTTAGTTCTGAAATCATACCCAAAAAGCAATTAAAAATGTGCAGTCAAGCTAGACACTGTATTGTATAGCCAGGTCACCATGACCAAAATATAGCAACAGTTGTAGCAACATGGTACAGGGGTTTCACACTTGGCAAACTTTAACTGCTGAGATAACAATGGCATAGTAGTGGGTGGTGGGGTACTTGGGGCTGGACTCCCGTAACTCAGGTGATTTCTAATAAGCTGAAACTTAGGCCTGTCAGGCTGCTATGCCTGCCTTGAGTCACAATACAATTTCTATTTATTCTTCTGAGAAGTCTTCACGGGACCCCTCATCCCCATTCGGCCTTTTCCCAAACCTTAATTACACTGAGGAGTCTTCACTGGGATATCCCATTCACACCTATAGCAGCACTATCTAGAGCAGTCCTCCAGACACTCTGCTTCCCTCTTATATTATAAAGGAGTGAGTCTACTCAGTTTTGAAATCCTGTCCAGGGCAAGAACTGTCCTGAGTTGTCAGGCTTGCCACCCCTGTCTACCTTTTCTTTTGGTACCAATAATTCTGGAAAGGCTATAAAAGTTCCTGTTAATATCTCCACTCACTATTCTTGTGGTTCCCTAAAACAAAACTTTGTCTCCCCTAATTAGAATGGGAGCTTCTTGAGGGCAGGAACTATCTCATGTTTGCATTTATATTCTCAGCTCCTACCATAGTACTTTTTGCTCATTTTTCCTCCAGTCATATTGCTACTACCCTAGTTTAGGCCATGATTACCTACTCTTCTGAACCATTGTAATAGCCCCCATTCAGCCTCCCTAACTCCAGGCTCTTCCCTCTTCAATCTGTCCTTCACTCAGCTGCAAGAATAATGTCTCTGAAGCACAGATCTGAGTCTGTCACTCACTCACTGGCTCAGAAACCTTCAGTGACTCCCAGTTCCCTCTGTAGTATAAAATACAAGATCCTTAGCCTGGCATTTAAGGTGCTTCTCATTCAACTTCCAAGTTTTCTTTTGTGACCTTAGGTCCTAACACTCCCTCTTACACATTCTTCTTCTCTCCCAAGCTGGATCTGCCATTCTGCCACAGTGCATTCCAGCCCTGTGATCCCTGTGCCTTACTTGCTGTCCTTTCTTACCTCCATCGTTGAGGGTTTTTCTTTAGTATTCAGCTCCCCTCCCCTCCTCTAGGTGTCCTTCCCTGGTTTCTCTCACCCACTCTTCATCCTATTAAGCTTTGTCTAGATCTCTCCTTTGCCTCTCTTGTCTGTCCCTACTGTGTTTTTTACTTACCTGTGTCCTTTCCCTGTCTGCCCCTCTCTGCCCTTTCCCCAGTAAAATGTTAACATCTTGGGAAGATTTATGCAAAGTGGTGCAGAGATGAAGGAAGCAGAACCAGGAAAACAGTGTCCCCACAATGACTGCAGCCTTAAAAGAAAGAAAGAAAAAGAAAATGAAAGTTTTGCAGTTAGAATGGCTTCAGCTCTACTCCAGGGGAGAGATGAAAACATGCAGCTCCCTTCCTTCTTTGCAGAGTTGGGGGAACTCTGAGTGTAGAATATTATTACATACTGTTGGATACTGGGAACATGACATTTTGCTGAACTGGTTCCCCCCCCCCCCATTTTCTTCTATCTTCCTTATAAGAACTTGCTAGCCAGATAAGGGAGGGAGCAGGAATGTCTTTGGAAATGAAAGTGATGTGGAAAACAAACCAAAAAAATGGATTAATAATTACTTCATGGAAGAAAAACTTCTCAAAAGCAGATAGTATTGACATTTTAGAGATGAAGAAAACAAGGCACAGGGATGATTTGACTGTGGTTGTACAGGTTCAGTGTGTGGTAGCATTGGGACTTCCTTCCAGGCTTTTACATTTCTTTCTGTAGACCACGTTGCCTTTCAGTAAGCTGCTACATGGTTATCAGACTAATTTGGAAAATTACTTCAGAATATGCTTTTCCTAGCCCCAGATGGGAACGTGAAGAGAAAATGTGAACTTTTTAGGTAACTGTTCACATTTTCTCAGGCAGATAATCTGAACACTCCCATCCAGTATTCATTTTCCTATTTCAGATAGGCATAAAGCAATTTGGGTGTGCTTGTATTTTGTTTGTTCTCTTGTCTGTATGCTTCCAAGCTTTCTGCACATTTGGGTGTCCTAGCACAAAGGCATCCTGCTGCTCCCATCCCACTACCTTATTTCTCTTCTACCCAGTTCTCATTTTGTCAGTAGGTAAGTCCCTAACATCAGTCTGCCTCAGTTTTCTCACCTGTAAAATGGTGATAAATTCTTTCCTACCCTAGCACTGCCTTGTTGTGAAGATCAAATGAGATTTGTATGTGAAAGCTCTTGGAAAAGTTGAGAACAGCTTCATGGATAGGAAATATTATTGTTAGTCTATTAATAAATTATTATTGCTCTCTGTTCTGCTTGCTTTTCATGTGCCTTTGGCTAGAAGAGTGAAGGTAAGTAGGTGGATCAGTGCATAAGTTAAAAGAAATTTTGTGATTATGTTAGGAATATGTTAATTTTGTATTTTTTTTAATATTAGTGATCGTTTTTACTACAGTCTGTTAATGTTTTTTGTAGCATTTTAGTTTTGTTTAGTCTGAAGAACTTAACTATATTTTGTCCAGCCTCCTGGGTTGTTTGCTTGTAGCCCAGATAAATTATTTTATCAGTCAAGTCACTTTATTAAATGTCTGCATGTATACTCTTTAACAATTTCAGAGTTCAGGAATTTTTTGTGTGCCAGGGCAGTGCGAAGAATGACATGCTTGCCAGTACCCATCTTATAGTGAAACAACCAGATGATTCTAAATATCAGGCTGCACAGAAATGGGGATTACCTACAGTGTCCATGGCTTGGATTTTGGAGACTGCTAAGTTGGGGAAGAGAGCAGAAGAATACAAGTTTCTGGTTGGAAATCTGCCCAAACAAGGTTGCCAATTTGACTTTGTTTTGTTATTAATATTTCTATAACTAGTTGATTAATGGGATCATAGGTATACAGCTGAAAGTAACTTAGTGTTCTTCCAGTTCAACCCTCTCATTTTACAAATGAGATAACTGATTCAATTCAGTAAGGATTTATTAATGAAAACATCCTGCTCCCTTAGGACATTATATTCTGTTGGAAGAAAATATCATGGTGTGAAGGATACCAATTGTACCAAGTATCTTCCCAAGGGAGGAACTTTCATTTTTCACTTTCGCAGTTTGGGCAGTCATATTTTAAAGTCTTATTGAAGTCTGATAAACTACTATTGTATATTTTCTTTGGGGATGGCAAAATGAATGTGTGGTGCTTGCCCAGGTAGGTAACGTTTAATTTTCATCATCTGTAAGTGTTGCCTGAATGTACCTCAGAGATGAACAACAACTTCAGGCTTTTTTCATAATCTGAAGAAAAAATTTAAAATATCTAAACTAGAAGAAAAAACAGGAGGTAAAATTGGAAGGTCTAGATTGTATTTGATGGTTGTAGCTTTTTTTTGTTGACTAAACTGTATGTAACTAAAATGAGACACTCTATAACAGCTTTCGGTAAATATGCTGTTCCAAGACAGTCTCATAAGAAACTACAAAAATCTTAATGATCCAAAATCATAATGACCATTCAAATGTAAACTTCTTGAGTCAGTGGTCTCTCTCTGCTTTTTATTTATATATTTAGCAGAATGCCTGGCACATAGTAATTGCTTAGTAAATGTTTCTTGACTTAGTTGATTGATCAGTCAGAGCCTGGGAGACAGAAGTAACTGTCTTGGTTTTTCAGGTCTGACCATATTCTGAGAGACAGAGGTAACTCCTTGATTAGAATTTCCCTGCCTTTCTAAAGGCTGCCCTCTATAGTCCTGCTTCTGGGTCAGTGGTAGGCGAAACTAAAAATTCAGACGCGTCATACTATACAGTCCATGGCAAGTCCAATCCTGCTCCCTTTTAGGAACCTGCACTCCAGCAGACCCTAGCTGCATTACCTTGGGGCCTTCTGTCATGCCTGGTGTGACTGTGTTGTCTTTCTTGTCGAGGGACTGCCACCTCTTCCTGTTGTCTATGTAGTGAGTCAAATGTTTGTTCATAAAGACTGTGAATGAGGGCACCAGGTCTCTTTTAAGTGGTCCTATGAGTTCATAAGTTTTTTCAAAATACACAGCACAGACACGGACTCAGAAGGGACATCAAAGGACACTGAAACTAACCCATATCCAACTTTTCTTCTACAAGAATCCCTGAAAAGTGGTGGGTGGTCCATTTGTTTATTTTTTGAAGACCTCTAGTGATGGGGAACCTGCTTCCTCCCAAGGTCACCCATTTTACTTTTGGCTAGCTTTTGTCATTAGGACGTTTTGCTTACATAAAGCCTCTGCCTCTCTGCAACTTCTATCCATTGTTTCGACCTAAGTACTTTGGGACCAAACAGAGGCAGTTTGGTATAAAAGAAAAATGCCTCCTGGCTTTTAATCCTGTGTTTGTCACTCATGTCTGAGTTTCCTTTAGCACTGTTGCATCTCCACTTACCTGATGGTAAAGCAGGAAGAAGAAACAGCTTTATGGTGGTGTGGTCTCCCTCTGATAATAATCTCAGTTCTGTGTGAAGCTCTTCAAGAGTATTTTTCCCCTATTCAGTTTTCCTACCTTCTATGCCTTTACTAGCTATTTTTTCTTTCATTTGAGTAAAAGTTCTGATTCATACCTTTACCTAATCAATCTGGGTGTTATAAAAAAGAAAATTTGTATTCCGTTTTTTCCACAGCAGATCAACATCTCAGATCCATCTGTTCTCAGATCTAGATTGCCACCAGTTAAAAGAGTTCCTTAATCTAGAGTTGTCAGACTTGCGGCCTGTGGGTCACTTACATTCTAAAATGGAAGCATTTCTTCAAAAAAAATGTCCTGCAGAGTAGCTTCCTAATATGCTCCTTTTGGGTAACCAGAATTGGCCTTTATAGAGAAAATCAGAGTTTGCATTGTAGGAGAAGGGGATAAAACTTTCCCCAGTTTTTTTTTTCCACAGAGGCTCCTGAAGGACAGCCTCCTGATGCCATAGCCTGTTTACTTATTTCAGGAAGTTACAAATACATCTTGACCCCTGGGTAGAAATTAGAAAAGAGAAGTTATCTTCTTGATTTTGGGGCCTCAGGATTGGAGCTAGCTATACCTCATTAACTTACTGCAAATGTATGTCCATGGTGTTTAGTCAGAACAACTGAATTTCCCATAGGAAGATTATATCTGATAGGTTACTTCTTTTTATGCACTTGCTGAGTAGTCAGTGCATAATTGTTTTTGCTTCCGCAAACTCTTGCATACTTTTCCTTTAAAAAACTAAGATAATTCAAGTCTTTTGTATGGGAAGTATTTTTTTTCATTTTGTGAATACTGTTTTAAAAAGCATTATTATTAATATTTTTAATAATTAATATTTTTAAAAATACATGTTGAATTTAATTTCATTAGGTAAGTTATGATGCTTGGTCTTAAGCATTTTAAAGTGATATGTTTTCTACTATTTGTTAATTATTTCATGCATGTCTTGTTCTACTCTCTCTTCCAGGCTTTCCCTCCCCCCACCAAAAGAAATATTATTTTGAGTTCTTTGGAATCTGTGATAGATTTTTTAATTCTCTCACAGCACCTTGCACAAAGATAAACACATAGCAGTTACTCAGTAAATACTTGTTGAACTTAATTCATTACTTTGTTAAAGTACAGACATAGTTGGAGAAACTTTCATTCCATAAATCACTGAAAATCACTAGTTGTGTAAGCCTGTTCTGGTTAACATTAAGTAATCAGGAGAAGGAAGGACCTGAGTTCAGATACCTTGCTCCACAACTTAGTATCTTTGTGTCCTTGAGAAAGTCAGTCTATCTCTCTGAGCCTCATTTTTCTCTCTTGTAAAATGAGGCAGTTAGATAAGATGACCTTTAAGATATCTTCTATTTCTAAATCCCATGAATTCACATTAATTTAGCACTTTCACAAGTGATTTTCTCATAACAACTTGAAATAGGGAGTAGAAGTATGATCACCCTAATTTTTGCAGATAAGGAAATGACAAGGTCAAAGCCGTACCTACATAAATGCCAATAGTTATTTTAGTCAGCATGATTGGAAAAATACTGTTCTCCAAAAGAGGCTTAGAAAGTTTAATAAACTAGTCTTGTGTTTTTTTTTTCCAGAGTGATACTACTTTATACAGAGAGGAAAAAAATCCTTCACAAGACAACCCAAGATAAGCAATTATACCTTCACCAACCTACTACAATGCTTTAATAAAAGCTGCTTCTTTTGATGACATAATAGAATAGTTCCATGAAAGTAATGATAAAGCCTGCACAGCACTATTTATGCCACCCTTTTATTGCTCAGGGTTTATACATGGCTTTATAGACAATGCCTTTCTTGTGATCCTGGTCAAATATTAAGGACTCTGTTATTATGAACGTCTATTTCCTAAACTTAGTCATTTCTATTTTGCTTTTTTTGTTCCATCTGGATTCATGGCTGGGAATCCAATTTGTATAATTGTTTTAGGATTCTATTTAATAAGCTACTGTGCAAACACATTTTTCAGTCTGATTTTTGATAATATACAGTTACCTGACAACTGTCCACAAAAGAATATTTCTGTCAGTTGCCAATATGATATCTGTGGCATTGTTACAAGTCCATGTAGAAGAGTTATGCTAGTCTTTCTTCCTCAAATGGAAGGCAGAAATGGCATCTCTGCTAGGCTTAGTTATTCTTTCTGTGATGAAAATTTCTAGAAGCATTTGTTCACTTTGAAGCTGAATTTCTTGGGATGTAATGTCCCAACGTTTACTGTTATCTTTTGCTATGGTAGAATGAGAAAACATTAATATACAAGTAGACAAAAATGTAAGTTTTTAAGTTTATCTCTGCTGTGATGTTTGTTTTTATATCTTACGACCCTCATGCTTTTTTTTTCTTTCCACTTTTCAAGAGTACTTGTCCCTAAGTGATGGTAAGAGCAACTATCACCTGGACAAAGCAGTCCCAAGTCACTAAAATTATTGCCACCACTCACTGCTGCATTATTCCTGTGGTCTATGGGTTTTCAAATGAGACATTTTGAAAATGTCTCTACCTTTTCCATCCCTATAAGTAATAATGAAATTCATTTCAATGAGGAATTGTAACAACAGTTGCCTACAAGAAGCCAGCTGTGCCATTCTACTGGATTTAAACTGTGTTCAAATGTATACTGAATAAAGTTTCATTTAATTTCATTTATTGCATTGCTTTGGATAATTGTTTTGTGTAAATCCTCTACTTAGCTGCCAATGTGATTTTCCTAAAGCAAAGGTCCAACCATGTCAGTTCCCTACTCCATCAACTCCCATTTCCCCCCTTATTACCTCCTGGAAGCCCTCTTAATTCAAACATTCAAACCTAGCCCCCTGCTACCTTTCCAGTCTTCTTATACCTTAGTCCTTTCCACATACTCTGATTCACTGACGCTGGCTTCCTTGGTATTCCTGAAAATTTCACTTCTTGGCTCTAGGCATTTTCTCTGGCTCTTCCTCCATGCCTGGATACTGTCCTTCATCTCTATCCTAGCTTCCTGCAAAATCCAACTACAATCACATCTTCAGGAAGCCTTTCCCAACCCCTCAATTCCAGTACCTTTTTTAGAATTCCTGTTTTTCGTGTGTATAGCTTATTTATGCATATTTTTTGAGTCCCTCCTTGGACTGTGAGCTTATTGTCCTTTTTCTAGCTTTTTTTTAAAATTGCATAGACAATTCACTGGTCTGGTATTTTTCTATTTTATCAATGTAAGCATTTAGAGATATAAATTTTCCTCGGATTACTGCTTTTGCTACATCCCATAGTTTGTGATAACGTTTCATTATTATTATTCTCCTTAATAAGATTATTGTTTCTATGAGGTATTTTTTAGCCTACTCATTATTTAAGATTAGGTTATTTATTCCCCAACTAATTTTTTATCTGTTTCCATGGTCCTTTGTTAAATATAATTTTATTGCATTATGATCTGAAAAGTATGCATTTAATATTTCTGCTTTTCTGCATTCAACTATAAAATTGTTATGCCCTAATATATGGTCAATTTTTATAAAGTACCATGTACCACTGAGAAAAAGGTGTATTCCTTTCAATTCCCATTCAATTCTCTGCAGATATCTATCACATCTAGCTTATCTAAGACTCATCTCTTTGACTTCTTATATTTTGTTAGATTTATCTAGCTCTGAGAGGTGAAGATTGAAGTCCCCCCATTATTAATGGTTTTATTATTTCCATCTATAATGTATTAAGATTTTCTTTTAAACATTTGGATTCTATAGCATTTAGTATATATAGGGCTAGTACTGATATTACTTCTTTATCTATGCCACCTTTATCACAATGTAATTTCCCTGCTTATCATTTCTAATTCAATCCATTTTAACTTCTTCTAAGATCATGATTGCTACCCTTGCTTTTTTTTTGCATCAGCTGAAGCATAATATATTCTACTCCAACCCTTTTATTTGTACTCCATGTGTAACTCTCATTTTAAAATGTGTTTCTTGTAAACAACATATTGTCAGCTTCTGGTTTTTATTCCATTCTGCTGTTTCCATTTTATGGGTGATTTCATCCCATTCACATTCAAAGTTATAATTATTAGTTGTATTTCCCTCCTATTTTTTCTCACCATTTATCCTTCTCTCCCTTTCTTTTTATCTTATCCCTCCTCAAACATCTAAATGACCTCTAACCACTACCTTCCTGATCCATACCCCTTCTAAGAATCCCTCCCTTATCCTCTATTCCTTACCCTCTTACTCCTTAATCTACCCAACCTTTTAAAAGTCCTTCCTAATCCTCTCCCCTTATCCTATTTCTTGATCTGCACACCCTTCTAAGAGTCCTTCCCTTGTCCTATCCCCTTGCTACCCTCTGTAAGTTAAGATTTTAACCCAATTCTGATGACAATAAGGTTCTAACACATCAGCCCTCCACCCACTTATCCCTCCTGAAACATCTAAATGACCTCAAATCACTGCCTTCATGATTCATACCCCTTCTGCCTCCACAATAGCAATTCTTCCATTCATTCCTCATTTATATGAGGTAAGTGCTCCATTTTACCTCTCCCTACCCATTTTTATTTTTTAGCATCATCCCATCATACTCAACTAAACCTCAAGCCTTCTACCTATGTATGCTCTCTCAAATTACCCAAGTAATGATAACATTCTTTTTTTTTTAAAAAAATATTTTATTTCTGGAGGGCAGATCCAGGTAGAGTAAAGGCAGGCACTTGCCTGAGCTCTCCCCCAAACCTCTTCAAATGCTTTTTAAAAAGGACTAAACAGCACAGTGGATACAGCACCGGCCTTGCATTCGGGAGGACCAGCCTCAGACACATAACACTTACTAGCTATGTGACCCTAGGCAAGTCACTTAACCCCACTGCCTGAATGCCCCCCCCCAAAAAAAAGTAATAAAATTTAAATTTTTTTAAAAAGACTAAAATTCTAGAGCAGCAGAACCCACAAAAAGACTGAAACAAATTTCCAGCCCAAGACAACTTGGAAGATTGTCAGGAAAGGTCTCTTGCACTAGGGTGAGAGAGGAGTAGGCCTCACCAGCACAGTCCTACCCACAGCAAACAGGAGCAGGTCTTGGGAGTGATTGAATCAGCAGCAGTAGTAGCTTCTTCCAGAACTCTCAGTCCACAGACAGTAAGAGGTCAAACAGAAGATTACAGGAGTCTTTGTGCTACCACTGGAGCAGGACTCTGTTACTTTGCCCATACTCAGATCTGGGTCACAGTCTGAGGCGGTAGTGCCAGGGCAAGGAGAAGCACTAGCACAGCAAAGCTTGTGGCCACAGTGGAGGGGGGACCCTTCACACTTCCAGAGCAGAAAATAGAGTGCTTATGGTCGCTCACAGACCAGAGCACAGGCCAGGAAAGGAGTAAACACACCTCTCCTTAGATCATACCACTTTGGAAGAACTGAAAACTTCAGATCCCTAGAAGTATCTCTGAAAACAACTTGAAGCTTGGGATAGAGTGCCCACCACCCTGGAAGTAGAGCCCTACTTTGACAAAAAGTTAAAAGTCAAGTAACAGGTTAGAAAAATGAGCAAACAACAACAACAAAAAAACTCGACTAAATAAAGTTACTATGGTGACAAAGAAGATCAAAACACAGAAGAAGACAACAAAGTCAAAGTTCATACATCCAAGAAAAATATGAATTGGTCTTAGGCCATGGAACAGCTCAAAAAGGATTTTGAAAATCAAGTAAGAGAGGTAGAGGAAAAATTGGGAAGAGAAATGAGAGTGATGCAAGAAAATCATGACAAATGAGTCAACAGCTTGGTAAAGGAGACACAAAAAAGTACTGAAGAATCAGAGGGTAAAATAGAAATTGAAAGATTACCTAAAAGAGATCCCAAAAAGAAAGCTCCCAGGAATATTGTAGCCAAATTCTAGACCTCCCAGGTGAAAGGAAAAATATTGCAAGCAGCCAGAAAGAAATAATTCAAGTATGTTGGAGTCCCAGTCAGGATAACACAAGATTCAGCAGCTTCTACATTAAAGGATCAGAAGGCTTGGCATATGATACTTGGGAGGGCAAAGGTGCTAGGATTACAATCAAGAATCACCTACCCAGAAAAAAACAGTATAGTCCTTCAGGGAGAAAAATGGATATTTGGTGAGATAGAAGACTTTCAAGCATTTTTAAAGACCAGAGCTAAATAGAAAATTTGACTTTCACATACAAGACTCAAGAAAAGCATAAAAAGTAAACAGGAAAGGGAAATCATAAGGGATTTAATAAGGTTGGGCTGTTTACATTCCTACAGGGGAAGATGATATTTGTACCTCATAATACCTCTCTCATTATTAGTGTAGTTAGAAGGAGTATATATAGACAGAGGGCACAGGTGTGAGTTGAATATGAAGGGATGATATCTAAAAGATAAAATTAAGGGGTGAGAGAGTAGAATGTACTAGGAGAAAGGGAAAGGGAGAAGTAGAATGAGGTAAATTATCTCACATAAAAGAGGCAAGAAAAAGCTTTTACAGTAGAGAGGAGGAGGGGGAAGGTGAAGAGAATTAAGTGAACCTTGCTATCATCAGAATTGGCTCAAAGAAGGAATAACATACACACGCAAGTGGGCATAGAAATCTATCTTACCCTACAGGAAAGTAGGAGGGGAAAGAGATAAAAGAAGGAGGGGGTGATAGACTGGAGAGCAGATTGGGGGAGGGGGTAGTCAGAAGCAAAACACTTTTGAGGAGGGACAGGGTGAAAAAGAGAAAGAATGGAGGGGGAAGGATGGGATGGAGGGAAATAGCAGTAGTAACTGAAAAATTGAAGCAAGTTTCTCTGATAAAGGACTCATTTCTCAAACTGAGAACAGTAAAATTTATAAAAATAAGAGCCATTCCCCAAATGATAAATGATCAAAAGATATAATCAGTTTTCAGATGAAGTAATCAAAGCCATCTATAGCCATATGAAAAATACTCTAATGCACTACTGATTGGAGAAATGCAAATTAAAACTGCTGAGGTACTACTTCATACCTATTAGATTGGCTAATAGGACAGAAAAGATGAATGACAAATGTTGGAGGGGATGTAGGAAAAATGAGACATTAATGCACTGTTGGTGGAGTTGTGAACTGATTGAACCATTCTTTAGAGCTATTTTGGAACTGTGCCCAAAGGGTTATAAAACCATGAATACCCTTTGACCTAGCAATACCACTACTAGGTCTGTATCCCAAAAGATATAAAAAAACAAAAAGGAAAAGAACATATATATATATATATGTGTGTACATATATTTATAGCAGCTCTTTTCTGGGAGGCAAAGAGTTAGAAATTGAGGGGATGCCCATCGATTGAGGAATTGCTGAACAAGTTGTGGCATGTGATTATGATGGAATACTATTGTACTATAAGAAATAACGAGCAGGATGCTCTCAGAAAAACCTGGAAAGACTTTCATGGGCCGATGCAAAGTGAAATGTACTATGTACAAAGTAACAGGTCAGCTGTGAATGACTTAGCTGTTCTCAGCAATACAATGATCCAAGACAACTCTGAAGGGCTTATGATTAAAAATGCTATCCATCCCCAGATTAAAAATTGATGGTGTCTGAATACAGAATGACGCATACTTTCTTTTAAACTTTATTTTTCTTGAGGGTTTTTTGGTCGATGTTTTCTTTCACAACATGACTGTCATGGATGTGTTTTGCATGACTACACATGTATAACCTATATCAAACTGCTTGCCTTCTCAATGAGGCGGGTGGGATAGGGAGGATGTGAGACAATTTGGAACTCAGAGTCTTGAAGATGAATATTAAAATTGCTTTTACATGTACCTGGGGGGAAAAATAAAATACTAAAAAAAAAAAAAGAAATGGAAACATCACCCCTTCTACGCAAGTCATTGCAAAAAAAAATTAAAATAATAAAACATCTGTTGGAGTATAGGTGGGAGAGCTGGTCTACTTCGTGGTATTTTATGAAATTATTTTATCCACAATAAATCTTAGCAACTGAAAAAAAAATTTATTTCCCTCCAGTTACATGTAAAGACAATTTTTAACATTTTTTTTTAACTTTTGAGTTCCCAACTTTCTCCCTCCCTGAAAAAGTAATTTGTTATAAGTTAGGCATGTTCAATCATACAAAACATTATCCATATTAGTTATGGTGTGAAAAAAGACACAGATCCAAAAGAGGGGGAAAACCCACAAAAAATACAGAAAGTGAAAAATAGTATGCTTTAATCTGCATTCAGACTGCATCAGTTCATTCTCTGGAGGTGGATAGCATTGTTTCATCATAAGTCCTTTGGAATTGTCTTGAATCATTGTATTGTTGAGAATAGCTACGTCATTCACAGTTGATCATTCTATGGTATTGCTATTACTTTGTACAACATTCTCCTGGTTCTGCTCACTTCACTTTGCATCATTTCATGTAAGTCTTTCCAGGTTCTTCTGAAATTCTCCTGCTCAAATGATAACATTCTTCGACTTACAGATCATGTTTTCCCGTATAAGAAATAAAGATTTTGACCTTTTTAAGTCCTTAATAATTGGTCTTTAATGTTTACCTTCTTATATTTCTCCTGAATCTACTAGGTCACATTTTCTATTTAGTTCTGATCTTCACAAATACCTGAAAATCCTTTTGTTCATTATATGCTCATTTTTTACCATTCAGGATAACAGGGCTTTGCTGGCAAGTTATTCTTGGTTGCAAGCCCAGCTCCTTTGCTATTCAGAATATATTGCTCCATGACCTTTAGCCTTTTAGAACCTGCTAAGTCTTGTATTATCCCGACTGTACCTCCACAATATTTAAATCAGTTTTTTTCCCCTCGTTGTTTGTAGTTATTTTCTCCTTGACCTAGGAGCTTCAAAACTTAGCTATGATATTCCTGTGAGTTTTCATCTAGGGATTTTTCAGGTGGTGATTGGTGGATTTTTTTCTATTTTTATTTTACCCTCTCATTTTAAAACTTTGGGGCAATTCTCCTTAATCTCTTGAAGTATAGTATCTAGACCTTTTCTGGTCATAACTTTCATATAGTGCAACAATTCTTATGTTACCTCTCTTCAATCTATTCTCCAGGTCAGTTTTTCTAATGAGATGTTTTACATTCTATTTTTTTCATTCTTTTGATTTTATTTTATTATTTCTTGGTGTCTTTTGAAGTCATTAGCTTTCCCTTGCCCCATTCTAATTTCTAAGGGGTTATTTTCTCCTGGATCTCTTTTTCCAATTGGTTGAATTTCTTTTCATAATATTCTTGATTTTCTTGCATTACTCTTATTTTTTCCTAATTTTTCCTCAACCTCTCTCTATTTGATTTTCAAAGTCCTTTTTAAGCTCTTCCAAAAACCCTTTCTGGGCTTGTGACCATTTTGCTTTTTTCTTTGAGGTAGAAGTAGCTATTTTAACTTCACTATCTTCTGCATTTGAACCTAGATCTTCTCTATCACCACAATAACTATGTATGGTTGGGTTCTTTCTTTTTCACTTATTATTTCATTTTTTTTTAGCAGCTTATTTCTTGTCTGTTAACTTTGTGTTAAAATCAGGCTCTAGTCCCAAGGTATGGGGGATAATATCTTAGAATTTAGGGTTTTTGTGCTGTTTTTTTCTGAGCTGTATTCAGGGAACTAACTATATCAGGGAACTCTCATTCCCTGAGCCACAATCAGTGCCCCCTTCAATGTTGTCACCTCAAACGCTTTTGTTCCCTGTGGTACCTCCTGCAGCTGTAAGCTTCAGCTCACCCCTCTGCCCTGAAACCAAAACCAAGGACTCCACAAGTGTCCATAGTCAATAGGGTCCTCAGCACCCTCAGGAGAGTTCGAATCCCTCTGTGACTACACTCACCCAGTCTGTACCTTCCTCTTCACCCACAGCCACAGCCCTAGAATGTATCAGGTCAGTGCACCTGGGGTCCAGCATCCAGCACTAGCAGAGGGCCTTGCAATCTTCCCCTCACCTAATGTCCAACCCCAACTACCATCTGTGGGGTGAAAGTTCCTGAAGCTGAGGATGCCACCCAACACAGCTGCCCCCATAGCTTGTTGTTTGATTCAGCAATACCTGTCCACAGTTGTCTGTGTTACAATCAGGTCAAACAACTACCCAGGGAGATGGGGTCTTTCCTCACATCCTTTGAAGCTGTTTTATGTGGACAAGTGCTTTACCCAACTTTAAATTATTTTTGCCACTCAAAGTTCACTCTGAGTCATTATTTTATATTGTTTGTGGGGAGATTAAGGAGAGCCTGCCCAGAATCTCCTTCCTTGGTTTTTAAAATAAATTTTGAGCTCTTTCTTTAACATTTGATTTAATTCTTCTAGGAATTCTTTTTTTGACTTGTAGCCAACCTGCACTTTCTTTTAAGGCTTTGCTTTTAAATGTTCTGCAGTCATTCTCTCCTGTGTTTGTATCTCAAGCTTAAATATCACCATAATAGTTCCTGATGGTTGGATTATTTTGTTTTGTTTGCTCATTCTTCCAGCATACTTCTTTAATCTAGATTTTGTATTAGTGCTGAGCTCTGCATATTTGTGGGGAGGATGTCTAGCCTGAGTTTCTGTCTTCTTACAGCCTTCTGCTGATTTCATAGCTCCAGCTGGAGGCCTGCAAGTTTTCAATGCCCCCCTAGTGGTGTGATCCAGGGGCTGATCTGTTCACTGCCTTCCTTATCTAAGCTCTGCAAAGCCCTGACTCAGGTTTGTGGTCTATTGGCTTATTTCTAGTTGAAATTTTCAGTATATTTTTGCTTAACTCAGGCACTACTGGACTGCTGGGAAGCAATGCAGGGTCAGAGAAACTAGGGCCCTTGCTCACAACTGTTTCTCTCTACCCTGCATCTGTGACCCCGAACTGGGTAGTGGATGACAGTTCACCCAGTGTTTGTTGAGGGTCTCCTGGGATCTCTTTTTTGCTTCAGTGCTTCCTGCCCTGGTACCCTGTCTTGCCCTCTTTCATTCCCTAGGGGTTGGAATGTTCCGTTATGCATGCTTAAGGCAGACTTGGTCCTCAGTATCCAGAGCAACTCTGGACTGGAAAAATGACTGAGTATGATTTTTCTTTGCTTTCTTGATCAGAATTAGATCTGCTGCATATTCTAGATCTTCATCAAGGAGATGTGGTGGGCAAGCTATACTCTAAAGCCTTCTCTGGACTCTGCCCCCCTCTCTAAACTGCTATTGATAATAAATAATAGCTAGCATTTATATAGTGCTTTGCATTAGATCCACAACAACCCTGCAAAGGTAAGTCCTATTGTTTTCTTCCCCATTTTTACAGAGCAGGAAACTTAGGTACACAGAGGTTAAGTGACTTGCACACATTTAGAATCTCAGGCAAGATTCTAGCTCAAGTCTTCTTAATTCCAAGTCCTGTGCTCTCTATCCTCTGTACCACCTAGCTGTTAAAACTAACCACTAAAACTCATTGCATACCTCTTTAAATTTTCAGTACCTGCACCTCCTCCCCCATTAGCTTGTAGGTTCCTTCTGTCATACATTTGTAATCTTCCTTTTATTTGGCTCCAGCATGAGCATTTTATTTATAAGGAAAATCTGGCTGGAGTTTTTCTTATAGTATGGAATTTAGCTGAGATTTTCAATAATTTAACTCAAGACAACTGGGTAGAGATAAAAAATAATCATTTGCTAGTTGTAACATCTAAACTACTCAGTGTTTGCTGTTCGATTTACAACTTGACTTAAAGCAATTCTCTCCTTTTCTTATCTTTTGACGTATAATCCTCCTTCCTCTTCTTTAGCCTACTATAAATCTTACAATCTTGTATAAATACGTAAAGCTTACGTATCTTTGAAATGGTAAATCTTACATTTCCCTTTTTGGCATCTGTAAATACTAATTGTTTCTTCTTTCCCTTGGATGTAACTAGAAACTATATAAGTCTTAAGAAGACTTTATCTGGTGCTCAGTGGTCATTTAGGGAATTCAGAGTCTGCTTGGCGTGTAGTAAATCTGGTTTGCCTCCCAGATCTCTGCAGGCTGCTGGTTTTGATTGGCAGCAGTACATATCAGCGAATCCTTGGGTATCTTCCTATCATTTCCTTGACCTCTCCCTATATGCTGCTTCCCAATAGGTATGCATCACTTAAGCTCCTACTTGTGGTTCTTTAATCACACAGAAATTAACGGGTATTCCAGAAATATGGAGAAGGGGTACGGGAGGAAGAAGGCTCTACATACACATAGCTAGTGCCAGAGTAAGCAGAAGGGCTGAATCTCTTTGTAGCCTAGCATGAGGAAAGGAGCGGCCGGGTGGCCCAGGGGATGGAGTGCCAAGCCGGCCTCGGACACCTCCTAGCCGTGACCCTGGGGTCGCACCTGGAGCCACGGAACAAGGACGGGAGAAGGGAAGGGCTGCCTGGCGCAGTCCGGCAGAGTCCGACAAGGAGCCTTCAACGGGCGCTGCCTCTGGTCCGGCCGAGGTCCCGGCTTCCCCTGCCTCTGTCCCCCGAGCTGTAAAGTCAACAGGGGGAGCGGCACAGAGGGCAAAGCCGGCGGGGGAAGAGTTCGAGTCCCGGCTCGGCCGTTTCCTGTGCGACTTAGAGCCAGTTACTGACGCTCTCGATCTTCTTACGTCAAATGAAAGGCCTGGGCCGCAAAGGCCTCAGCGGCCCGTTCACTTCTACGTGACTCCAGATCCCCGGGGCTGCCTCCTACACTCCCGGCTGAGCCCCGGCCCGGACTGGGGCTAGAAAAACAAGCCTCAGACCCCAAGGGCCCGAGGCACAAGACAAGCCCAAGCCCAGGCCTTCTCCCCTTCCCGGAAGCTGTCACTCGCACCACTTCCGCCTGGTGGGGAACGGCCATGGAAACTCCTCCCCTTCCGCGCTGCTCCTTGGCGTCACCTCCGCCAGGTGGCGGAAGGGGAAGCCCTGAAGTTGGCGCGAAACTCGGCGCTGAGGCTCGGAGCCGGCTGGTCCCCCACCCCCCCCCTCCTCCTCCTCCCGCCCCCGTCGCGCGATCCGGCTTTCCTCACGCCGCGTCGTCCGCCTCGCTCTGGACTGCAGCCGCTGCCGCCTCAGGACGTCGGAGCCCTGAGGCTGGTGAGTGAAGGCGACGGGCAGCGTCGGCAGCGACCGTTATGCGGCCGCCCCGGGCCCGAGCGGCGGGGTAGGGCGGGGCCGGAGGCTGGAGGGGCCTGGGCCCGAGCGGCGGGGTGGACGGCGCTGCCCGTTGGTCCGGCGGCCCCGCTGCCTGGCAGGGCTCCGGGCTCTGCCAGCCGAGGCAGCGGGAGCCGGGTTCGAGCCCTAATCCCCTGAGGCCCCGGCCGGCCCCGCCCCCTCCCCTCCCCTCTCCTCCCCTGTCCTCGGGCGGCCCCGGCGCCTTGGAAGGCTCCGGTCCTTCGGCCGTCCGGCGGCCTGGTCCCGGGGGAGCCGCGAGGGCCGCGCCTCGGGCCCGCGTCTCCCCGGAGCAGCTCCCGCGGAAGGCCTCGTTGGTGACCGCGTACTGTTGTTTTAGGTCAGCATGTCCGGAAGTGACCGGGAGCCGTATTACGTGAAGTTCGTGAAGGCGCAGGGCAACTCGGAGTTTTTCTTTACAGCGCTTGAGGTAAGCGAGTCGGCCGTTTGTGTTGTCTGGATCGCCGAAATGTTTCCATGGAAGGAGAGCGGATTTGTGAGTGACTGCGCTGCGGTGTTTCCGCGATCCTACCATTTATTGGTGTTAGGCGTTGCCTGTCAGGGAGTTCTGTTTCAGTCGTCCTTGCTATCGGATGTATTTGATGTGCAGCCCTGGAGAGAGCAGATCACTCCTTTTTGTCTGCTAGAACTCCATGCTTTTGTGAAGTGTGATTTAACCAAATAACATCTTGTACTTTACGATGTTTTTCTCTTGAACAGTTTCTGGTTCATTGTTAAAAAGTTTCTTCAAGTACAGTGCAGTTTTTGGTTCCTTAGCTTTCTGATTAATTATGTAGCCTAAGAAAGTCTGAATAATTAAAATACTCTCATATTTCACTTTTCCTACAGTCTATGAAAGAATTCCAGTCAGAAAAATATCTTCAAACTATTACAGAAGAAGAGGCATTGAATATTAAAAAAAATGACAGATCACTTTATATCTGTGACCCTTTTAGTGGCATTGTTTTTGAACATCTCAAAAAGGTGCGTTGCCCTTTGGTATTTTCCTGAGGACTTTCTGTTCCTAATCCCAGTATCTGTTATTTCTTTGTTGACTAGGTTTAGATAAAATGCAAAATATAAATAGAGGAGGGCCGTGTGATGATGAATTTGCCCCCTGCAATAACTCTTACAATACCATCTGCTAAGTGAAACAGGGCTATGATATGAGTACTCAGACTACTGAAAAAAACATTTTTGAAGAAATAGGTATAAATACTGGTAAATAATGTAGTTTTCAATAAGGGAACATCTTAAGGAAAATCATCTTTTTTTCTGTTCAAATAACATAAACCACGTATTTTCTCTTCTGTAGCTTGGCTGTAGAATTGTTGGCCCACAAGTAGTCACATTTTGTATGCAGCACCAACGATGTGTCCCAAAAGCAGAGTATCCAGTTTATAATATGATTATGGCAGACATAACTATTTCTTGCACAAGCCTTGACAAAGAAACAAGGGTAAGATGTTTTAGTAGAATAATAACATCAATATGTACTTTTTTATATGAATTTTTTTCTCATTGGTTAAGCTGTGCTCTGAAATGTTGTGAATTTTATTTCACATGCCACAGAGTAGAAGTTTATGACCTAGCAATATAAAAGGCAAAAAGGTGATCTTCAAATTGAATTGTACCCAGTACAAGTTGTCCTAACCAATGGTGTTTCATAATAATTTTGTTAATGCAATATAACCAAAGCCCTGCATATTAATATCATGCAAACAATTTGTAACCTCAATTGGTCCAGCCACAGGACTGCAGTTTTATACTCCATAATTTCTGCCCTGATACCTACTTCATCTCCCTTCAGTTCATAGATGCTGGGTCTTGCCTCAGCCACTCTTGCAAGGTGATCATGAGCCCTCGTTCCAAAGCATTGTTTCTCTCTTTATCATGTTATGTTCCTCTAAGTGCTCTCTGTAAAATTGGTTAGAGTTAGGGTTTTAAATGAAAAAAAAAAGACTTAATGAATTATGCTTTTAGTATCTTCCAATAGACTCATTAACCATTTGAAGAATTACATTTTTCTTTCTAACATAGCTATAGTGATTAAATGAATATGAATTCGTTGTGGACACAATAAAATGGATGCCTTAGAAAATCGATGACAATGATCATAGATTAATGTATTTCCTATCTCTTCCTTTGGCACTCCAGAAAGAAGTTCATAAATATGTACAAATGATGGGTGGACGAGTTTGCAGAGACTTGAGTATATCAGTAACTCACCTTATTGCTGGAGAAGTCGGCAGCAAAAAATATTTAGTGGCTGCAAATCTAGGGAAACCTATTATGCTTCCTTCTTGGGTAAAAGAGCTATGGAAGCAGTCACAAGAGAAGTAAGTTGTTTATTATGACTTTAAAATTACGTATAAGATTGTGTAAGCCAATCCCACAGGTTCCCTGAAGAAAGTTTTGTGAGTGTCTTCTCTCCTTACTCACTCAGTGACCTAAACAGGTTCGACACCATTCTCTTTTCCAAACCCAGAAGGATGAAAGTTTCTTAGGCATAGAATGATGATGAGTGCCTGTGTTAATTGGAATGTATCTGAGTGTTAGGCTAATCAGTTCACCTCTCTGCGGCTCCCATTTCCTTATCTGTAAAACGAAGAGGTGTATTAGATGATATCTGCACCTCGCCATTTAGTTTGCTATGGATCGGTCTGTCTCCAGAATTGCCCACATGTGCATCAGGTTCAAAGAGAAAGTAGGCTATGTTGAGTATAAATTGCCATTCAGAATTAACAAAGCATTCCTAACAAAATAACTGTTCACTTGAGGGTAATCTCAACCTTTTAAATTGAAGCCTGTAACATAAGACTTTGGATAAAAACACTTGGGGTGAGATTTGGAATTTTCGGACCATGTATTTAGAGACAGGTTGTAGAGTATAACAGTCTTTTTTTTTCTTTTTCCTAAGAAAATTTGGATTCAGATTTTTTTGAGCGTTTCTCAGTCCACTCTTGTGACTTTGAATATGTTGCAGTAAATCTGAAGTGTGAGAAAAGAAAATGATGGATAAAATATAAGCTGCTTCTAGCACAAGTAAAATTTGTCGTAGCCTATATTTTAAGAGGTTTTTATCTAATTTTTATTGTATAGCAAATGCTTTCCTTCTGCTATTTTGATTTTCCTCAGATGTATGACACAGTTAACAGATATAAATATGGAAGATTTCAAATGCCCTTTATTTTTTGGCTGTACTATTTGTGTGACTGGTTTATGTAGCTTGGATAGAAGGGCAGTTCAGCGACTCACTGTTGAGAACGGAGGTCGATATATGGGACAACTGAAAATGAATGAATGCACACACCTCATTGTTCATGAACCAAAAGGTAAAAATGTTTCCAGAAAGATAAACCCCAAAACTGTTGCTACTGATGTCTGTTGAGGGCGGTTAGATGATGCAGTGGGTAAAGTGGTGGGCCTAAAGTCAGGAAGACCTGAGTTCAAAGCCACTTACGCTTTGCGAGCAGCTAGGTGGGACAGTGGATGGACTCATCTTCCTGGGTTCAAATCAGGCCCCAGATACTTCTGGGCAAGTCACTTAACCCTGTTTTCCTCAGTTTCCTTATCTGTAAAATGAGCTGGAGAAGGAAATGCCAAACCATTTCAGTATGCCAAGAAAGCCAAGAAAAAAATGGGAAACATGGTTTGCTTGGAAGTTTCCTTTGTAACACACTATCATGCCATCAGTGATATTAAAAACCATTAGGTAGCATTTTCAGTCCTTTACCAAATCTTATGGTTCTCTGTGTTACTAAAGTTTTTTCTCTTTTTAGAACTAAATTGGCTAATTTTCTGTTACTCTGGAACATTGGTTACTTTACTAAATTGGGTAATTAATCCTTGTTCTGCTTTAAGAGTCAGTCCAGTCACTGAATGATTGGGTAGGCTATTTGTTTTGTATGCCTGGGTGCTTCCCAAGAATGATGAGCCAGGGACCAGAGGAAGACCATGGAGGATATGCTTGCTGTTAATAGCAAAGAATCTGAAAAAATGTCATGAGATAGCTTGGGCTCTCTAGTAGTTTGCTAAAAGAGTAATAGGTTCTCACTTTCATATTGGGAGTTGACAAAGCTTTTTCTTCATCATGGCAATCCTCCCAGGTAGATAGTATAAGTATTCTTATCCACATTTTAGAGATGAGGAAGCTGAGGTGCAGAAAAGTTAAATGACTTGCCTGTGGTCAGCACCGAGAGTGAGGGTCACAGATTCTGAATCCACAACTTATGTCTTATGATCCCGAGTCCACGCTCTTTTCTTTCCCTATGCTGTTTCTCACTAAGATAAAGACCCTGTATGTGGGATTCCAGTAAATGTCTTCTAAGCTCTTCAATATCTGTACAAATGGACTTGAGGGAAGGACTTTGCTACTGTGCTTCCTTTTTATTATCTTTGCTTGTGTTTGCTGAGCTGCCTTGGTGGAAGAGATGTGTTCACTCAGGACCATGAATGTAAAGCGAAGTCTGAAATGAGTGTGATATAAAGATCGTAATTAGATGATTATTCACTTTGCTGATGCTGTTGGACATTCAGCAACTCCTGGTTTTCAAGAACATCAGAAGTGGGATTCTGATTTGGTCACTTTGTTCTTCTTGATCCCATTTTCTCTACATCCATGGTATCAAGTGCACTGAATAAATAAAGAATTAAAATACTTGGAGAAAAGAATAGTTATGTGTAGAATTGATTCTAATTTGAATCAGTTTGATATTAGAGTAGTTTTGCTTTTTGAAGTACTGAGTTTTGTTAGTTTTGCACTTTGACATAAATATATTTTTCTCATGCATATAAATGTATGTTATAATATTATAATTCGAACCAAATATGCCCAGAAAAGTCACTTATCAGTATTACAAGATATTGTCTCTGTGTCATAGTATTTTTTATTACTGTGTTTTTAATTCAGATTTTTATCCCCGTTCTTGAGAACTTAAAGAATTTTGTAAAGAGAATTTTTAGCATACTGTAATTTTTTTTCTTATTGCCCGTGGTAGGTCAGAAATATGAATGTGCCAAGAGATGGAATGTACACTGTGTGACAGTCCAGTGGTTTTTTCACAGTATTGAGAAAGGCTTCTGTCAAGATGAAGCCAAGTACAAGACAGAGCCTAGATCAGAAGCAAAGAGTGTACTGGGCACTTCTACTCCTACTGGCCAGAACAGTGAAGCTAGTGGTAAGTTCCTAACTACAACTTAGTGAGGTAATTTTTTTTCCATGTATTGATCAATTTACTTTAATGGAAGGATTTGTTTTTATTAGTATTTGTTGAGGTGTTTTTTACTAGAAAATTGGATATATTCTTTCTTTCACTTATAATTGGACAATGGAAAAATGGCTCGTCAGAATTATTCAGGTCTTAGTTCTTTTTTATGGTATATGACAGCTACATTTGTTATACCACTGTTGATCTATGGAAAGACTGAGGAAATCAACTTGAACAACTGACAAAATAAAAAATGAATTCTTTAAGAACTCAAATCTTTTCTGAAGTTTGTGTTGTTTAATTTTCTGTATTATTACATCTTACTATAGTTTCTGTTGTTTTCATTTTTGTTGATGTTATATTTAAAATAGTTATGTTTGATAGAGGACCGTATCTCAAAAGTTGGAATTTTTAAAATTAAATATTCTAAGCCCTTAAACCTAGCACAGATTTACCTTTGGGGGAAAGGGAGTGAATTCTATTATAGAGCATGAGAGAATTCTAAATAATGTCTTTTAAATGAAATTAGCTTTCTATAGTATAACCCATTTAGTTTTTTTTTTCTTTTCATATTTTGTCTTCTAGCTAAAATGCTGAATCTTATTGAAAAGTAAAAATCCTTTTCGATTGCAAAATCAAGTTCAGTGGGGGAAAACATAATCAGTGAGGACCTGATTTATTTATCTTCATTTATGAATGCTTGTCTTCATTACATTTTGATATGTAGGTCGTACTCTTTCAGATGTCAGTCACATATCTAACATCAATTCAAGTTGCATTAATGAGTCTACACATAACTCAGTTATGAACAACAAATTGGGGTCTCTACTTGAAAATCTACAAAACTTGGATATCAGCGCATTTCAAGCACCTGAGGATTTACTGGATGGCTGTCGGGTATGTCTGTAAATTCATTAACTCTTATGATATTTAGTGCATTTTAATATTCATTAGCCTTGTATTTGTAGCCTTTGAGTCAACCAGTCAGCAGATATTTAATGATTGCTTGGTATGTGCCATGCACTGCACTAAGTGCTGGATACAAGGGAAGACAAAAGCACAGTTCCTGCACCCAGGAAGCTCACAATCTAATGGGAGAGACAAAATGCAAATAACTACCTCCATACAGGATACAGATGTACACATGAATGGGAGGTAATTTCAGAGGCAAGGTTTTAGTGGAGGGTCAGGATTGGGACAGGAAGTGTCACTTGCAGAACATGGGATTCGAAATAAATGTACAGGCTTTGAGTTAGAGGTGAGAAGGAAGAGCATTCCAGGTATGTACCCTCAGTGAAAAAATAGTCAGGAGGTGGCAATGTCCTATGTGAGGAACAGCAAAAAATCCCGTGATGCTTGCTCCTAGAATACATGGTGGAGAATAAAATGTAAGAAAACTGGGCAAGTGGGAACAGGATAAGGTTGTAAATGGCTTCAGAAGTCAAGCAGAGGGTTTGATGTTTGGTCCTAGAGTTAATAGGAAGCAATTGGAGTATATCAAGTAGGGCAGACTTATGCTTTAGGAAGAATCATTTTGGCAGCCAAGCAAAAGGTGAATGAGAATGGGCAGAGACTTGAGACAGAAAGACAAATCATCAAGCTTGCTGCTCTATACAAGGGTGTCAGGTGGCAGCTGTGTGAGTGGAAAGAAGAGGAAGGATGTGAGAGATGTATGGGATGAATTCAAGTGAGAAGCCTAAGTGACAGGGAAGATGGTGGGACCATTCATAGTAATAGACAGGTTTGGGTGAGGGCAGCGTTTTGTGAGGGAAATGCTGTGTTATGTTCTAGACATGTAGAGTTTGTTTTCTATGCAGCATCTAGTTCAGGATGTTTAATAAGCAGTTGGTGATTCTAGCCTAGAGGTCAGGAGAGAAGTTAAGGCTGGGTGAATAGATCTGAAAAAGATTATAATTGAGTGAATAGGGTCTAATGACCTGACCAGCTATAAAAGTCTAGAGGGAGAAGAGGGCCCAGGATAGAGACTTAGAGAATACCTGTGGTTAGTAGGCATAACCTGAGTGAAGAGCCATTGAAGGAGATGAAAAGGTAGTCAAACAGAAAACTAGGAGAGTAAGCAGTGTAGTGAAAACCTGCAGAAGATAAGGTATCCGGAAGAGGGCAGTCAGCAGTGACAGGCAACAGAGAGCACAAGAAGGATAAGTATTAAGAAGACCGACCATTCAGTTAAAAAATCAAGAGATTGTTGGTGTCTTTTGAGAGAGTAGTTTCTGTTGAATGATGTTCAAAAGCCAACCCACAGAAGGGAGAACGAGAAGGTAAAAAGTGGGAGCTTTCTTAGGTGACTAATCTCATTGTTTTTGTTGAAGGCAAGATCCTCAGCTGAGTGTGAGGGGGAGAGGGTGTGCCACGTAAGGTATGAGAAGGAATGAAAAGGTTTAGAATGGCTGCTGTGGTCCTTGAGATAGTAAAAGACAAAATCAGTGGCCTTTTCTCAATACTTATTCTTCTTGACCTCTCTGTAGCCTCTGACACTGTTGATCACCCTCTTCTTGATACTGGTTTTGTTTTGGTTTTTTCCTAGGCTTTCAGAACACCACTGTCTCCTGGTTTTCCTACCGCTCAGTCAACTCCTCAGTCCCCTTTCCTGGATCTTCTTCCAGATTACTCCTTCTAACTGTAGATGTTCCTCAAGATTCTTTCCTGGGCCCTTTTCTCTTCTCCCTCTATGCTACTTCACTTGGTGATCTCATCAGTTCCCTTGGAATTAATTACCAACTTTATATTGAAGAGTCTTAAATCTACCTAACCTCTCTGCTGACCTCTAGCCTCATATCTCTACCAGATTTTCAGACATCTTGAAATGGATGTCCAGTAAACATGTTATACTCAGCATGTCCAAAACTAAACTTACTCTATTCTTTGCCAGTTGTTACCCTCTTCCTAACTTACTGCTGTCAAGGGTACCACCATTGTTCCAGGCTTGCAACCTTGATTCCTCACTCTAATCATTCCCCCATATCTAGTCTTTTGCCAAGTCCTCTTATTTATTCCTTTGTAACAACTCTTGTCTACTGCCCTGCACTGACACTGCCATCACCATAGAGCAAATCTACATCACCTCATAACTGGACTATTACAAGAGCCTCCTGGTTGATCTCCTTGCCCTACCTCTTTCTTCTCTAGTCTGTCCTCAGTTCAGCTGTCAAATTGATCTTGGTAGAGCACAGGTCTGACCATGTGTCTGTCTGTCTGTCTCTGTCTCTGTCTCTCTCTGTCTTACACAGACACACCCTCACGTGACACACACCCCCTCCCTTCACTCCCCATTCAATAAATTGCAGTGGCTCTCTTGATCTAGGATTAAGTAAAAAGTTCTCATGCTTATAAAGCCTTTCATAACCGGAACCCTCACTTCCTTTCTAGTCTTCTCTCTTCCACTTACTCTGTGATCCAGTGACATTGGCCTCCTGGCTGTTCCTTTTATTTTGCTTGTACGTAGTTGTTACATGGAGACTGCCCCATTAGAATGTAAGCTTGAGGAGAGGGACTAGCAGCTATCAAGTGTTTAGCATAGTGCCTGGAACAATGTTATATGATTTGATTTCACTTATGATGGGCTTAAAATGCCAAATAGGACCTTATGTTTTGTCCTAGAGGTATTAGGGACTGATGCTTATTGAGGAGTGAAGCAAAAAAGACCCGTGCTGAAGGAATATCAGTTTGTTGGCTATGTGGACATTGGTTTGGAGAGGGCAAAGCCTAGAGTAAAGGAGACCAGGTGGTGGGAGTAGTCAAGGCAGTCTGTGATTAAAAAGACCTAGACTAGAATTGTGATCATATCAGTAAAAATAGAATGACAAATAAGTGAAATGTTGTGATAGCAGAATTGACAAGATGTGGCAACTGATGGACATGGAGGTGAAGGAGAATAAAGTCAAAGATGACTCCAAGGGTTCAAACCTAGGTGAGCGGGAAGGTGGGCCCTCAGTAGGAAAAGGAAGTTAATGAGAGGGGTGGAATTCGGGGACAGAGAATGAAATCCATTGTGAACATGTTGAATATATAATAATGTCTTACTAGTGTGGAGCACACAAAAGGTATGAGAAAGAGAAGAAATCACCATAAACCACTGTTCCTGGGAAGGGGCTCAGATAGGGGTTGGGACTTGAGTTGAATCTCAGAAGATGGATAGGATGAGCTTAATGAGGAGAGAAGTGGGGTGAACATTGCAGGCAAAGGATATGGCCAACAGTGAGGAGGAAGGAATGGGCATGGCATGGGTTAGAGAACATTTCTTTTTTGCTACAAAAGATAGAATTTTAAAGACTTGATGCAACTTTAAATTAGCAAGAACATCAGATTCTCAGAGAGAACCAGAGAGTTCATCAGATGGCTTTGGTTTAAGAGGCAGCTTAGCATAGTGGAAAGAGTAGCAGAAGACCTGAGTGAGCAATGGATCTGACACTTAACAACTTTGTCATTCTGCACAAGATGCTTAACCTCCTGTTTCCTCAGCTATAAAATGGGGATATCCTATCAGTCCTTGTGCATATACTCTCTCCACAGAATTATTGTAAGGAAAATGCTTTGTATACCTTAAAGTTCTGTGTAAATGTGAGCCATTATCGTGTTATGTTGTGGGTAGGTTTTGCCAATCCAGTAGCAAGGATATGATCATAATATGAGATGCATATTTGGGGCTATGTGGGAGTTGAATTGTGAATGTGCCAAACACTTTAGTGTAACGCAAGTATTTTCTTATTCTTTCTTTGCAGATATACCTCTGTGGTTTTAGTGGCAGAAAATTAGATAAACTGAGAAGGCTTATTAATTGTGGTGGTGGAGTTCGCTTTAATCAGCTTAATGAAGATGTGACCCATGTTATTGTTGGAGATTATGATGATGAGTTAAAACAATTTTGGACAAAATCGACACACAGGTTCTGATTGTTTTTACTTTAAAGCAGTTTCCATGGTGATAATGGTTTTATTGTAAATTGTAAACATGGCTATAGAAATTCTGTGTAGAAGACCATTGAGCAAAGACTGATTTTCATGCTTCAAAATAATAGATCATGACTGTATTTACTGTTTTCATAGGCCTCGTGTAGTGGGACCAAAATGGCTGCTGGAGTGTTTTAGTAAAGGTTATCTGCTTTCTGAGGAGCCGTACATCCACTTGAATTACCAGCCAATGGAGATAACTGTTTCAGATCAACCAGGCATGAAATCAACATTTTCCAAAAGAAAGAACAGTTTTTCTAAGAAAGAATTTGTGAACACAGAGAAACATCGGCAAGCTGATGAAGACTTGCTTTCCCAATATATGAATGATCATATGATAGGTATGAGAATTATTACTTTTTCTTAAAACTATTTACAAAATTATTTGTCATATTATTGTTATTTGATAAAAATATCAACTTCAATTTTTATTTAGCTTATTTGTCCTTAAAACATCCCTGTGAGATAGAAGGGTGCTTTTATCTTCTTCTTTGTAATTTGTGAAACTCGTACACTAAGATTTTTTTAAGTTGCAGCTGAAATCCAAGTCTCATTCTCAGTTCCATCAGTACTGTATCCAGTAAATTTTATTTCCATCTCAGATTAAAACTTAAAACCATAAGGTTAAAACCTTAGGTGTATGGGTTGATGTTTTGGTTTCTAAACTGAAAGATGCTTTTACATTGGTTTCTTTTTTTGTTTTGTTTGTTAACAACTTCTGAAGACAGCTGTGGTCACTGCAATGAGCAACCATTATTGCATAGGTTTCTGATTCTGACTACAGTTGCTTCTTGAAAGTTCTGGCAATAAACAGCCCTGTTGGCGAACTCACCATCCCTCTGAATCCCCAACTAATCAACAAGTATTTTTTAAAATTGCTTTTTTCTTTCCCTCCTACCTCCCCCCAATTAAACAAAAACCTTGTAACAAGAATTTTCAAAGCATCTGGTATGTGTCGAGTGCTAGGGTTAAAAAGACAAAAGCTAAACAAGACCCACTGTCCAGAAGCTTAGATTCTGAAGGAAGAGGAAGACGCTGTGCACATGTATAGGTGTACACAAAGCAGATAAGAAATAACCGTGTGGGAAACAGTTATGGCCTCATGCAGAAGGTGTCGCTTGGCCTGAGTCTTTTAGGAAACTGGATAGCCGGTACATCGCTGTGGAGGTGGAGGTGGAGCATTATATGTGAGAAACACAAGGAGGCTAGTTTGGCTGGATCATAGAGTACATGGGGGGAAGGGAATGGATCATAAGACCGGAGGAGGGAGAATGAGGCCAGCCTGAAAAGAGCTTTAAATGCCAAACAGGAGTTTGATAGCTGATCCGAGAGGCAATGGTAAAATGGTGAGACGGTCTGATCTGTGCTGCCAAAGTAAAAAAAAAAAGCAGCCACTTTTTTTTTGGGCACAGCCATGTAGAGCATGAATTTGAGCTAAGAGAGACTTGAGGAAAAAACTCCTTTCCCTGGGCCTTTTCCCCATATGTCTTTTGTTTTGTCTCTCCTGACTGAAATATAAGTTCCTTGAGAGCAAGGACTGTCTGATTTTTGTATTTGCCTCCCCATCATTTAGCACAGTACTTAAAATAAGCATGTAATATGTGGTTCTGCATTCATTCAGAGCAGAAGGGGGTGGATACAAGAGATGTGGTGGAAGTGGAAATGACAAGATTTGACCTGATTAGATATGTGGAATTGAGGGTGGATCCAGTTGAGGATGACTCCAGGCTTGCAAACCTGGATGATTGAAGGGCAGTGATACCCTCAACAGAAACAGGAAAGCTGGGAAGAAGGGGTGGGTTTGGGGAAAGTGATGAGTTCTGGGTTGGACACATTGAATTGGAGATGCCTCAAGGACATCTGCCTTGAGAGGATGTCCATTTGGCTAATTAGTTCATGGACTGGGGGGTCAAGCTAGAGACTGGGTCTGGGTATACAGATTTGGGAGCCATCCTCACAGAGAGGGAAATGATAATTATTACTCATTAGGGAAGTTTGAAGGCCATATTTTAAAGACGCATTATAATGTGATAAATGTTTAAGTACTTTCTCTGTCACAGAAATGTGCTAAAAGCCTGTTAAGGATATGAAAGAAGAATGGTGCCTATTTGAAGAGCTTGCAGGCTGACTAGAATCTCTTAAAAATACTTTTCTTCCTACAGTTCCTACAGTAACTTGTTGCTTTCATGGATATTGTGATTTAATTAGGAATTTGATGCATTGTTCTTCATTGTTGCTAAGTGCAATTTGGAGAATATGTCCTTATTTTATAAGATATATAGTCTGTGGTCGTTTACCTCATTGGTCCAATTAACCATTTTTTCAGCTCAACCTTACTCTGAAGAGTGACCCTTTTGGGAATCCTTGACACTGTTACTTGCATCAATTACTATATCTAGATGTTGCAGCCTCATTGTGAAACAAGGAGGAATTTCAACAGTACTGCGGTTTATTTTGTTTGTGGTTCAGACCTGTGATCATTAGTGTAGAGAGCTCCTATTGAGGAAACTTCCTCCACCAACTGTTCTTACTAAAGTTAATTCACTTGTGCAGGGTCACACATCCAGTAAGATTCAGAGGTGGGACTGGAACCCAGCTCCTCTTGATTCCAAGGCTAATTCTTTCTATCATACCATGTTGATTCTCTTGAGATTTATAAGGAATGAATAATTTCGGGAGTTGTTTTCCTCTTAAGTTTATGTAGCTGTCACCCTGTATACAGCAATACACATGTATACAACAATACTTTAATGTATTTGCAATCTCATAATGTAGGCACTCCATCTAATGTATCTTATTCATGCCTTCTCACTGATTGTTATTCATTTCCTCTCATAAGTCTTCTGTAGGAAATTCATCCAGTATTTTAGAAACCTTTCTCTAGATTTTTTATTATTCCATGCTAATATAGTAAATTGACAAAAATGACTAAAGATGGGAATTGTCCATGTTGGAAAGGTTGTGGAAAGGCATCATTGGTGGAGCTATAGATTGGTGGAACCTTTTGGAAATTTTGAATAATGCAAAGAAAGAGACTGAAATGTCCTTGGACCCTTTGGCCCAGTATATCCTTTACTACAGCATATATAGCTTGAGGGGAGTTTAGTAACTAAAAGAAAGGTTCCAGGGACACAAAAATATTTATAAGGGCAACTAGTCAATAGATAAACATTAAGCCCCAGGCACTAAACTAACCATTGGTGATACAAATACAAAAAAGAAAGATAGTCCCTGCCCTCAAGGAGCTTGCAATCTAATGGGGAAGGACAAAACACAAAAAGAAGCTGAAAAGCAAAGGGTAGGAGTGGGATGTGGTTGGTGGCTGGAGAAGGTGCTTATCACAGGGGCCTAGTGGAGAATACCTGTAAGTCCCAAAGTAGTACAGCTGAGTGAGATGTCTGGCCTGAGCTTTCTCTCTAAGGGGAGTTTTGGCGTGCATGGCCTCATCATCCGGTGATAGACCTGAGATGGCATGCCAAAGCAAGGTTAACAGGATCTTTTGTAGGATGGCCTTAGTGAGGAAGTCACTCAGAAGTCCCAGGGTAATGTAGCCAGGGGAGCAGCAAGAATTAGAAACAAAGTAGGTGCCCAGCAATAGGGAATTGCTGCACAAACTGTGGAACATGAATGGAATGGAATTATTAGTGTGATGTAAGGAATAGTAAACATGGAGAATAGAGAGGAGACATAATGTGAGCTGATATGAAAGAAAATAAGCAGAACTGGGAAGACAATATACACAATAATAAGAGTTGATATTCATATAACTCTTACTGTATACCAGGCACTGTGCAAATATGGTCACATTGGATCCTCATGACTACCCTGGGAGGTAGGTGCTGTGATTATCTCCATTTTACAGATGAGGAACCGGAGGGAGACAAGTTAAGGGCTTGCCCAGGGATATACAATTAGTAAGTGTCTGAGGCCAGATTTGAACTCAGGTCTTTATGACTCCAGGTTCAATGCTCTGTCCATTGCTCTACCAGCTGCCTCAGTGATTACAACACAGTAAATGGGAAGAACTACAACAAAAGAAGTGAATCTAAATGCTCCAAAATTATAATGACTGAGCAAGTTTGGCCCTAAAGGAGGTGTATGAAAAGATACCTCCTTCCTCTTGTGGTTTGGGTTTTTTTGTTGTTGTTGTTGATGTTGTTGTTTGTTTGGTGTTTTTGGTGAGGCAATTGGGGTTAAGTGACTTGCCCAGAGTCACACAGCTAGTGAGTGAGCGTCAAGTGTCTGAAGCTGGATTTGAACTCAAGTCCTCCTGACACCAGGGCCAGTGTTCTATCCACTGTGCCACCTAGCTGCCCCCTTCCTCTTTCTTTTTAGGAGTGGGTGTTCATGTGTTTGGAATATGACTTTTAACTTTTAAGAGACTTTTTAGGTCTCTTTATTAGTTTTGGGAACTTTTTATTTCATCCTCTTTTTTTATTATGAAAGCATTGCCCTCTGAAAAGGGCTTGAGGAAAGAATGTGGGAAATGGTACATGCTACAAAAACAAAAATATTACTAACTTTTAAAAAATTACACAGGTACCAACATATAACTTCAGCATTCTATCAGTGTTGTCCCTCCTTTTCCAATTACAAATTTCTCAATTTTTTTTTAATTCCTCAACCTCTATCATAGGCTTCCTTGATAATAATAGTCTTCATTTATCCATTGTCCTTTTAAGTTTCTTTGAATTTCCAGAGATTTTGATCCTTACAAGATTTGTATCCACATGGACATCATTGGGAGAATATTAGTGTTAAAAAGCTTGGGAAACATATTGGAATTGTTGAAAGTACTAGACAGTTTTTACAGTATGCTAATTAGTCTGACTTCTTACTCTTTTTTTATCCTAGGAGCAACTTTCTATTTATCTGCAGTTCCTGCCCATTATATACATATATATACAGTATAAACATATTAAGAGACTAACATGTAACTGTAGGCCATAATCTGGACAATAGACATTCTTCATCTATTTTTCTCTGTAGATTGTTAATATCTTTTGAAGGTTCGCATATCTTTTTGAGAAGGTCCTCAGAAGCAAGCATGACTTAGAAAAAAAAAAAGGGGGGGTGTCCAGAATTTGGAGTCAGAGGGCCTGAGTTCCCAGCATTGCTTCTTTCTGTTTGTGTGATTTTTAAGCAAGTCATTTAAGTCCTGGGTCACACTTTATTTCTTTATAAAATGAGGCATCTAGTTCTAGGGGTTTTGATTCCATGTTGATCTTGTCAGTTGCTATGGGGGGGAGGGAGATGGAAGTATAATACCATAATCTGTAATTTTTTTCCACCCAGTTCAATATTTTCCCTTTTTTAGGATATCTTAAAAATCAGTCCCTCAGTTTTTTCAAAACCATATCACTTCCATCATGGATTTCTTGATGTGTGCTTGACCTGATCCAGCTCTAATTCATCTCATTGGACATTTCTTCTGAGAGAGTGAGCAGGGCAGGGGTGTGTGCACATTGAGAATTGAGATGTCCAAATGTAGTGTGGTTCTGTTATTGTTCATTGCCAAATATGCCGTTTAAAATTATTTTCTTTTTCTCTTTGGTGCTATCACTCCTTAACTGAATATTACTGGCCTTCAGAATGCTTGTGAGAGTGCCTGAAAAAAACCAGTTATGTGACTATTAATGTAACAGTTATGTAACTTCAGCAGCAAATTATAGTAGAAATTTGAATTTGATCCCATTGATAAAATTTTTTCCTCTCTCTTTTCAGATGAAGGTGAGAAGTCGGAAACTGGGGTCTTTAATGATTCCACTCATTCTACTGTACAAGGGGATAACCTGTCTTTCCTCAGCCACAATTCACTGCCTGAGACTTCTACAATTATTGAAGGTTTGTTTAGCCGGAAGAAGTTCCTTGTTGTGGGTTTTAGTGAAGAAGATGAATCTTGCGTTGTCAACGTTATTAAAGAAAATGCTGGAAAAATTCTGCCCCTCCAAAGCAGAACTATTGCTGACTATGCTGTGGTTCCTTTACTGGGGTGTGAAGTGGAGTCAACTGTAGGAGAAGTTGTTACAAATACATGGCTGGTAAGAGGAAACTGTAGCAGTTGAAACATCAGCAAGTAACATTGTTAGAAATAGACAATGATCAGAATTTGTGATTGAAGGATAGCCCATGAACACATTGGTTATTGATTGTTTTTGCATCTATAGTTCTGGTGTAGTAAAGTGATAGATTTTATGCTGAGCACTTGAGTTAGAATTCAGAAGCAAAGCAGATATTCTAATTTAAGAAGAAATTGGTTTAAAAAGTGACCATTCTTTGGGGGAGAAGGAGGTGCAGAGAGATGCAATTGTAAAGCATGGTTTGGTGACCTAAAATGAGGGCCAATCTGATGATTGTTAATATTCTCATCTAATGAACTAGCTTTAATATTCTTTATTCTGTGTGCTGGAGGGAATTTTTTTTTTAATCAGACCTGTTATTTCATTGCTCTAGTGAACTTCTAATTAGGAAACTCCCTTTATTAACATCTAAGATTCTCAGAAGTTAAGTGATTGGCCCAGGGTTACCCAGGCATTAGATATCAGAGGCAGAACTTGAACCCAGGTTTTTCTGACTCCAAGGCTTGCTCTCTATCTACTATGCTTGTTTACTTCTTAATTGAAGTTTTTTCCTTATTTATTCTCAGTAAAGGTGTGTGTGTTTGTATGTATATGTATGTGTGAATACATATAGATTAAAATTTTATTGAGAATAAATAAAATCATATTTTGCACTAAGATATAATTAATGGTTCCCATCTAGACAAGAATTTTTTAACTGAACCTGCATTTCACCATGATACCTTATTCCTATTTTTGTTTTCTCTCTTGTAAGATTACTTGTGTTGAAAAACAAAATCTTTTTGACCCGGAATCAAATCCACTCTTCACACCAGTACCAGTATTGGAAGGAAGTGGTAATCCTTTAGAAAATTGTGTTCTTTCATTCAGCCAGTTTGTTGGAGCAGAGAAAGATTCCTTGGTATACTTAGCAAGCCTGCTTGGAGCAAGGTATGTCTTCCCATTAGCATGTATCCTTGGTGTACTCTAAAACCTGCAAAGTAGAATTTGTCTTTGTCCATGAATACAATATACATGTGTAAAGTAAGGACATAAAGGGAATGCTGTTTGAACAAGCCGCATAAACTATGGTATGAATCACTGAATTTGACCTATGCTTGTGCTCCATTCCAGGCTACCTTATCTCCACCTGAATGAATGTCTTATTTGCACCTCAAATTTTACATGTCCAAAACTGAATGGAAATTAGGGTTAACCACCCTCAAACCTGCCCCACCTCTAAAACTCCTGTTTCTGCTGGTGGCTTCATGATTTTCCCAGGCACCGAGATTTGAAACTCCAAAGGCATCTTCTCTCTCAGCTCTCCATATCTAATCATTCCTGCAACTTACCAAGTCTTTCTTTACAACAGCTTTTGCATCTGTCCCCTTCATATTCATCTCTCCTCAGAAATGTTGTCATCTACCCTGCTCCTCCACACTCTCTCCTCACCTTTGGAACCCAGTCCAGGACTAGTGCTATCCTGATTGGTGTGAATGAGAGCAAATCCATCTAACTTACACTCTGTAGCTACTCCAAGACTATACTTCTCTTCCATCTATCTTGCATATTATGCCAGCTAACATAGTGCTCTCCTCTGCTAGTGCTAGTAATTCTAGAAGGGCATAGACAGCCCTAGTGATGGTACCAGTCACCATTCTTATGATTTTCTAGAACAAACTTTGTCTCCTCTAATTAGAATGGGAGCTTCTTGAGGCAGGAACTGTCCCACCTTTCTGTTTAGATTCTCAGCTCCTACCATAGTGCTTTTTGCTCATTCTTTTCCTCCAGTCATATTGCTACTACCCTAGTTTAGGCTTTGATTACCTACTCTTCTGAACCATTGTAATAGCCCCCATTCAGCCTCCCTAACTCCAGGCTCTTCCCTCTTCAATCTGTCCTTCACTCAGCTGCAAGAATAATGTCTCTGAAGCACAGATCTGAGTCTGTCACTCACTCAGTGGCTCAGAAACCTTCAGTGACTCCCAGTTCCCTCTGTAGTATAAAATACAAGATCCTTAGCCTGGCATTTAAGGTGCTTCTCATTCAACTTCCAAGTTTTCTTTTGTGACCTTAGGTCCTAACACTCCCTCTTACACATTCTTCTTCTCTCCCAAGCTGGATCTGCCATTCTGCCACAGTGCATTCCAGCCCTGTGATCCCTGTGCCTTACTTGCTGTCCTTTCTTACCTCCATCGTTGAGGGTTTTTCTTTAGTATTCAGCTCCCCTCCCCTCCTCTAGGTGTCCTTCCCTGGTTTCTCTCACCCACTCTTCATCCTATTAAGCTTTGTCTAGATCTCTCCTTTGCCTCTCTTGTCTGTCCCTACTGTGTTTTTTACTTACCTGTGTCCTTTCCCTGTCTGCCCCTCTCTGCCCTTTCCCCAGTAAAATGTTAACATCTTGGGAAGATTTATGCAAAGTGATGCAGAGATGAAGGAAGCAGAACCAGGAAAACAGTGTCCCCACAATGACTGCAGCCTTAAAAGAAAGAAAGAAAAAGAAAATGAAAGTTTTGCAGTTAGAATGGCTTCAGCTCTACTCCAGGGGAGAGATGAAAACATGCAGCTCCCTTCCTTCTTTGCAGAGTTGGGGGAACTCTGAGTGTAGAATATTATTACATACTGTTGGATACTGGGAACATGACGTTTTGCTGAACTGGTTCCCCCCCCCCCATTTTCTTCTATCTTCCTTATAAGAACTTGCTAGCCAGATAAGGGAGGGAGCAGGAATGTCTTTGGAAATGAAAGTGATGTGGAAAACAAACCCAAAAAATGGATTAATAATTACTTCATGGAAGAAAAACTTCTCAAAAGCAGATAGTATTGACATTTTAGAGATGAAGAAAACAAGGCACAGGGATGATTTGACTGTGGTTGTACAGGTTCAGTGTGTGGTAGCATTGGGACTTCCATCCAGGCTTTTACATTTCTTTCTGTAGACCACGTTGCCTTTCAGTAAGCTGCTACATGGTTATCAGACTAATTTGGAAAATTACTTCAGAATATGCTTTTCCTAGCCCCAGATGGGAACGTGAAGAGAAAATGTGAGCTTTTTAGGTAACTGTTCACATTTTCTCAGGCAGATAATCTGAACACTCCCATCCAGTATTCATTTTCCTATTTCAGATAGGCATAAAGCAATTTGGGTGTGCTTGTATTTTGTTTGTTCTCTTGTCTGTATGCTTCCAAGCTTTCTGCACATTTGGGTGTCCTAGCACAAAGGCATCCTGCTGCTCCCATCCCACTACCTTATTTCTCTTCTACCCAGTTCTCATTTTGTCAGTAGGTAAGTCCCTAACATCAGTCTGCCTCAGTTTTCTCACCTGTAAAATGGTGATAAATTCTTTCCTACCCTACCACTGCCTTGTTGTGAAGATCAAATGGGATTTGTATGTGAAAGCTCTTGGAAAAGTTGAGAACAGCTTCATGGATAGGAAATATTATTGTTAGTCTATTAATAAATTATTATTGCTCTCTGTTCTGCTTGCTTTTCATGTGCCTTTGGCTAGAAGAGTGAAGGTAAGTAGGTGGATCAGTGCATAAGTTAAAAAAAAATTTATTACTTGTGGGAACATTTGCATTTTCTTTTTTTTAGTGACAGTGATTGTCTTTATTAATAATTTTTGTAGCATTTTAGTTTTTGTTTTTTAGTTAGAGGAACTTAATTATATCTTGTTCAGCAGCATCCCTTATTGTTTGTTTCCAGCCTAGACAAATTATTGTATTAGGCAAGTCAGATTATTAAATGTCTGAATGTATACTCTTAACAATTTCAGAGTTCAAGAATTCTTTGTGCGCAAGGACAGTGAAAAGAATGACATGTTTGCCAGTACTCATCTTGTAGTGAAACAACCAGATGGTTCTAAATATCACGCTGCAGAAAAGTGGGGATTACCTGCAGTGTCTATGGCTTGGATATTGGAGACTGCTAAGTTGGGAAAGAGAGCAGATGAATGCAAGTTCATGGTTGGAAATCTACGCAGACAAGGTTGCCAATTTGACTTTATTTTGTTATGAATATTTCTGTGATAAGTTGATTCATGGGATCATAGATGTACTAATTCAGACCCTCTTATTTTACAAATGAAACTCACTCAAAGCAGCATTGATTTATCAAATGACTATGTGCAAGGTACTCAAAAAACAAAAATGAAAACAGCCACTGTTCCCATAGATCTTACATTCTATTGCTGGAGCAGAACAACTTGGTGGGAGGGATCCTGAGGTATACTGGGCCTCTGTCCTAGGAAATAGCTTTGATTTTTGCTTTTGCAGCACTTGTATTTTAAAGTCCAGTTAAAGCCTAATAGGTTACTCTTTTAAATTTTCTTTGGGGTTGGAAATATAGTGCAGATAATTTTCATAATGTAACCCCCAAGATACACAACAACTTAGGATGTTTCCATAGTCTCTCAAAAGAATTTTTAAATTGCTGTGTTAGAAACGTAGAACAGGTGGTAAGAATGGAAGGTCTGGGTTCTATTTAGTGTTGCCATCATGCAATTAAAATAGAATGGGGGGCAGCTAGGTGGTGCAGTGGATACAGCACTGGCCCTGGATTCAGGAGGACCTGAGTTCAAATCCGGCCTCAGACACATAACACTTACTAGCTGTGTGACCCTGGGCAAGTCACTTAACCCCATTGCCTAGCAAAAAATAAATAAATAAAATGGAATGGGAACCCTCTCTGTTAGAAGTCTTCTACTTTTAGCGTCGTGGATACCTTTGGTTGTCTGCTGATGCCCGTGGCCTATGGACCTATTCTCAGAATAATTTAAATGCTTAAAGTAAAAAACATAGGCTTACTTGAGAAAACAATTATATTAAAATAGAAGAAAATTTATTTTTAAGTTCACAGACCCCAGGTTAAGAATCCTTGCTCTGTAACATCTCCTCAATGGTGTTATTTGAAAAGTCAGAGTTTGAGAAAAGTGCTAGGAATAGCTGTCTTAACAGGACACATTTCCCAAGACAGTTGTCGGGAAATTCAACAAATATGACATGAGGACATAATAATTTTGATCAAATTATTAAGCTTTCATTGTTTCTCCAAAAACATAAGCAACCCATGCTTTCATCCTCTGTAGTCATAAATATGCAGCAACCTTAGCTAAATATTTGATTCTGCGAATGACTTGCAGACATTTAACACTTTACCTGCAGGCATGAGACATCTTGTGAGTATCATTCAGGCATAATAATAATGAAAAGAAGTTGAGTAAAAGAGAGCACACTATATTTTGGACTTTAGTTATAGAAAGATGTATAAATTATATTAATTAAATACAAATTATACAGTACAAATTGTATTTTGTATATAATTGTATTGTAAATTGTATACAAATTATATACAAATTGCTAAAGAATGTTACTGAAAGAGTACTCTCCTTTTTTTTTTTCCTAGAGATGGATTGAGCCAACACAATTTCTGAAATAACTTTTCAGTGATGTAGATGTGAGCCTGTTCCAATACACATTCATTTACTGCAAGCTACCCTGTTATTGTAAGGGTGTAATAAAATAAGTGTAATGTACTTCCCTCCTTTCCATGGAAGGGTGTTGGTCACTGTGGGTGTGGAATGTTGCATCCATTATCAGATGTCACTGAGCTTGGCTTAACTGTTATAAGGGGCAGATGAGGCTGTTATATCCAGAAATAATGTATACAAAAACAAAAGATGGCAAGGAAAAAAGAAAATAGATGGGCCGTACTTAAGGTTGATGTATTTGATAGAATTTTAGGTTTTAGACTGGGGGTTGGGGTTGAGGGCATTATTGGTTCATGTTTGTATTATTTCTTTCAATCCTGCAGATGAAAGTTTTGAAACTCAGATGACAGTAGACAAGACTTATTCAGATACTTCAGAGAATTCTAGTACAGTCCTGGAACCCGAAAGAAGAGCAGCTGTTACACCTTTAGATGTAAACAGATTCCGGAGTAAAACTTTTCATACTGTGATCTCACAACACACTAGAAAGTCCTCGGGTCCCCCTATTGAAGTACAGCCACTTCAGAAAGAGCCTTCACTGCACCTTGACACGCCATCTAAATTTCTGTCCAAAGACAAACTCTTCAAACCTTCTTTTGATGTAAAGGTAAGAATTCATTGGTTAATATCGTCAGCCTTTTAGTTTGAATGGTTAACACCAAATGCTCCATTACTCCTTATGTAGTGCCATAGATGTTCCCAAAAGTGTTAGCAAGTGAATTTGGATTATTAACACTATCTGAACAAGACAAGAGAAGATAAAAAATGTTGTTGATTTAGCTTCTAGTACATTATAGTTTTTAGATAGTCCATAGTACATTACAGCTTCAAAAGTAGTAAACTTTCAGAATAGTAGCAGTAAGGAGTAATTGTGATGGACTACTGAAAAGCTCATCAGTCGGGAGACCTGGGTTCTAATCCCACGTCTTCTGTGTGGTTTTTGAAGCAGATCATTTCACTTTTCTAAATCAGTTTCCTCGTCTATAACATGAAGAGATTGAACCACATGATTATTCAGGTCAGTTCTAGCCCTGATTCTGAATTCTGGCTCCACTGCTAAAGGCTGTGTGTTGTTAGACAAGAGCTATCTGTTCATACACTTACATAGTTGAGGTGTCTTATCAAATGAGTTAATGAATGTACGAGGTGTTTTGCAAATTTTAAAGTACCATGTGAAGGTAAGCTATCATTAATACTTATGGCCATTTTATTAAGGCACAAGTGGGTATTTCTGGGCACACAAGGTAGTAGTGTCCTATCTTGAAGGTAGGACTATAATGAAGACCTTCAAGGGCACTGTATTGAAGTGAATATAATTTTCACTCTTGTATTTCACTAATGCAAAATTATTATTTCTTTTGTATTAGTCAGTGGCCTCTTTCTGCTATTAAAATATTTCATACTCATCATTGCAGATCTTTGCAGCTCTTACCTCTTTTCCTTCACATGTTTTTTGTCTTTCTGTTTTGTCTTTTTTTCTCATCCTTTATTATAAAAAAACTGGGCTTTTGAACATATACCATCTTCTATTCAGTAAACCAACAAGTCTGGGTATAAAATATAATCTTTGGGTCTTATTTCTTTGTTCAGCTACCTCTAAGTTGAGAGCAGTTCTGGAAGTCTAGGGGCTCTGGATGACTAGCCAATCTTTAGATGGCTGACATACTCTATATTAAAAATTATTTGTTATACATTTTTAATAGAATTTTATATTTTATACTCCTTAAATTTTAAAGTGAGTGAAACATTTGACATTTCTGTTTAGAAAAGACAAAAAACACTACTAAATTAAAATTGCTTTTTACTAATGTGCCTCAATTTTTTTTTTCCCTGTTGGTCAGTGGCTTTTGATAGAAGAAAGTTCCCCTTTCCAGTCATGGACCCAAGAACCCTGTTTTTAAAAAATAGGGTAAAGTCATAAGAAACAATACTATGGGAAAATCAGGATTTTAATTAAAAATTGCAATGATGACCTACCTATACCATACATAATATGGAATCATACAATTTTGGAGATGGAAGAGACCTTAGACATCATCTGCTCCAGTCATTTAGTCTAATGAAGGAATCCCTTCTACCATATCCCTGACTTGTCATCCTCCAGCTACTTTTTGTACAATTCCAGTAATGGGCAATTCCCCAATTCACCAGGTACCTCATTCCATTGTTAGACAAACAAAGGAAGTTTTCTTTTATTCTGAGCCATTATCTACTTCCCTGTAACAGCTTCCACCCATTTTTCATAGTACTGCCTTATAGAGAGGCAGTGTTGCATAGTAGGTAGACCATTGGACTTGGAGTCAAGACACTTGAATTTAAATCCTGCCTCAGACTCTTACCAGCTGTGTTATCATTATAAGGTCAAGTATTTAATCTCCTTTCAGATCCTTGATTTCTTCATTTGTAATGGAGATAATAAAACCTATCTGATATGATAGATTTCTGTGAGGATGGCACTTTTTAAATGTGAGTTATTAAGTAAAGCTGTGTGTGTGTGTGTGTGTGTGTAAAACTAAAGTTGTTAACTAATACCTTATACATAAAGCATATATGCTGTGTTATGACAGGTGTTTGAGTATTTGAAGATGGTATACTCAATGCTTCTCTAAGTTTTTGCTTTTCTAGAGTTACATCCTCATCTTTTAACCTTTGTAAATATTTTATTTCCAAATCCGTTTGTGTTCCTCTGGGGTCCCTCTAGTTTAATTTTTTTGAATTTATGAGTTCCAGAGTGTCAATGTTCCTATACCATTCAGATCATAATCTTTTTATGCCTTCTTATTCTATGCAATTCTTGTCCATGTAGAAAATCTACCTTATACACTAGAGGTCTTTTTTTTTTGAAGCTCAGTTTGTTTGTTTTTTAGTTTTATTTTTCCCCAGTTACATGTAAAAATAATTTTTAACACACGTTTTTAAAACTCTTTGAGTTCCAAATTTTCTCACCTCTTCCCTCCCCATCCCCTCCCATCGAGAAGGCAAGCAATTTGATATAGGTTATACATGTGCAGTCATGCAAAACACTTCCATAATAGTCATGTTGTGAAAGAAAACATAGCCTTTATCAGAGCCCCCCCCATTTATTCTATCCTCTCTCTCCTTTCATCCTGTCCTTCCTCAAAAGTGCTTTGCTTCTAACTTCCCCTCCCCCAATCTGCCCTCCCTTCTGTCATCCCCCCCTTCTCTTCTCCCCTTCCCCCCTACTTTCCTGTAGGGTAGATTAGATTTCTATACCCACTTAGGTATGTATTCCCTCTTTGAGCCAATTCTGATGAGAGTAAAGTTCAGTCATTCCCCCTCACCTCTATCTCTTTTCCCTCCACTGTAAAAGCTTTTTCTTGACTCTTTTATGTGAGATAATTTACCTCATTCTACCTCCCTTTCTTTCTCCAAATACATTCCTCTCGCACCCTGTAATTTTATTTTTTAGATATTATCCCTTCATTTTCAACTTATACCTGTGCCCTCTGTCTGTGTATCCTCCTTCTAACTATTCTAATAATGAGAAAAGATGTGTTACAAATATCTTCCCATGTAGGAATGTAAACATTTTAACTTTATTAATCTCTTATGATATCTCTTTCCTGTTTACCTTTTTATGCTTCTCTTGAGTCTTGTATTTGAAAATCAGATTTTCTGTTCCACTCTGGTCTTTTCTCAAGAATGCTTGAAATTCCTCTGTCTCAATGAATGTCCATTTTTCCCCTGAAGGATTATACTCAGTTTTGCTGGGTAGGTGATTCTTGGTTGTAATCCTAGCTCCTTTGCTTTCTGGAATATCATATTCCAAGTCCTCTGATCCTTTAATGTAGAGGCTGCTAAATCTTGTGTTATCCTGATTATGGCTTCATGGTACTTGGAATTATTTCTTTCTGGCTGCTTATAGTATTTTCTCCTTGACCTGGTAACTCTGGAATTTGGCTATAATATTCCTGAGATTTTGCATTTTGGGATCTCTTTCAGGAGGTGATAAGTAGATTCTTTCAATTTCTATTTTACCCCCTGGTTCTAGAATATCAGGGCGATTTTCCTTGATAATTTCTTGTAAGATAGTGTCTAGGCTCTTTTTTTGATCATGGCCTTCAGGTTGTCCAATAATTTTTAAATTATTTCTCCTGGATCAATTTTCCAGGTCAGTTGTCTTTCCAGTGAGGTATTTCACATTGTCTTCTATTTTTTTCATTCTTTTGGTTTGGTTGATTGTTTCTTGATTTCTTATAAAGTCATTAGCTTCCATTTCCTCAATTCTAATGTTTAAGGAATTATTTTCTTCAGTAAGCTTTTGGACCTCTTTTTCCATTTGCCTAATTCCGCTTTCTAAGGCATTCTTCTCCTCACTGGTTTTTTGGACCTCTTTTACCATTTGGCCTAGTCTGTTTTTTAAGATGTTATTTTTTTCAGTATTTTTTGTGTCTCCTTTACCTTGGCAGTTGACTTGTTTCTCATGATTTTGTTGCATTACTCTCATTTATCTTCCCAATTTTTCCTCTGCTTCCCTTACTTGATTTTCAAAATCCCTTTGGAGCTCTTCCGTGGCCTGAGACCAATTCATATTTTTCTTAGAGGCTTTGGATATAGGAGCCTTGACTTTGTTGTCTTCTTCTGAGTGTATGTTTTGATCTTCCTTGTCATCATAATAACTTTCTGTAGTCAGAGTTTTTTTCATTGTTTGTTTCCCAGCCTGTTACTTGATTTTTAACTTTGTCAGAATAGGGCTCTGCTTCTAGGGTGGAGGGCGAACTGTCCCAAGCTTCAAGACTTTTGTGTAGCTGTTTTCAGAGATACTTCTAGGGACCTGTAAATTTCAGTTCTTCCAAGGTGATATGATCTAAGGAGACGTGTGTTTGCTCCTTTCCTGGCCTGTGCTCTGGTCTGTGTGCGACCACAAGCACTCTTTTCTGTCCTGAAACTATGAGGGGTCACCCCTCCACTGTGGCCACGAGCTCTGCTGTGCTCCTTCTCACCCTGGAACTGCCATGCAGGACTGCAACCTGGATCCAGGTATGGGCAAAGCAACAGAGTCCTGCCCCGGTGCTGGCAAAAAGACCTCTGTAGTCTTCTTCTGACCAGCTGTTCATTTTCCTTATTGTCTGTGGGCTGAGAGCTCCAGAAGCTGCCGCTCCCACTACTGATGCATTTATCTGGGGGCCTGCTCCTGGTTTGCTGTGGCCGGGGCTATGCTGGCATGGCCTACGATGGACTGCGCTTCACTCTCACCCAGGTGCAGTAGACCTTTCCAGCTGACCTTCCAAGTTGTCTTTGGCTGGAAATTGGTTTCAGTCTTTTTGTGGGTTCTGCTGTTCTAGAATTTGTTTAGAGTCATTTTTAAAAGGTATTTGGAGGGGTTTGGGGGAGAGCTCAGATGAGTCTCTTGCCTTTACTCTGCCATCTAGAGGTCTTTCTTTGATTTAAAAAAAAAATCTTAGCTCTGCTTATCTCAGGGGTGACACTCCTGGGGTTTCCCATCTATCGTCTCTTGTTTTTACATGATTAGCCTGCCATTTTTTTGTCATAAATTTCCTTGATAATGTCTTTACAACAGTTCTGTCACAAGTCATTTTTGAAAACATGCTGTGGCCTTCTAAATACCATGTGTTTTTCCATTTC